TGCATAGATGGAGGAAGCAGGTGACTATTTCTGAATACTCAGAGAAAATAGTCACACCGTCATAGATAAACATCACGAATTGATCACTCAAAGAGAAAGGTTTATATCTCAAACATTACTTGGTATTAGTCTTCGTCTAAGATCAGCTCAACATTAATACATTACAACCACTTGTCTCATAAACATCTATTCCTCAAGCTCAGCCAACATGACATCAGCAGCCTTCTCAGCAACCATATAAGTCGACACAGCAGTAAAGGTACCAGGAATACGAGGATAAACCGAAGCATCAACGACACGAAGACCAGCGACACCGCGAACTCGGAACTTGGAGTCCAGAACTGCCATCTTGTCGTCATCAGCGCCAATGGGGCAAGTCGACGAAGCGTGGTGTCCCCAGGCAACATCCTTGACATACGTCTCAATGTCCTTCTGAGAAGTGACACCAGCACCGGGAAGAACCTCGGTGACGTTGACGGCCTGGTTGGCGAGCGCGCTGCGGGTAAGCTCGACGGCCTCGTACAAAGCTTGGAGATCAGCAGAGTAGTCGCCGTTGCCAGTGTCGAAGTAGTTGAAGGTGATGGCAGGCATGTCGAGGGGATCAGCGGACTGGAGGAGGACTTCACCGGCGTTGTTGCGGGGGTGAGCCTTGAGAATAGCCCATGAGAACCAGTTGTGCTCAATGGTTGCGTTGACGGCGTACTGAGGGAAGTATCCTCTGAAGTTGACGGGACCGCCAAAAGCGAAAATGTCAAAATTGTCCTTCTCAGCAGTGGAGCTCTTGTAGAACATGGAAGCAGCAAGACCGGAAGAGGAGTAGATGCCGTGATCGCCATCAACGGGGGCTTTCCAGCGGTCGACACAAGGGTCCTCATCAGTGTAGAGACCGAAAGTGCAGCCATCGAAGGAAGTAAAGTTGTTCTCGAGAGTTCCCTGGACAGAGATCTCATAGTGGTCTTGGAGGTTGGTACCGACACCGGGAAGGTCAGAGATGACGGGGATGTCAAACTTCTTCAGCTCATCAGCAGGTCCGATACCGCTAAGCTTGAGGATCTGGGGAGTGTTGTAAACACCACCGGCGACGACAACCTCACGAGAAGCAGTGGCGTTACCAGGAGTACCAGCAGCACCGGTGGCGAGAGGACTAGCCTTGTAGAGATGCTTGCCATCGAGGAACTCAACACCATTGGCGCGAGGGGGCTTGGAGTCATCGAAAGTAACTTTGGTGACGTAGCAGTTGGTTCGGACGTCGAGAGGATACTTCTTTGTACCGTTGGAGTGCTTGGCATCGCGGACAGAGAGGATGAACTCACGGGGCCCAATACGGCTAGCATCCTTGGTAGACAGGGGGATCTGGTAGAAGCCAGCCTCTTGGTCACGAGAAAGAGTATCAGCGTTGGCATCATCGGCGAGCAGACCATCCAAGGTGATGTTCTTGCCACTCATCTCAGTCAGAGCAACGGCGCCTCCACCGAGAATGCTGAAGAGCTGCTCGTCGTTGAGAGGAATGCTAAGAGGAGCAGTCTCAGTGCTGAGCCAGCCATCATAACCATGGCCAGCCTCGCCAGCAGGGCGGTAGTTGTTGTCCTCAGCCTTGACAAAGTACTTGCGCATGTTATCCGCAGACCAGGAATCATCACCGGTCAGAGAGGCAATGTACTCAAAGTCAGACTGGTGAGGGTACACAGCGATCAAAGCGTTATGAGCCGTGCAGCCACCAAGAGCTTGAGTGCGGGGATACAAAGTACCCTTCATCTCAGCGCCCTCAGGGGGGTTAAGACCAGTATACTCTCCATCAGGAGTATCATACGTAGTCTTGTAGTCACGCGCTTGTCGCTCATCATCAGCATAGTGACGAACAAAGAAGTTCCACGAGATCTCAGGATCTTCCGAAGCGTTGGCAGAGTACGCGGGAACAGTGTAGTTAAGCGAGGCATAGTCGTCACCAGCTTCGATGAGAAGGGTCTTGTGACCAGCCAGTGCAAGGCGAGCAGCCAGAGGACCTCCTCCGGCGCCGGAGCCGACGACGATGTACTCGTAGCCCGTGAGTGCGACGGCGCACACGGAGGCGGGAGCGGCCAGAAGGCCGGCGAAGAAGGCGTGTCTCATGATGTATTAAGTGAGATCCAATCAAAAGAGTGTTTTAAAAGAATGACGTCCCTGTGGCCGATAGGTCAACGAGGGAGAATAAAGGAATGACTGTAATGAATGGATGGTGAGGTACAGCATACGTCGGCTGCAACATGCTATTTATCTATCCATCAAAACGGAGTAGAATCGTCAGTAACCCGATTTAAACCAGGGGAGGTCTCGTCGATGTAACGACCTCGGCATTCGCTCCAGAACAAGTCAGGGGTCAACTGCACCACCAACTCCCATTATATATCCCACAACCAATACCAAAAGATGAACTACAGAATCTACAGGCTTGGCTCACGCATGGCAGTGCAATACCACCCCAACGAACACTTTCGGCTCACACTAGCTGCCTTTCCGCCCATCCCCCGAAGATACAGCTTGGCCCGGGATCCACACCCGCGGGATCATCGACATAACCGGGGCGTTGAGCCGCACGTCGTTACATGGCACCAACCAGAACCATCAAAACCCCCGCTGCAGGGGGCGATCAGCAACTAGGATTCAATTCCACTGTTTTCTCCTAATTTTGGTGCAAGACTTTATGCTGTGCAGGATAGGAAACTGGTCCGTTCGCCGGGCTTAAGCAAAGCCGTTATGTGCAGGGATAATAAATGAAAATGCGGTCATAATTCCAGTGGAAACCAAATATAGCCACCTACATCCGATTCTAATGCCGGGCTCAATATGCAGGAGTTGTCGTTCTAGAAAACGTCTCCTGACTTGGCTGCAACCTATTCCTCCCTCAGCTTCTTACTCTTCCCAGAGAAGTTCTCCTCAACAATTCTATTCTGACGAATAATCTCATCCCTCGCGCCCTCCCACGTCTTTCTCTTTCCTGTCTCAAAGTATCGAAACATGTGAGCTGTCTCTACACCGTGATTCATGAGGTTGTACATCGGTCTATCCTTCCACCAGAACTTCCAGCCTGCCCATCCCCAACCAAGGTTCTCCATTCCCGTTCCGGCTTGTTGGTGCATCCAGGGTTGGAACTCATATTGTTTGACCATGCTAACGTCGAGATGCGGCTCGCGGGCCCAGTTTGCTGCGATCCAGTTTTGATGATCGTCAACCCATTTCTCCATCTCTTCGTAAGACGGTAATTTGCTCACGCCTCGCCAAATGTTTGAAATAGCCATGTTCATGACGTCGCTGAATGAAAAGCCGTTGTTTTTGCCATATGCTGAATAGCAAAGCACTGCACAGCTGTCTGCGTACTTGGGAGGGAAGACATTCATGTACAGGCGGTGAATGGCAGGTCCGTGATAAGTCGGTGACTTGGGCATACTCTTCTCAATGAAAGGAGCGACAGAAAAGTCGGCGCAGTAGCCTGTAGTCAAGATAACGGAGTCCACGTCATCTACTACAGTCCCGTCGTCAAACTCGATTGATCGTCCACCCAAGAAGCGCTTAATCCCGTGCAAACTCGTCAAGCTGCCATCTTGCAAGTGAGGAACAATGTCTTGAATAAGACCCGGTAATCGCAGCGTCGGGTTACGGAATGATTGAATCCGCCATTCCGGGTCCAGTTTCACATCTGAGAACTGAGACGAGAGGAGTCTGGCTCCCCAGCCTGCTAAGTATCTGTAGAGATTCGGTATGTTCTTTGCCATCCACTGTGTAATTTGGCGACGTCTCCATGAGACTATTAAGTCTGTCGGACGTCCTTTGCGCATGCGCTTGACCATCATTTGGCCGCTTCTATGGGAGACATAGACTTTTTTCGCTGTGCTGATGACTTGCGGCGTGATCTCGCCTGTTGTCGTAGATAAGCCGAGGATCACCACTGTTTTATCCTGGAAGGCTTCAGGGCTAGGGATTATTGGTTAGCATAGCCCAAATAATTGCGCATAGAGTGCCACGAACCTTCGGTATTGCTGCGAGTGAATAATCTCCCCTTCAAATTTGTCTTGCCCCGGAAATGTCGGCATCACTCTTTTAGTCTGATAACCATGACAGAGAACGACCTTATCAAATGAGCGAGCTTCTGTTTCGCCTGTCCCGAGTTTCTCAACCTGCACTATCCATCCACTATCGTCGCTGTTGCGGTTGACGACTTGAACGCTACTATTAAACGAAATATGCTCTGTGAGTTTAAAGTGCTCAGCATAAGTCTGCATAAATTCTTGAAAGTTCGCTGCACTGAGATAGACAGGATACTCTGCTTTCCGTCAGCGTCATCACGTCAGCAGAGCAAGACACGACGTACTGTCTGGTATTGGGAAATCGGTAAATCCACAAGTATACTTGCTAATATTTGCACTTGTCGACGCCAGTGCAGTAGTCCACCCGTTATTTGCGTCATATGCCCATAGTCCCCCGACAGAACTACGTCGTTCGAACAATGTCGCGCTGAAACCATCTTGAAGAAGCTGCTTGAGCATAGAAATGCCCGTTGGACCTTGACATGTTAGAGGGCAATATGATATGCCGAGCGATTACTTACCAGCGCCTATGATTGCGACACTGACGTTCTTCATTTTGCCTTCCCGTCTGACTTCCTTTACGACTGACTTGAAATGAATATGGAAGTGTCGCAAAGTCAGGACTGCGTGGTATTTATGTCTTATCAAAGGATCAGATACCCAATCAGCCGATTGGCATGTTCGGAATCTGGCGCTCTTCATTGGCTCTGCGCTGCGCGAGGCTAATTTCTTACATGTCATCATGCATCTTCGTGGGATCGGCATTTCTGACAAGCTTTCCACTGCAACGTTGGTAGGCTATTATTACACTCCGGATCTTACGGAAGGGATAGAAATATTAAACAATTACTACAGTATTCAAGCTCATGATACTTAATTGAATGCAATTAAACGTCTCGTCTTCTTTATGGATTGATTGGATACCTAACTCGAGATGTGCTATACCCATGCGACATTCTCGCCGCTACAGTATGGGACAAGCCCGTGAGTCCATCTCGGGCTTAGACTTTCGTTCTCGTACTGAGTAATTGGTGACAAAATGTTATGGCTCTTGCCCCAAGCCGTCTCAAACTCAACCATGTAACCTCTGTTCAGAATATCCGAGTGCTTTGCCCAGGAGTCACTCAGTATATAGACCAGCTCCTCGACATGCAGATCCGGAGTCATCGGAGCAAACTTGTACGTATCCTGGATCCTCTTCACAATCTCAGGTGGGTAGAGGCCGACCTCCTCCTCGAGCTGCACAGTATCGACAGCAGTCCGGGCAACCGTTGCATGATACGATCCACCGCTTTTGGCTCGGTCGCGGAGAGCCAGCATCGTGTCAATGACCCCGACGGCGCCAGGGGCGGCCCGATGCAGCGTCGGCAATCTGCTGGAGCCCTGGCCTCTGGGTGTAGTAGGAATCTGGGTCCTAGCAGTTGAGATCAAGATAAATAATGCCCTTTCCTCGCTTTTCGGCCATTTTCAGGACATGATCAAAACCAAACCACTTATGCTGCAGAGAGGGCAGACGGAAGACTTGGATGATGACATCTACATCTCCAATGAGCCTATGCAGCTTCTGTCTCTCCTATTCGACTGTGATATCTAGGGAATACGTTTTCTTTCCTGCTGTCAGAGACACACCCAGAGCCTTTTTGCAACGTTAACCCATAGAATCCCGAGATGCAATGTGACAATTACGGATTTACTGTAGGGGCAATGTCAACCGCAATCTGTCGCAGCACAAGAGGCACAGAACGGCGGCCGCAAGGATAAATCGGTCATAGAGAATATTAATAGTAAGTGAATCCATTGATATGAAACTAGCCATTTTACCACAGTATAGAAAATAGCACAGAGAAATAGTGAAGCTTAATATCGAGGACTTAAATTTCATATTACCATCCTCAGGATGCTGGAAGAATTGCAGGCCGATCTCAAGGGAAATCGCGGTTTCAGTGAGATATGTGCGATACCACAAACGAACTAGAATATCAAGAAAGGGAAGTGCAGAAGGAACTCGACAAATGCGGCCACGGTTGAGTTCTAACTAGTGCCGAGCATGTATCACCTGAGTATTTCATCTGACACGTGCGGCATAATTTGCCCGTAGCCGCCTTATTGCATCGTGGTGCCGTTGGTAGTAGAAAACTCAATATCTCGCTATGGGAGTAAGTTTGGCGTCGGCGCACAGTAACAGTAGTGGCTTTTTTTAGTGTTATCGTCTGCTACTAGTTAGTTCGTCTATCTACTCTGATCAGGTGTCATAGTTCTCATAATCCTCATGAAGGGTACTCTTTTAATTGGCTCAAATGATCTCATGCCATTGCTTTCAGCGATAAGATCTTAATGCTTGTGCCATTCATTCCCTTGAGGATAGACTAGCCTCTGTACTTTGAGACCTCAGCCAAGCTTAGCTTCAATTTAGTGGTCTGTTTCCTCCGTTATGAGAACGATCCAGAGCGTTTACGAATTGAGTTTACCGAACATTCCAAGTAAAGCAGCGGATTATACGCCACTCACTAGTCTCCAGGCTCGTGAACGCGTGGCTGCCATAATAATACCTAAACAGGAGCATCACCAGATACGACTAGAAAATGCCTCAGAGCCATGTATACTTTGAGGCTGAGCTAATTATTTATAGTAAAAAACTAAGTATCTATATAACCAAGAGTGAAGAGAGATCTCTAGCTAGTAAAACTCAATAGCATTATATGCGATAAATTACTAACTGTCTTGCGGAATGAATACGCCGATTGAACACACTTGCAGTTACTACCAAAACCTGCACGGAGTAGACACAGGAATGGTATGGCTTGTGATCTAATTACACCACAATCTGGCCCCATTCCAAGGCTTTCATACAACGCTAAGGGATATTTTTAGTAGTGACAGCATTTATAAATTCAACACCTCCCTGCATTAATCATGGACAAATCCATGGTGCATTGTGGATCTTGAAGATACATCGAATATCCCCTTCTTCCTTCGCTTCCCACTGTTCATCAAGCCACTATGTTGCCCAAACTCCTTCCCATTGTATTCATTGCAGGCGCTCTCGCAGCGTCTCAAAACCCTCTCCCATACGCAAATGAGCCAAATCGATGCGATGCCACTTGTCAGATCGCCTACCGACAAGTGCTAGCTATGGAACAAGAACGCTGGGTTAACCAAGACATCACCACTGATCCCTTCTATTCAACCCCCTCAAATGTGTCAAAGTATTCGACCGGAGACATATTAAAATGGGAAAAGATTCCAGCTGAGCAGGCTTATCGGCGATGGACTGTCCCTGCCGGCATATCATTGACCCGTTTCTACTACATGTCTGAGGATATTGAAGGGAAACCCCTTCCAGCGACGGGTATCGTGCTTATTCCATACACCAATCCCCAGGGGAATAAGCCATTTCGTACCGTTGTTTGGACGCACGGGACAGCTGGCGGAACCCGACAATGTTCACCATCGAACCATCGCGCACTCCTCTATGGGTGGACAGCTCCGTTTGCCCTAGCACTCGCGGGCTACGTCGTTATCGCCCCTGACTATGCAGGCCAGGGAAGCCAGGCCCAAGGCTTTCAGTACGAGGCTGGCATCCTCCACGCAGCAGATGCCAGCTTGAGCGTCCAGGCCGTGCGCAAAGCCCTCGGCAGCAAGATCACAAAGGAGTGGGTTGTTGTAGGCCACAGCGAAGGCGGAATGTCTTCTTGGCGCACCAACGAGCGAGAGGCAAAGTCTGTGGCTGTAGGCGGCCTTCTTGGCGCTGTTGCACTTTCTCCCGGCCTTGTCCCAAGCAAGATTATCGGCGAAACGATCCGCCGTGCCGCAAACGGCGGGCCTGCTGGAGACTTTCTTTCTTCCCTCATGCTGCAAACAGTTTCGAGGATATACCCCTCACTAAAAGTTAAGGACTATGCTTCTGATATTCTTCTTGGCCGGATGCCTCTCGCCGACCAAGGATGTTTCTATACTTCAGCTTCGCTTTACAGCAACCTAACCATCACCCAACTTTACAAGAACACCAGCTGGATTGAACACCCCGACTTCATCAAATGGGAGAAAGTATACAATGGTGCAGGGCCTCATAAACTAGCGGCCCCAATGCTCGTGATCCAAGGCGCCGAAGATCCCATAGTATATCCCGACACATCCGAGGAGGCTTTTAATGAAACATGCAAAGCGTTTGCTAGCTCGACGACTGCTGAGTTCAGGCTGTACCCTGGCCTTGGTCACGGGCCCGTCCTTCCTGCTTCACAGCAATATTACCTGTCGTGGATTGAGGATCGCTTTAACAAGGTTTCTCTCAAGAAAGGCTGTAGGAAGCTGACTATGACCCCCGAAACTGACAACTTCTCCCCGGTTAATGATGAATGGGTGGCGGTATTTTCTTAGACGACTTGACATGGATCAATAACTGGGAACGAGGCAGTGAAGGATAGGCTATATGCCAAGAAACTAATGTACTTTTGTTATTTTCTGCACAATTGAAATGGATGGCGTTTCGGTGACCGTAAAATTAGTCGATTTATGCATGTGATCAACTTCTGAACCTTTCAAAAGCCATCGGACGTGTTGGGCCCGGTATATACAGTCAGCGGGACTGTATTTCGCCGTCAATACCCATAGAAAAAGCGTAAAAGTGTTAAATTGGAGTCTTCACTCATAAGAAGTAATCAGGCAGTCAAGGTAAATACGAGGCAAGTCGCATCAGCGATGTCTACTTCAGGACTACCACATTCTCTCCCAGGCTCGCCTGGCCCAGGTCATCTCAGCCAGTCTAGCTTTCTCAACCTCCTCAATGCCGCCTTCTTCCCAGTGCCTGCATTCCTCATCAATCTCGGCCTTACCAGTGATCAAATCTGCGTCCTTCGGGTTGACAATACCCTTGCCTTCTCTCCAATACTTGATCTTGCCGACTAAATACATAACCGCAGTGAATGCAACGGCAAAGTAAGATGTGACAAAACCTCGCACACTGAATGGGCTGAATACATCAAAGCCCACAAAAAAGATCGCCGTACATCCCAGAGCGAGTGCCGCGATGGGGGTGTATGGTGTATAAGGCGCGACATAAGAGAGTGACTCATCAGTGAGACCCTGTGCTTTGCGGGCACGGTAGAATCCAATGTATGCGAGTAGCATGAAGCAATACGAAGCGATGAAAGCAGTGGTGGTCAGGTCAACGAACCAGAAGAAGACCTCGATAGCAGAGTTAGATGCCACAAGAAAGGTAACGCAAGAGATCAAGGAGACGGCCGCGGTAGAGTAGATCGGGACTCCAGTCTTGGTACATTTCATCAAAATCTTGGGAGCTTGATGATCTAAAATCCTTATCAGTACTGTAATCAACTTCGATAAGTAGTGGATTAGGCTTACCTCTAGCAAGGCCATAGAGCGTTCGACTCGCAGCGAAAAGATAAGCATTGCCACAAGAAAGCCCCGACACGAGGATAAGGGCGTTGATAAAGTGAGGCAAAAATCCGATCCCAAGATTCTGAATGCCAATTACCCACGGGCTAGCAGCAGCGCCAGAAGAACCATCTGCAATTGCGCTGACGAGCCTCTTATCTCTTGACGAGCATATGATGCCAACACATAGTGCTCCGATGATATAAAACCCGACAAGACGGTAGAATATCATACGCGCGACTCGGGGAATAGTGCGGCGAGGGTTCTGGATCTCACCGGCCGCAAGGGCGATCATATCAGGTCCAGCGATAGTAAATGCCGCATAGATAACGACAGACCACCAGCCGAGAAATCTACCAGTTGGACCTTTGGCGTAGTATTCATGCATGGCTCCGTCCTTCCAGTTGCGAAACCCATAGGCATCACCTTTGGGGTTTCCACCGGCCATCGTTATGATGGTGATGAGGACAAGGAGAATGAGCAATAACACCTTTGTTATGGCGAGAATAAACTCAGCTTCTCCATACCATCTGTGATACTGTTAGTTACTGCTGTAACAATGGGCGCTAAGGTACTTACTTGACAGCCACGACATTGAGGAAAATACAGATAACCATTGACACGGCTATCCACACCGCAGGATTAGTCGTACTATCCCAGTACTCCGCCACAGCGGCAACAGCACTATATTCAACACAAACAAGCATGCATGTCCCAAAGAAATAAGTCCAGCCTAGACTGAAACCAACAGCTGGCTCAACGAAGCGAGATGCAAGTTCAAAAATGGAGCCACGAACTGGGAGATATGCCATCATCTCCGCAACACACAGGTACGTCGGCCAGATGAAGCAAATACCCCAGGATGTGTATCCCAGAATAAGAGAGAGCGGTCCAGCTTGACTTAGATAGCCTCCGATACCGACCTGGTTCTCATCAGCTTCGGTCATGGGTAGAGTTAGATGATTGGCTTACCCATAGTGCTGTTCCAATTGAGCCACCGATGGCCATGAGCTGTACGTGTCGGGGCTTGAGACCACGCTGGGTCTGTCCGTACTTCTGAACCAGCTCATTGACTACCGGTTTGTGATCGGTGTCAAGGAGGGAGCCAGGACGGTGGCTTTCTACGGGTGCGATGCCCAGTTCAGTCTTGTTGGCATCCATTATAAAATGAAGTGAGGTCACGTAGGGACAAGAGTTTTGGGTGTCACTCGAGTGTTGACACAGAGCTAAGGAAACGAAGATGACGCGGATATCAAGGGATATATATGTCCATTTCAACTCACTACTCGAAAATGGGTTGCATAAGTGACCCTCGCAGTCGAGTTCGGAACTTCAGGTTCACTATCGTAAATCCGCTTATCTTCAGCATCGAAGTCAAACAACCTATCCCCATTACAGAATGTTCAGGCGACTTGTACCAAATCGACCCCCGAGTTCCCGACTACCAAGCGTCTAGACTTGGCTGCCAACGCTAAAGCGATAGCTAGGTTTTAACGTTTACCCTGGTTGTGTCATTGACCAATCTCCTTGCAAATGTATATCAGCCACAAAAGGGCCAGATAAGCTATCGTACATGGGGTAATCAGAACCACGTCTCAAGATGGAAATCTGGAGCGACTGTGTGCACTTCCCCGCGTTTTAGCGTCTGCGCTTTGGGCTCCTACCGCTTGATGATTATCGAGACTAAAGTGTTACTCTTGTCCCTAGCGCATTGCCGTTTACATAGCCCGCATTTCATGCTCTGGGACCTTTCCTTATCTAAGTTATGTAGAAGATAAACACCAACTTACTGGGAAGGCAGAGGTTACTAAAAGGTTACAAGGCATTCAGCATTGATAACGTATTGACTTTTGACGTTCCTCTACCGTATAGATAGAAGCCCATGTTTTCCAATACCCTTTCAAGACGGCAGTAGTAATCTCTTTCAATGCATCAGCAAGGAGGCGTATGTAGCGGCTCTAAATGAAACAGGCATATTCAGCAAGTTCATTTGTATACCTGTGCCAGACTACATTTCCTGGATCTTATACTTCCGATGTGGTAAATATCTCATGGTGAGGGGTATCGAACAGCTCGTTGAGATAGTCCCAGTTAGTTTCGTGCTGTACCTGGGCCTCCCCCAGGTTCCAACTCCTTGCCTCTGTTCCACTTGATGACGCCTGTATAGAGCTGATGGCTGGATCGGCTCTTATTTCCATGCCTCCACTGCTTTGTTGCGCCTTTAACCGAGAAGCTGTAGCTTCCGCTATCGATAAAACTCTGGACCGAGCCCTTGCTCCATCTTCCGATTTTTCAGTTTGAATCATTATCCTGACTCTTTCCAACAGACGCTGTACACCCAGTTGGTCAATATGAAATCCCTCCGAGGTGTGAATTGTTGCGTGCGCCACAAGACACAATGTGGTTACACCGAGTAAGAAGTCATGCCAAGTGATACTCTTCATGAACCACTCCTCGGTATGCAGCTGGCCTCCTGGCTTGCACTCCTCATAGACTTGTAGGAGGTCAGTTACCAGAGCGGATGATGCTGAGTAGCTTTCTCGAATGCTCTTGTCTCGATGTCTGGTTACATGCGGACGATGAAGAACACATAGGCTTTTGTAGTATATAGAAGAGATACAAAGGCGAGCAACAATGAGTTGAGGATGATCGATGATACAATTCTCGATTGGCCGAGGTCGATATACCTCCGGCAGGCTTCCGTATAAGTCTTTGAGCTCGGTATCTAAAGGGTCAATGCGAGCGTCTGTTGCCTCGTGTGAAGAATTTACTAGCGCATTTTGGAGAATCTTATCGAATATTGTCATGAATTTGTGCTTGAGAATGGAAAATGTCACACCAGTCAACTCAGAATCCGGTCGTGAGGAGGGCAGCTGAGCGCTGTGTTCATCGAAATCGGAGTCAAGAAGATTGCTTGGAGCCCGTGTGTCTGAGATTGCTAATGTGATTCTCGACGGAACACCCAAATGAAATGACACCAAAAGGTCAAGCTGCATGAACGAACTCCATGCCCTGCGTCGCATCTCTGCCATGAAGGGATTCAGAACGCTACTCTCTCTGTGATAGCCCGAAACCGTGGCAATGTGGGCAAGCACGCTAAGAAGAGCTCCCATATCTGGAGATATTTCCAGACAGGTTATAAAACGTGAATGAAGATAAAGCAGGAGTGCCTCAAAGCAGAAGGTCTTGGGGCGGAAATACTCGCCCAGAGCGAGACACTGTGCAGCAGCAATTGTAAATCCATGCCCTGGTATCTCATTTTCCTTGCCCGTTCGGGATATATTGGCAGAGATGAACAGCATTGAAAAGAGGATCGATATCCAAAGTGGTGAGGCTGCACTAGGATCGCTCCAGAAAGCCTCGTACTGTCTCTGAAATTGCACGGAATGTATATACGGCGTGACGTATAATCGAGCACGGAAATATGCGGATACTAGGCGGTCGGTGCTCCTTCGCGATGGGAGATAGGTATTGAGTACTTGTTCGACACTGACGTTTTGTGAAAGGCCAGCGCCGAACAAGATGTCCATTCCCATTCCAGCGTTTGTTGGAGGAGCACTTATGTCTCCTTCACCTATGTCATTGCCCTCAAGAGGATCGAGCGTGGACCTGAGAGCTTGTATATCATCCAGCATAGCTGACCAGTGTGTTGCACCGCTTGCAACCTGGTCGGAGCAAGAAGACGAAGATGCGATTGTTTGTTCCGCAGTGTCCGAATCGTGTGACAACTCAGCAGCCGGAGTCCCATTCTGAACTCCAATAGTGGGAGCTGAACGCTGTTCCGCGAGCAATCCCACGAGGTGCTCCAGATGTTCAAGCCGTGCTTGGGCCTGTGTGTGGCGGAGGCGGTCATCGACGGACACTTCGTAGGAGCAGGATGCAACATCTCTCCTTCGGATACAGCTGCCACAGGGACTTTCACGGTCACACTTGAGCTTCCTTTGCCGACATGCTGAACAAGCCAGCCGCTCTCTGTGCTTTCTCAATCTGGAAGCGGGCCTCATGGTTTATTATAGGATAAGTTCAACTCATGACGATGATAAACAGATAGAGCAGAGACTTTTATGAGGGGTCTTTAGGTTAACGGATGCTACCTGGGGCGCTAATCCTTAGTAGGTTTAGTGCTCAACCAGATGACTCGAGTCCGCCATGCGTTTCTACTTGATGGCGACGACCCTATAGTACAGTATGAATTCAGAGAGTTAAGGTAAAAGCAGTAACGCTGAACTAAGTAAAATGATACAGACTATAACTCTTAGTCTAGCCCCAACATGTTATGACTGCGGTAACTATTCCAGTGGATGCTTCAGTGTTAGCTTTTCCAAGCTCATCTCACCTCCGACAACACGTCGAATTCCCTCGATACCAGCCTCAGCGCTGTTCACAACTGTCACAACAGGCAGTCTTAAGAACCCATCCTTGACAGCCAGCAGGTACTCCATAATGGTGCGTATACGGATAGCTGAGTCCGGATCCTGAGGTGCACCCATCGCGTTCATACTGTCGCTTGGCCGATAAGACGTGCACATACCGAAAGCAGGGTCTTGGTGAACCGGGAGCGTGCAAGCCAAGAGAAGACCCTCAGAAGCGCCCAATGCACTCTTTGTGAGCGCAGGAGTGCTGGAACTTCCATCTTCCGCAGGACTCATGACTCCTTTGCCGACAGTATCGAAGGCCAAGGTTAAATGAATGCCGAGTGTCTTTTGAGACTGTTGAATATCTTCAACCACGGAGCGGCTCGCGTAGTCGAAGCAGTGGCTGGCGCCAAACTCTCGCAGGATGTCATGGTTCTTGGCTGAAGCTGTTACAAAGATATACTGGAGCCCAGCAGCCTTAGCCAACTGAATAGCCATCATTCCAACACTGCTCGCACCGCCCCAGATGAGAATCCCCTTGCCGGCAGGGTCAATGCCAGCGATACCAGCGGCTGTAAGCCCCAAGCCAATGACATTGAACAAGGCATCTGCCCCTGTATGTGCGGGCATGCAGATGAAACTGGCGTCCTTTGACGATACGCCAGCTGGGATCTTGTAGAGTAGTTCAGACCTCGCGACAACCAACTCCTGGTGAGTTCCGTGTGAATGGCATTGGGATGACGACGGGGGAGATGCCAAAGACGGCATCTCCGACATGGAATCGTGCGTCGGGGCCTGTTTTCTCAACAGTGCCGGACATTTCGAAACCGGTGATGAAGGGATTGAGTCCTATGTAGAAGAAGTTGTAATCGCAGAGGTTTATGGCTGAATAGTCGACACGGACGAGGCACTGGGAGTCCTCAACCTTGTAAGCCTTTGCTAGGAGGCCCAAGCCTCGCACGCCCCTTTCACCTCGTCCGAGGCGGACTTTCTCAAGTACCGGCGGGCTGATGTGTTTGCCGAGTCTTCTTCATTTTCCAACCCGCTCCGTCATCAGTAGGATTTAGAGCCAGTTCTTGTACAGTGGGGTGATCTGGATATCATTACAGGTACGGAGTACTGGTACTTGAAAACCAGCTTGTTTGATCCTAGTTGACTTGCTAGATCGGTAGAAAGCCCGCACTAGCCATTCAAGATAACTCAAGTTGGCATATAAGGGTTACATGTACAAGAGAGCCTATGGAACGCAGTCAGACGCCCACAAAGACACAGGCTTGGTAGAAACTTAATGACTCACTATAAAGGACATAACCTTGACAATGTAAGGGTTGTTCGAGCGGACGTAACAAGACGCGACAACAGAGCGCGCGTTACAGAAGCTCTAGTCTAAAGTGCTCTATAGTTTAATTGGGATTGAGTTTCACCGATCGGACCTAACCGCACCGGAGATTGTCGGCCGAGACAACACTTACGGCCGGGCATCGCGATCGGAGTTAATGGCCGAGAAATTGTGGGGAAAGGATCCCGGCCGATATTAATAAATGTTCCTAATAATAACAAAGAGGTCAACACTGCTTTTTCAGAGCATTTTCCATATTGCTATCTATAAATATCTAGAACAGGACCGCAAGAAGTTTAAAGATAAATACCACTAGACTCTCAATCTGTCTTCGTTCTTGTTCTTTTCATATCATCTTTACTCTCGAGCCCAGTTCTGCAGCACAAAGAAGTCTAGCAAAATGGACCGACGGAAGCTCGTACTTGTGACGGGTGCCAACACTGGCCTTGGTTTTCAAATTGCTAAAGCTATTTGCGGCTCTGACAAAGGGTATGAGGTCTTGGTCGGAGGTAGATCCCTTCAAAAGGCGGAGCATGCCGTCAAGAACCTCAAGGAACAGTTTCCTTCCAGCGATCTTCATGCAATTCAACTTGATATTGAAGATGATGTCTCAATTACCTCTGTATTTGAATATATCAAGGCCAAGTACGGGAAGCTTGATGCCCTTATCAACAATGCAGGTAAGTCTACTCTATTTTAAAAATTATTTTTTACATTTCTAAGTTATTCGTGAACTATAGGTGCCCAACTGGATCAGCAGCTAACTGCTGGTAAGATGTCAGCTAGAGAAATGTGGAATAAGACCTATGATGTCAACGTCACCGGAACCCATATCTTGACTTGGACCTTGGCCCCATTGCTTCTTGAATCCAGCGACCCCCGCCTCATGTTCATCGCCAGCGGTACATCCTCTCTTACCGGATCCGAGAATCCCGATTTTCCCGTCAATAAGTCGCCCAGCAAAGGCTGGCCTAAAGCCTTGAATAACTTCCATTTGCCCGCATATCGAAGCAGCAAGACTGCAATGAACATGATGATGAGGTATTTCATAACCAGACCAGCACGAACGACTAGAGCTAACTTGAAAATCAGGGAGTGGTTCCGGCTTCTTGGGCAGGATGGAGTCAAAGTATGGGCCATCAGCCCTGGATACCTGGCAACCGGCCTCGGTGTTGGCCAAGAGCAGAACAAAACACAAGGGGCAATTGATCCTGCTATCGGAGCTGCGATTGTCCGAGATGTCTTGGAGGGGCTAAGGGATAAGGAGGTTGGCAAGGTTGTGTCAAAGCAAGGCGTCCAGGGTTGGTAGAGTTCCATTTACACCTATAGGTGGAGCCAAGGCCGCTACTAGATACTGAGCTTAAATCATACATTGCATGAGGCATTCAGTGAAGCTTTTCCTCAAGGGGCAAATCTTCCTCTTGGTTACAAAATATCAAAAAAGTCAAGGTAATGGGCTATGATTTCCACAAGCCTTCACGGCCTTTGCCAATCAGAAGCGTTGTTAGACTCGTGTTCCTTCTTGAAACACGCTGAATTAGACAGTTCAGGTGTGGCACATGCAAGGGCGGATTTTCAATTTCGCAGATCTCGCGACTACTCCCGTGCGGAGCCGTGAAACAATATGTGGACCTATAACATTCCATCTGATTCTCATCTATGATCATTTGACGAGTGCCCTCATCAGGAATTGAACTAGATTAAGGATCCCAGGAATGTATCTTAAACTATCAGGCAAAGTAAGCCAACACAATGCCTTGAAAGCCCTTCCCAGCTACAGTACGTCTCCATTCACTGTGACGACATTGTGAAATGAGGTTCTGTATGTAATGATTGTCTCAAGCTGAAACTTGGTTGGAAAACTGGCCCGAATAAAGCCGGCAAAGCTTCCTGCAAACCGTAAACATCACCCTTCCCCCTTTTCGAAAAGCGAATAGATCGAAATTACTAGATACTCAGCTACTGAGCACCAAAGATTTCAATACGCCCGTAGAGGTCAATTCATTGTCGTTATCAAAGGAACATCGCCATGCTTCTCCCTGATAATCGCAACGATCTTTCTTCACAGTCTCTGCAGCAAAGCCAAGTTGACGGTAGGCACCAGCCTCCCAGTACATCCTGGACCTCCAAAGGACAACCTAACATCTCTAGAATTTCCCGATGGCTATGACACGAATTTGGGACAGATTGTTGAGTGCTACCAAACTGGGAAAGAGCGTGCACATCCGGCTGTAAGCTTCAATGTAACCGCTTCGCATCGTCCAGATCCGATGGACCAGCCCGAAGGTGCTTCAAAGACTCCCTGTGCATCCTCATATAGTCACTCACAAGGTTCTCCCATAGCAGGACATGTCCTAGCAAGAAGATCGGACGACAGATTACTGCGACCTGCTTCCGCCCAAATATCAGAGCAGCTTCAGATGCTTCCACTTTTGTTTGTCATGGAAGTCTCTAGCACGAGCGAGATAATCTTCCAGGCAGAAAAGAACACGATCTCGTATATAACCTCGAAGCTTGAACCTAAGGAGCCGGCAAACCAGTGTTACATCCTACCTTGGGATCGCCAAGCTCATGACCCGGTACCTGCACATCTGATTGGGAACCTCCAACATGGCGTTGGATCAAATCCATCGAGCATTTTCGAAAGTTATCTTGCTCAGAGATGCCTTGAACAGTCAAAGATCTGGTTCTTCTTGACAGATGGTGTTATTGAAGAGGAGCATGCCGATGTTTTTACCAGTAACATTACCGAAGCAGGAATACATGGTACTCCAAGCGTCATAATTGTCTTCGGAAACAGGTCTCGCCCTCCTTCTCGCAGCAAACTCTCAATTGGCATGTCTATCTGTGCAACATCGCCACATTGTGCGGTTCTTTTCCACGACGTATGGACTGACGAGCTATTCATCATTTAAGCCAAAGGATGTTTCGCTAGTTTGCTTCCCGAGGGGTCTTACTTCAAGTGGTTCAGTGGAACAAAATGGGCAGACTTTCCCCAAACTTCTTACGATAGGCTACTCAGGGTTCGAGTTCCCAAGCCAATTCAACTCTCCAAAGATGAAGTGGCCCTGCCTTACGGCAAGGTGTTCGATATGAAGTTTATCTACAACGACTCCATGTCGGACCAGGATAAACTTCAACTAGTATCGAACAATTCAGCCCTCGATGCGATAATGTTAGTTGCCAGAACGAGAGGAGAAGGGTTCTTGGTGAAGCTGTGGATTGAGAGCCTTCGCAGAACAACGAGAAGAGACAGTTTGACCATAGAGAGAGACGACGTCGACTCACGAGGGATAATAGTCATGACATCCTTAATTATGGCAGCTGAGCAAGAGCTGAAAGCACCAAACACTCGCCAGAAAGATATTTGGTCTTGTTTGACATCTATCGCATCTCCTCGTCGGTCCAGATCCATGCAAATACATGGTACAAGCCAGTTGAACTTTGATCGCGCGTCACTTCGACTTCAGCACAAAAAGAATTGGGCCAACTTCAAGGCCAAGGTGGAGATGGAACAGGCGGCTTTTAGGCGTGTCACCAAAGGCTTGCGAGAGGTCCAGTGAGCCATAGGGATACTAGACGACCCTTTGCCAAATGATCCAAGTCTTGCCCCAGCTGACACGTTTTGGTACCCCGCTAGTGGAATAAAGACTAGGATGAACAATGAGAAGCTGCCGACATCTGTTCAACTAAACAAGTTTGACAAACAAGATGTCGATAAGGCACTCTTTCTCTCTGGCTTCGCGGGTACCCGGAAGCATGAAAAAGGTGCACGGTCAAGGGCATACGCTACTTGTCCAATATGCCGTGAGCCGAATTCGATCCAAACATTGCTACTGCGAACGAGCCCAGAGGACAATTTAACTTCAAACTTTCCATTGCCCAACCAAATGCTGCAGTTGAAGTGCCCCTTGGCGCTGGGAAACTGTCCAGAGGTTGCCATCATCCTCCCACTTACATGCTGCGATGGCTGCGCATTCCTCCTCCTGAGGATGAACAAGCAAGCCAACTCTCTTCAAATCAGCCATCAGATCGCCGCAGCACTGCCACTTGTATCGCTCCAAGACAAGCAGAATCGCAGGTTGTGGAGGCAGACACTCGCAAAGGTCTTCAGACACCGTTTCCACGATAGTACTGTCTTGTCTGTCTTCCTCGCTACTGTCTGCGCCGAAATCGAAAATGTCCCCAGTCTAGCACGCTCAAAGAGTCTCAAGTGGTGCAGAGACGAACTCTGTCGACTCCCAGGGATCCACGTACCCCAAAGCGCCAGCCCAGAGCTCGTCACTAGTCTTCCATCAGCAGTGGACAATGTGGTTCCGCCCCAACAGGTCGCCTTCTTCGCATGCCTGGGAAACAAATTCTATCTTAAGGCAGTTCTGTCGCAGCCGATTGAGGGGTTTGTTGTGCTTATTCAGCTCGCGACATCGATGAATGTTGTTAAACCAGAGGCTATCAGGAAATTGGTTTGGAAGCGGCTTCTATGTCACTTTATAGAACAAGACTTGCGCCTGAGAACTAATTTCGGGGCAGAATACGCCTATGCCATGTTGCAAGAAATCATCCAAGAACCGCCGTTCTCTAGCCAAGGGCATCAGGGCAAATTCGCTGTATCTCCCCCAGAGCAACGCGCATCTGTATCACTGACTTCGTTGGTCAATTCTTACCTTATCCCACCAGGATCGAGCGCCATATCGCACTTTTTCCGCATAGCCTGCTTTGGGGAAGTATACAGTACGACAGAGTATAACGCAGCGCTAGCAGTATTTTTCAATATATTGGCCAGCATCAAATATCATGGTCAGGAGGCGACGGATGTTTTGGAAGAGATGCAGCGTGTGGCAAACAAATTACGCCACTTAGCAGAGGATATAAGGAGTGTTTTTGAGGATCCAACCTCTGTTGACGAGCCTGGAGCTACTTGTGTCATTGCTCATTTAGAGTCATGGCTAAAATGCATTATGTCAAGGAATCGAGCCATTCCAAGCCTGGAAGTCCAAACTGATATTTTATAATTGTAATTATCATTTTCTTTTATAATAGGGGGGAAACAATAGCACTAAAATCTCGTATTCCTTACTGTTCCTTATAGCTGGTTTAATAACAACTTCTATAATCTGTATTACTTATTGTCTTAGTGTATCTTAGGCAATCGTGTTAGGTAGCCGGTATACTGCCCGGATTGACTTTAATAAGAGTGTTATTTTAAGTTAAAAAACCCTATAGCTAATAGCTTATATTAGGCGCCTTATATATATATTATTTTCTATTTTGGAATTTATTACATTTTAAGAGTTATATTTATAAAATAACTATAAAAAACTTATCATAAGAATTTTAAAATATAGGCCCCTCTTAACTGTAGACTATATTTATATTATTTCTACCCTGGAATTCCTCCCCTCTATTTTATAGCAAACATCAAGCGATTGAAAGATAGCAGGAGTCACATAGTATTAATTAAGTTTATTAACTAATACATTATCTCATGATTGCCCACTCTCTAATCTTTTAACTTAACCACCAGGGTTGGTCTGAAGACTACCGCTCGGATTCCAAGGAAACTTGGGAATCTCGATCTCCCCGACAAACTTGCTCAGATCTGGTGCCACACTGTTCATATCAATCGCGCAGGTAGGCTGCTTCACACCGAACCTCTTGACCTCGGTGACATTGGAGTTCTTGTCAAATGACATTCGAACTTGATGTACAGTCCGTCGTGATAGGTCACCGGCAAAGTAATTCTGCGGAGAGATCATCATGGAAGAAGCAGCTTTCGTAGTCACTGTATTGGGTAGGTCGGCTGTGTTGGGGAGGTGATGCATGCCGAGATTAAAATATCTGTAAAAACAATCAGCTCTGAATGATGTCATACCACCGCAGCAGATACTTACAGCACGATGTCTTCCTGATCCAAGCTTTCTCCGTTGAAGAACTTGTTGAAATCAACAGCTGGGTGATGCAAGTCGTGGCTGTTAAAGGCATATGCGCTCTTTGGTTCAGTGTCGTGGTGCTGAAGGGCGTAGAGATTATGGTTGGCCCAGTTGGCGGCTTGGCCTAGGGCCGAAGATGACTTGACGGTCAGATGCGCAGTGCTACCACTATCTGTAGACCCAGTTAGCCATCATGTGGGTGCATGTCCATGGGGAGGGTATCATACTTGGGGTTATGGAGTAACCAGGCGCCTCCCCAAAGTCATTTAACTTGTCCTTATTAACAACTGAATACGAAGTAGCTCCATTTGGTGCCCAGTTAATCTTGCCGTCATCCTCGCTAGCAATGTACGAGTGGTTGATCTTCATGGTGTTGATAGGCTGGCCATCAGACCATGGGTAGCTAGCCAAAGTCAGTGGGGTGAAGTACAAACGCTGGGGAGTATCTTACACTTGAGTATGTGGTACAAACTCTGTCTTCATCAAACTGTTCTTTCTACCCTTGATGTCCAGGTCCAGCTTGAAGTTGATGACATGGTCATGCATAGATCCAGACAGATTATCATGAATATGAAATCCATAATCACCGTCCCCGGACCAAAAGGCTCCCTGGATATAGCCCGAAGCCCGAACAGTGACGGCGATAGATCCATCGTAATGGAAAGTGTACTCAAAGAGATAGTCATAGTTGCCCACCGTTGAAACGCTGCGTACGGTAAAGACAATGTTCTTGGTAGCAGAGACATGGTCCATGGTCAGATGACGTTGGATAGGATACCCAGTATCGTACTCGAATAAGCACAAACTATTGGGATGTACATGTGTAGTCTCACTGATGTAGAACGTTGTGTTGAGATAGGTAGCATGCGATGGACAGTCAAACCCATCGACCAGGTTCCATTGGCTGGTTCCTATGCCGTATGAGGAGTCAAGATAAGCTGATGAGGCATGCAAGGGATCTTGTGAGGCATAATGAGCAAGTGCCTCTTGTAGGCCGAATTCGTAGATGATCCGTTCACCCTTGAACCGGACATCGTGTAGCTGCAGACCCGTTTCTTTGTGATTTGAGAGGAAGAAGCTAAAGTCCACTATGAAATCTTGTTAGCCACATCTATGGTAACGGTTTCCCAAGCACTTACTCCATTCAACATAGTTCTGCTCTCTATCCACTCTGAACCGAGGGCCATCTGGCTGGACAGAAACAGGGGGAAATAAGTGATCACGTGGAAATTTGTCGCCTTGTTGATCAGTAGAAGTCCACGATCCATCGACGACTGGACCTGGCTTTCGTTTCAAGGTCTTGATGCCCTTACGAAAAGCGGCAGTGGTCGGCCAGAAGCTGCCATCATAGTACCAGCCTACCACCTTCCACTTCGATGGATCTCGGCCGGTGAGGTCGACCTTGAACTGCAGACTGGTGGGTAAAACTGTCTCAGAGTAGAATTCACCAGTATGAGCAGAGTAGAACTCGTTCCACTGGTAGACCCTATCGTTGCGGTGAATTAGCGGATCACTGCCTGCGATCAGCAGGTTATCCGTCTTGGCACCAGTTGCGGTCTGTTGAAACATTCAGTAAATGGCTTCTTGGTGTCATAGAAGGATATACTCACGCCATTGAGAAGTTCCTCTGTGATATCCTTTATCCCAGCACCAATCTTGAGGTTGAAAGCGGCGATTTCTTCAGTATCAGCGTTGTACACGTTAATTCGGCCTCGGCCAGTTGTAAACATGTAGTTGAGTTCCTCGTGATGCGCCACGCCCTGCTGCATCGGGAGTGGCCCGACCATGTACTCTTGAATGTAGGGCTGCACCTCTGAGTTGAACTGGAGAGTTGCTCTCGCATAGCGGACTGGAGCAGGACCATGGCCGTCAAGGTAAGCCAATGCATCTGTCTTGTTCGGCTGTAACAGGTCAAGAGACACGATGACATTATCCCAACTGGCTATAAGTTAGCTCATTTTTTGCGGCCCATATGCAGCTGATAGTAAGTGTCGGGGAAAGGTGAGAGTGAAGTAAGAGAACTGGGAATACTTACGAGGTGGAGTTGACTACCGCTGTCAGGTTGAGCTCCTTCTGGTCATGGAGATACGCTGTCACATGGGCATATTCTTCATCTGTAAGGCTCTGAAAAATATTCTTTACCGGTGCCTTGATGGTTACATCTTTGCCGGAGTCGCATTCTTCAGTCGACGACTTGTACTCTGAAAGCCGCTTTAGGGAATGTGGCCTTGTTGCTGGACCAGGAGGACCAGGATAGGCGGATATCCCATCGAGGAACGCAACCAAACATAGAATCAAGCTCGTAGGGTAGCGCATTTCTGTTTTCAGGCGCCCTTCTCAGTACCAAAGGTGGTGCAAGTGATGGTGCTGTTGAGCTACCCAACACAAGTAGAAGCGCTACCGTTATAGGCCTGTGAGCGAGCTGAAAATTGGTCGAAAGTTCCAGGTACAATTATGCAGGCACGGGAAGTACGGCACAGCTCGGCGCGGCATAAAACAAAACCGCGGGCATATGGGACCTGGCATCAGTTCAGCCAGCCACCCAAACTCACTAATGCATGCAGCAGGCCTCTTTCTCGTCACACAGCAGGGTTCGAATCCAACTCCCGGACTCGCAATAGTCTAGTAGCCTGAGTTTGTTTGTGTTAAGCGCCGGTATGTCGATCTCGATGGATCTGACTACCGGTCGCACCCGGTCCCAATAAAAAGATGGTACGGCAGATGAACCCTGGCACAGTTGCATGGTTTAGTAGTTGCATTGTGGCTGCAGCTGAGAAGCGAGATATCCACACCGATGAATATGTACATGTTGATCATGATACTCAGGCAAGGAAGTATCCTTGTAATACGAGACTGCAGGCTGAAAATTTAAAAGTGAGGCTACACGACTGTGGGTAGCGTGGCAAGCGAGAGATCATGACATAGGAGGCTTTTGTTGTGCCTGTACCTGTATCATGATTCTCTCGGGCCTTGTTGTAAGCCCGTGGTTGGTGTCTCTCTGCGCAGGATGGAGGGCATGATGGAGGCCGGTCGCGTGAGGCCCATTTACTCATCTTTTACCTTGCAAAACAACATCTCGTTGGCGGACTAGCTAGTGGTCCTAAGTTGGATTTTGCGAGTTGGAACTCATGTAGTGCACAGAATTATAGTGGGGAGGAAAATGATGCTCAACCTTAGGATCCTTAAGTCGTGTCAAGTTTGATACATGTCTAACTGACTCTGATTTTATTTTACTCCTGTGATGCTTCCTTGTCTCCGGTACCCATGCTCTCATAAAGAGCAGCAAATGCAGAGGCTTCAGTGCCTTTGGCCAGAAGCTGTCGCGGCGGCCCAAACTCTAGCAGTTCACCTTTATCAAGCACAGCTACCATGTCAAAGTCTTCAAGGGCTGACTGGATCTTATGGACAATCGCAATCACAGTGCGATTCTCGAAGCGCTCACGTACAACACGCTGCACGAGCTCATCGACACGCGAGTCAACACTAGTCATAATGTCAGTCCTTGATTTGAAGACGGAAGAAAATAGGCGGTTCATGGGCTTACCTGCTGGTAGCTTCATCGAGAACTACGATAGGCGAAGGGCGAAGGATAGCGCGTGCAATGCAGAATAGCTGTTTCTGGCCATGAGATAGGTGCAGCGCTTCAATAGGCGCATCAAGTCCGCCTTTCTCAGCTATTATATCCCACAGTTCAACGGCTCTCATGGCGTCTTCAATGGCGGCATCTGAGAGTCCTTGAGCAGGGTCCGCGTTCAGTCTCACACTACTTCCTTCGATGAGAAATGCATCTTGAGGCACGCCGACTAGTCGAGAGCGAACTTCTTGGCGGGGAAGTGTGCTGATGTCGAGCCCGTCTACGAGGATCTTACCACTATGAAGGTCCACCATACGGAAAAGACAAGAGACCATGGAACTTTTACCGCTGCGAGTGTATTTAGGTAAGCTTAAGCATACGTTGTGAGTAGTGAGAGCATGTTACCTTCCCGTACGTCCGCAAATACCAATCTTCTGACCTGCCTCGATTGATAAAGATATACCTTTCAAGACATTTTCAGACGGCCTACAAGAAGACTGGTCAGCAACTTTGTGAGTAAATGATTGAAGTGAACGTACGTATATCCGGCAGAAACATCTTCGAAAACAATCTGGCCCTTTGATGGCCATATTGACGGCGGCTGTTCCTTTTCCTGCGGCTCGTGCTCAGACGCAGTATCAGATGTGAACGACTTGATCCTAGATATGGCGCCAATATGCGTCTCCAAGGTTGTCCAGAATGTCATCAGCAGTTTCAAGTGCTGACTAAACTGGATGATGTTGACAAGCGCCACGCCGATCAACCCAGTTGGCAGCACACCTCTCAACTGTGTAACAAGGACCACGACCAGTACAGCGATGACTGTGACAAACAGGTCGAGGACAAGAGTCAGCCATCGCTGCGCCGCGTAGAGAAGATAGAATGGCCTCTGAGACTGGTCCAGGAGGTCATGATGCTTCTTCTCGAGGGCATCACGCCAACCAAACGCACGCAGCGTCGCTAGTCCAGCGACAGATTCTGTGAAGAGAGCGTAAAGTGGGCTTTTTGCCTCGAGATCCATGAACCTGAGCTGACGGGATGTCCGGAGATATGCATGCTGAACCACCCATAAGGCAACGAACAGAAAGGGAAACGCGATGGCGGTGTAGTATGAACCAACTGAGATGAGAACCATCTCAGCGATACACAGAACAAATGTGGCAAATGTGTTGAGCGCTGACAGAGGTAGGTCCATATCAACGAGCTGCAGATCCTGGCTGAAGCGGTTGATAGTGACTCCAGCGTCTGTAGCAGCGAAGAAGGACATGGGCGCGTTGAGCACCGTCTTGAGCAGGCTCTGGTGAAAGCTGTTGCCCGATAGCGGTACCATGGTGACGATCATCTGCCAGGTGCTAAGAACGAGGAAGATAATTGCGAGTCCGCCCAGCATTGCGTAAATACCTAGGTAATAGCCCAAGCGTGCAAAAGGGTCTTTGGCGTTGGCGGCTGCCCACCAGTTGAGCCAGATGGTGGGGAAGGACTGGCACACAATGAAGGCGCAGATGGCAAAGATGAAGATCATGCTCGGAATCCAGCCGATGGCGCGGATGTAGTAGAGGTATATCGCCATGTCCCCAGTGCGACGACCAGCGTCTTCTTTGGCTTCATCCGAAAGGACTATCTCTGAATCCACCAACGCATCGGGCGACGGTTCGGTCGATGTAGGGGAAGCAGTTATTTGGCTATATGTCCAGTCCGCAGACGCTACGGCCGAGCGGGACACGTAGTTGTCAGTGTTGGTCAGCTTGTCAAAGCTTCCCTCTACACAGCCGATTCCACTACCATCGAGGCTGATGATGTGGTCTGCATAAGAAAGACGATTTGCTACGGAGCTGTTAGTATGGGTTCCAGTGAAGGCCATCTGGCATTGAACATACCGCGTGAAGTCGCCATGATGACGGTTGTGTTTGACTGTCGCAGGAGACCATGAGTCCCGAGTAGATTATGGAAGACAGCATATTCAGTGTGCATATCCAATCCACTAAAGACATCATCCAAGATGATAACCTTCTTTTGTGCGTAGACAGCTCTAGCTAGACTGACTCGTTGGCTCTGACCTCCACTGAGGACAATTCCCTTGCTCCCAATCTTACTAAGATCGCCCTTGGGGAGTTGGGCCAGATCTTCCGTCAGAGAGCAAGCCTGGAGGACATTTTGGTACCAACGTTCGTCGACATGTGAGAAGGCGATGATACTATCTCGCACGGTGCCGTTCATGTGCCAGGGAGTTTGGTCGCAGTAGGCGATTTCCGCATTCATCATCTGGATAGATCCAGCCATGACTGTCACTTCTCCCAGGAATGCTCTGAGGAGAGTTGACTTGCCACTACCCACTGGCCCCACGACAAGGGTGAGCTTACCCAATGGCACTTGGGCAGTGATGTCGCTTAGAATGGGTTTCTGGGTAGTATCATAGCCAAATGCGCCTGTCTTGACAACGACACAGTTGTCGCCCAATGAATTCACAAAAAGACAGTTTGTGTGAAGGTTGGGCTCTTTCTCGGATGAGACCGAGTTTTTCTCCTGGTCGCTGCGTAAGGACGTGGATGTCGATGACCCTTCGCTCTTGTTATCATGTGAGATAATTCTACCATCGACGCGAATGTCTGTGTTGAGGAAGGCCTGTATACGCGCGAAGCTTCCGACAGACCCCATCAACGAGGACAACGCCGTGACAAAAGAGGAAATGGGCTCATTGAGCAGTGCGAAGAGTGACAGAGACGTAAACATGCGGTTGATGTCCAGGTTGCTATCACCTCCCCGTGACCGGGCGACGAGACTGTAGGTTGCAAAGGTCAAGACCGGGGCAAAGATAGGAGCGAGGTAAGCTGTAGATGCCTAGTGAGCAAATGGCCTGTCGAAGCGGTGTGAGATAAGTAAGGTAGACTCACCCAAGACCATATTCCAGATTAGCAACCTGCGGAACTTGCCAGAAATACGCAATTCGTCGGTTCGCAACTCGTGGATGCGATTGCTGAGCACGTCGGTCAGTCCGCACATTTTGACGCCCTTCATACTGCCTAGCATCTGCGACGTAACGGATATTCTCTTTTCGATGGCCTCTAACCATGCGGCTTGACGAGCCATGACGAAGCTGACTGCGATGACAGACCCGATGATGGAGACTAGACATTTCGAGGACGAGGTCAGTTCTCACTCTCGTGTATGGAAGAATAGATGCATGCACTCACAAATCGCTGCTCCAACAGGAATGAGACATGCGATGCCGAGCTGACGTCCTAAGAGGTAGACTGCAATGACAATCTCGACCAAGTTGGCCCAAACGTCATGGGCGGTGCGCCATCCCGTGTCGATCCTCTCGATGTCAGCACTCATCAGAGTCAGGGCTGCGCTGGGGTCAGCGGCAGTGATGCTGATATCCGTGGCCTTGTCGAATAGTATTGAGACGAGCTGACCGCGTGCCATGGTGATGGCGCGGTAGGTGAGGTGTTGATACTGGCCGCTCGTCACCTGTCGCATGGAGTGTTAGTAAAGTCCCTGCAGTGTCAGAGATGCACGTACTGCTAAACCCATGAATACAAGAAACCATGCGCCTATGAGGCCGTATCCTTGGTTCATATCATCAGAGTCACTGTCATTCTCTGCCCAGGCGAGGGTTGCTGAGATGAGGAACGGCTGGCAAAAGGTGAAACCGATAAAGCATAAACGCGGAAAGATGATGGACAGGGTAGGCCACTTCAAGGTTCTAAGAACCGTTAACATTAGGGAATGGTTGCCCTTCCGAGACGCTATACCAATGTCAGAATCCCGTCAATCGAGGTCTACAGGATGACAGACCTTTGGCCCAAGCAGTCTGCAACAGCTTCTGAAGATACAGAGACTTGAAATGTTTCTCGAGAGGAAACAATGCCTCAATCTCCAGGTGTTTAGAATAACCAGCGCGAAACAGTGGTATCTGCCATGAGAAGAACCAGTGCGATAAGACGCTACTAGTCACTTCGGGAGGCAGAGCACGGTACTGAGACCGCAAGAAACGACGCTTCTCAATTGCCTCGACAGCGAGCATGGCGATCTTTATCACGGTCGCGATGAGTGCGGTAATGGCGGCCGGCCGATTGTAGCCTTGAAGCCATAGTGTTCGTGTTCGTGCGGCGTCGAACAGCGCAGAGAAGAGCAGGAACAGAATAAGCACTGTGGACGGTCGGTACGAATAGACGTGCTCGACGTAGGATAGACACAGGAGACCGAGTGATGCGACGAAGGATAGGGCAGCTGTTGGGAGAGAGGCTTTGGTGACAACTGCAGAAGGGCGAGTCCAGGCGATGAGGAAGCTGATTTGCGAAGCTAAGAGAATGAGGCACAATGACTTGAGACTGTTAGTGCATGAGGCGCTATAAAATATGTTAATCGTCAACTAACTCACAATTTTACAGTAGAGCCAGCGGCTGTTTTCTACTTTGACTTTGTTCTTGTGCAGCAGGTAGACAACTCGACAGGGGGCAGCTAGAAGCACCAAGACAGTTATTGGTATAGTGAGTATGGACTCTTCAAAAAGTAGTGTAAAGTCGAAACCGCCTCTACAGTCACCAGCATGCGGACCGAACGAGTCGTCGCACGAGGAGACCATGATGTGTGACCAAATGCAAACGTTCAATCGTTACCATTGCTTTGGAGATGTTCACATTAGGGTCTCAGACCAAGTGGTGATTAATTACAAAACTAAATGACCTGAAAATTCTTCACCGTTAGTCGCATTACAGCCGCAGACCAGACTGGAAAAAAGAAAAAAAAGAATAAACGAGGAAATGTGGGTAGGACAAAAGAGAAAACAAGGCCAATGTCGTGAAATGAGTGACCAAGACACGTCAGTCTCTCAGTGCAAGGATGACATACAGGGTAGGACAACACGGCACGGCTCGCCTCGGCACGGGGCGCAGGCGGTCATGAGCCAGAAGAAACCCTCCGACGGCCCGGCCCAACGTTAATTTTTGTACGTAGTCTACTTCTGGGCTCCGAGTCGCCATGATCTGATCGATTTGAATCTATAGCACTCAAATCAGGAACAAAACGGAACGAATGTGCTAAAGATCGGCGATTTAGGGTAGACTCCCCGGGCACAAGTTCAGCTGACTCCACTGAGAAGCATAACGACGATCATAAGCCTAAATGGTAGTGCTAATATATATTGGGTTAGATTGGTGGCACATAACGGGCGGGGACTAATGCAAGCACGGTAGCAGCCACAGCCGAGGACGACATTAGACTGCCGGGTCTATTGGTTCTGAGAACACTATTATACGATCTTGTTCTGAGGCTAAAGACGGATCTCGCACTACCCGGAGAAAAATCTCCTTATTGACCTTCCATTCTAAGCTTGAGAGAGAGCATCACTTCTCAGCTGTTTGCCGTCAGAATTGTTTGCTTTTTTTTATATTCCCCACATCTATGTATCCTGTCTGCTCAGATCATGGAATTAGTTAGATAACAAGTTCCACTTCACGACTCGTATTCTATAATGATCCTGGTGGTGTTACACTGAAACCCATATCGACACGTTACATGCATATGTTACCCAGTGAGTCATGTCTTCGGCTACATGGATAAAGACCGAAGTTCCATTTAGCAGGCGTTTAATACTGGAAGGAAGATTTAGGCTTTCTACAGTAAGTAATACTTATTATATGCTTATTGTGCTAAGTTCGTTTACACCCTATTAACAAAAGATCAAAAGCTTATATAAATGCCAAATTCAGTGTAAAATCTACAGTGAGATTCAAAAGAAAAAGCTTTTCTTGTACCTGGCGCTGCAGACGCCACATGACCTCACACTATGCAAGGTTGACCTGTCTCCTATCATATCATACCGGCGCACAATTGTCGCCGCTGGATCATATGGAATGCTTGATCGTGAGGCCAGCCAATATCCTCCATCTCGCAGCGGATCCGAACTAGTCTGTGCAGAAAGGCCCAACGGACCGCCACCAACAAGGGTTGAAACAGGCGTGGCTTATAGCTGCAAGCCACCTCGTAAGCAACTGCCGATTCTTGGCGTCAAGTCCTATCATGAAGTATCTTGATGAATCATCTGCTGTAAGAATAGGTTTAACCCATATTTGTCACTCCACCACTCGATGAGTGTCAATCACGCAAGTAAGTTACAAGGGTGGTATTGTATGATTCAAAGCTTGTTTTGTGACCAATCATTCAATTTGCCCATCGCGGTTCCATTATTTCTTCTTGGCTGAAGCTACGCCGCCGACGTGCTCTCAACACTAGCTTGGCAGAGTTTACTCTATTCAGTTGATGGAGTGTCTGAAGAATCCCGGACTTCGTCCGATTCTGCTGTCCCAGAGAAGAAGATAATTCTGTGCTCCATACAACTACATCCGGTCTTTCCGGGTCCCGAAAACAGGTCGTACAAGGTTGTAGAGACACTAGACGAAATGAGGAAACGAAACAGAGGAAGAACATTGGGGATTATTGTGGTGTGACTGGTGGAACTTGGGAGACTGTGTGGGCAGTCAATATGCTGCGTTGGCCGTGGTTATGAAAGTGCATTCTTTTGAGCTGATAGACCTGATTAATGATGCCTGCATCGCGCAAGCCACCCGTAGTCCGTGTAACAGGGTTGTGAGTGGCCAGGAGGCGGAGACATCTATCCTCTCGCCGTTGGGAAGCAGGAAAAAGGAGACAGCATGGCGAAATAGGCTGCATATCGCTGTAGAGCTGAAAGAAAGCCTTCTAATCCGGTATGGTCTGCTGTGTATATCCCTGAATATGCCCTGAGTATTGTTGCCTCGTAGTAAAGCTGTTGGTCTGTAGCAAGGATATATCTGCTGTAACATCCATCCGCATAGCTGCGGTCTCCCTGGAAAGTAATATTGCATTGCTGTCGTGACGCAGAAACATCAAATCCTATTCGTTTGATGAACTAAACGTTTCTGTGATACACAGCCCAACAGAGAATTCTACTCAAATCAATTTCAAAACCTAGAACCATGGCAATGCCACCCACTACCTCTTGCGGCTGTGTCAGGACCGCAGATCAGTCAATGCCGGATCTGGAGCCTGCCATGTTCCCGCAGTTCGATCTATCTGAGGTGACACAGTCCAAGTCCCTGGAATATGCCAGCAAGATCGATCACGTTGCACCGCCAGGAGATGTGAGCGACACGTGCACTGCTCTCTGGGCGGCATGGGCGATCCTTCTTGGCTGCTTCACCGGGCTGGATAATGTGTGCTTTGGCTTTGACTGTCAGCACAGCGTTACCGCAGCGTCGGGTCACGCAGAGCGCATGAGACAAGCAGTGCATATTCGGTTGCCTGCCAATCAGCGTGTCGATGAAATTCTCACCGGCAGCTTTTCATCGCTGGTTGCAGTGGGCGACAGCAAGGCTAAAGAGCTATTCAACACTATTTTGTCAATTCAGAGCTTCGGACCAGAGAAAAGCAAGGACGTCGGAGACTTTCCTTCGTGGTGCAAGATCCGCATGACGATAGATCCTGTAACGCTCGACACTGTCTTGACATGGGACCCCTCCTTCATGAGCCGCGATCAAGCGGAGAACATCAGCAGCACCTTTGACAAAACCTTCAGAGAAATCACCAACCGACCTGACAATCTCGTATCAGAGATCGACTGCTTCAGTGAGAGGAATGAGCGACAAGTCCTGGCCTGGAATAGCAACACTCTGAGAGATGTGCACAAGTGCATCCACCAAGCTATCTCAATGCAAGGAGCATTGAGACCTGAAGCAGAAGCCGTTTGCGCTTGGGATGGAAGCTTTTCCTACCAACAAGTCTTGTCCCTGGCAGATCGCCTTGCCTCTCGTCTGCAAACCTCTGGGGTTGGACCTGAAGTCCTTGTGCCCATCTGCTTCGACAAGTCTAAATGGGTTATCGTTTCCATGCTGGCAATCCTCAAAGCAGGTGGTATCTTTGTTCCCCTCGACCCATCACAGCCACTTCTTCGTCTACAATCTCTCGCGCAGAAAGTAGAAGCCAAGACGATCTTGTGCTCCCCTCAGCATCAGCGCATGCTTGAAAGCGTAGCGCCAGAGTTAATCCCTGTCGACGAGCAGCTGTTCAGCCAACTACCCTATCAGATCGATGAGATTGACTGTGGATCGTGGCGAAACGGAGCCTACATGATATTCACGAGTGGCACAACGGGCGAGCCCAAAGGCGCCCTCATCGAGCACGGAGCTCTCATGTCAAGTGCACTCGCCCACGGACCTGCAATGATGATGGACTCCAACACGCGATCATTCCAATTCGCTGCGTCTACCTTTGACGTGAGCATCACTGAAATCTTGACCTGTATGATCTTGGGTGGATGTGTCTGTATACCCAGTGAAGACGATCGACTCAACGCTGTTGAAGAGGCCATCACACAGCTTCGAGCAAACTGGGCGCTGTTGACCCCGACTTTCGTCAAGTTCATTAACCCTGCCAATGTCCCTACTTTGAAGACGCTCGTTACTGGTGGAGAGGCCATGACACAGGCTGTCATCCGTTCGTGGTCGCACATCAACCTCATCAATTGCTACGGCCCCGCTGAGACGTCTGTTGTTTCGCACGTTCATCGGGGCATGGTACAAGGGACTAATCCTCTGAACATTGGCCATCAGGTCGGCATACACTGCTGGGTTGTGGATCGGGATAATCACAATCGCCTGATGCCTGTTGGTGCAGTGGGCGAGCTCGTCATCGAGGGCCATACTCTCGCACGCGAGTACTACAAGGAGCCTGAGAAGACGAGCGAAGCCTTTATTGAAGACCCATCATGGGCAAGAACCCCGCCGTCGCGGAGTGGCCCCAGACGAATGTACAAGACGGGCGATCTCGTCAAGTACAACCACGATGGGACCTTTCACATCGCCGGTCGCAAAGATGCGCAGATCAAATTTCACGGGCAGCGTATCGAACTCGGAGAGATAGAGCATCACATCAATGCCAGTGCCAGTATCAAGCACGGCATGGTCGTCTTACCCAGAGAGGGCTATTGCGATGGTAGACTTCTTGCCATCGTGCAGCTCTGCGATGCCATGAGCCAGGACCTCGTGCCTGATGGCCAGCCGTACAAGCTTATTGATGGCGATCTTGAGAGTAACGTGCAGGACACGATCGCAGAGACAAAGGAGCTTCTTGGTAAGAGGCTACCCTCATACATGATACCCTCTATGTGGATTGCAGTCGAGTTCATTCCTCGTCTCCAATCTGGGAAACTCGATCGGAAACAAACTGCAAAATGGATCGACAACATGAGCGAGGCTCTGTATAGACAACTCAATCCTGTGACAGCAGCCATACAACACTCTGGGGATCTCAAGTGCGAAAGCAAGATCGAGCTAGAACTACACAAGATCTGGACTTACGTCTTGAACCTCAAAGCAGAACAGCTCGGCCTCGCACAATCCTTCCTCAGCGTCGGCGGTGACTCCATCTCCGCGATGCAAGTCATGAGCGAGTGCAAGAAACGTGGTCTTGGCCTTGCAGTCTCACCCATCATCAACTGCAAGTCCATCAGGGCACTGGCACTTCAGGTCAAGGATATCGAAAGACCTGCGCTTCGACATGAGATGGTAGATGAGCCGTTTGACCTCTCGCCTATACAGAAGTTATATTTCGCGAGGCCGAACTATGACCAGGGTCACTACAACCAGAGCTTTCTCCTTCGGACTAGTCAGCGTATCCGTGAGGCAGATCTACGAACGGCGATGGAGGCTCTTATTCTCAGGCACTCGATGCTTCGGGCGAGGTTCCAGCAGGATGCTAGTGGGGAGTGGCAGCAACGCATCACCGATGGAATTACGTCCTCGTATCGACTGCGTGCCTTGGAGCTGACTTCACAAGAGGACGTCGATGACTCACTTGTCGACAGCCAGACGTGCCTAGATCCTGTCCACGGTCCACTTGTCGCCGCTGACTTGATCGACCGAGGAGCAGAAGAGCAGCTGCTGTTCGTCGTGGCGCATCACCTTGTCATCGACCTTGTATCCTGGAGAATCATCCTCCAAGAGCTCGAGGAGATATTACTCCGACCCGAAGCCGTGCACGATGCAGTTAGTCCACTTCCGTTTCAGGTCTGGTGTAAGATGCAGTCCGAGCATGCTGAGGCGCAGACACCAGACCAAGTTCTGCCGATTCAGGGCATCCCTGATGGAGACGCTGAGTACTGGGGTATGAGAGACACTCCCAGCGTCTATGGGCAGATGGTTCGTCAAGGCTTTGAGGTTGGGCCTCAGCAAACATCTGTTCTTGTATCCAAATGTCATGACGCCCTACGAACAGAGATCCCAGACGTTCTTATGGCAGCGATGGCCTACTCCTTTGGCCAGGTATTCACCAACCGTTCAATTCCAGCCATATTTGCAGAAGGTCATGGCAGAGAAGTCTGGGACACCTCAATCGACCTGTCCAACGTGGTCGGATGGTTCACTACCATTTACCCCGTCTTCGCTGGGTCAGACTCGCAGACTAGTCTTATCGATACAGTCAAGATGATCAAAGACGCAAGACGCAAAGTCCCCTATAACGGCCGGCCCTACTTTGCAAGTCGGTGGTTGACAAAGGCGGGTAACGAAGCCTTTTCACGCCACTGGCCTTTGGAAATCACGTTTAATTACCTTGGCCAGTACCAGCAACTGGAGCGTGAGGGTGCGCTTTTCACTCCTGAGAGCAATATCGCTGGTGAGATCAGGGAGGCCAGTCAAGGTGCAGACGTCGGGCCTTTGACAGCTTGTATCTCCCTATTCGAGGTGTCAGCAGTCATAGTCAAGGGATCTCTCCGTTTCTCATTCGGGTTCAACCAGAATATGAAACACCAACCTCAGATCCGCGAGTGGATTTCTTGCTGTGAACAGAGTCTCGGCGAAGTCATTACATCTCTGGCTTCGATGGCACCTGAGCCTACTCTGAGCGACTTTCCGCTCTTGTCTCTGACGTATGATCGGCTGAGGGTATTTACAGAAGAGAAACTCACCGAGGCTGGCATCACAGACATTAGTCTTGTTCAAGACGCATATCCTTGCTCTCCGATGCAGTCAGGGCTTTTGGTCAGCACCACCAGAGAGAACGCCGCTTACGCAGCCTACACACTTCACGAGGTCAAGAGCAAGAGCGGAGAGGCAGTGGATGTCGAGAAGCTCATTGCTGCATGGAAGCGCATGGTGCAGTACCATGCTATTCTTAGGACTATCTTCTTGGAGAGCGTGACGTTGGAGGATTCTATCTACGACCAAGTGGTGCTCAAGGAAGTCGAAGTTCCATTCACTGTTTCTGAGAGCGGCACAGATGAGGATGCGATTGCGGCGCTGAAAGTACCTACGAACCATGGCGACAACGCATCACGGCTTCTACACCACTTCCACGTTTGTGTTGCGAAAAGCGGCAAGGTCTTTTGCAGGTTGGACATCAGTCATGTCATCATGGATGGAACTTCATTGTCACTCCTCTTTCGCGATTTCGCACTGGCATATCAAGGCACCCTCAAGGCTGAGACAGGCCCGCTGTATCGCGATTACATCAAAGCTCTTCAAAGCCAGCCGGTCCAACCTGGTATCGACTATTGGAAGTCCTATCTAGCTGGTGTTGAGCCCTGCCTCTTCCCTGTTCTGGATGATGGGGAAATTGCAGATGTCAAGGAGCTGCGACACTTGAGGGTGAAATTTGACGAGCTAGCTGAACTTCAGAGTCTTTGTGAGCGACAGGGAGTCACTATTGTCAACGCCATTTATGCTGCCTGGGCAGTCACGTTACGCTTATACACTGGCTCTGACCAAGTCTGCTTTGGCTATCTGACGTCAGCTCGTGATCTTCCCATAGAAGGTATCGCAGATACCATCGGTCCCATTATCAACATGGTCACATGCCGTGTCAACGTTGACAGCACGACCAACCTCGGAGACATCATGACCTCAGTGCAGAGGGACTATCTCGACAGTCTAGAGTACCGTCACACGCCCTTAGCTCAAGTCCATCATGCGCTCCAGCTCTCCGACGCTGTTCTCTTCAACACAGCCTTGTCGTACAGAAAGCTACCGCCACCGCCACTGACGGACCTTGTGTTTGAGGAATGCTGTCCTACTTATGACCCAGATGAGTACAATGTGTCGGTCAACATTGAAGCAGGCGAGCACGACATGGCGATTGACCTGATGTATTGGTCAGATACTCTGTCTAATGGACAAGCTGCCAATGTTGCGAGCACTTTTACAAAGGCGCTGAGTAACATTCTGCATCACTGCGACCAACCTGTCGCTCAGCTCGACCATTTGGGGTCTCAGCATCGCAACCAGATCAGTCGATGGAATGAGCGAATTCCTGATGCGATTGAAAGTTGCATCCATGATTTGTTCAAACAGCAAGCCGTCCTACGTCCTGACAACCCTGCGATTGTCTCTTGGGATATGGACTTTACGTACGCCGAGCTTGATGCCGCATCAGACAAGCTTGCCTATCACATTGCTTCTTTAGGCGTCAGCCTAGAGACGTTTGTGATGGTCTGCTTTGAGAAATCTGCCTTTGCTATAGTTTCCATGCTGGCCATTCTCAAAGCTGGCGGTGTCTGCGTACCTCTGGATCCAGCACATCCTGAAGCTGCGCATCGCCTTCGTGCCGAGGATACAGGTGCTACTATAGCCCTTGTATCGCCTTCATTGGTGTCCAAGCTCAGCTTCATCGTCAAGACAACAGTGGCTGTGGACGCGCACTTACTGCAAAACATTTCCACGCCACTTGAACCATCTCTTCCTCAAGTCACACCTCACAACGCCTGCTTCGTTATCTACACATCCGGTAGCACAGGGCGCCCCAAGGGTGTAGTCCTCGAGCACAGAGGCATCGCCAGCAACGCTATCTACTCAGGCCCTAAGCTAGGCTACAGCCCAGACTCAAGGGTCTTGCAGTTCGCTTCGTACACATTTGACAACAGTCTTGCCGAGATCTTCAGCACCATCAGTCTGGGAGGCTGCGTGTGTGTACCCTCAGAGCATGAGAGGCTAAATGATCTAGGCGGAGCGATTAATCGGTACAGCGTTACGATGGTTGATATAACGCCCACAGTGGCCTGCTTCCTCAAGCCTTCGGAGGTCCCGACCTTGAAGACTCTGGCTCTTGGAGGTGAAGCCGTGACTGCCAAGTGCGTTGGCATATGGCGCGACTTTGTGTCTCTGCGATGCTGCTATGGGCCGTCAGAATGCTCCGTCAACTCGACCTTCTCTGGAGAGATCGCTCAGCCAGGGAAGGCCAACAACATCGGCCGTGCAATTGGTAGCGTTGCTTGGGTAGTCGATGCAGCCGATCATAACCTCCTTGTCCCGATTGGTTGCGTTGGCGAGCTTCTCATCGATGGCCCTATCGTATCTAGAGGTTACCTGAACCTCCCAGACAAGATGGCAGAGTCTTTTGTTCCTCCGCCCGCCTGTATTGACGGAATGACTGAGAACGCTGGGCCGGATCGCAAGCTCTACAAAACCGGTGATCTTGTACGCTACAACTCCGACGGCACCCTTACATACTTGGGCAGGAAGGATACCCAGGTCAAGCTCAACGGCCAGCGCATCGAACTCGGAGAGATTGAACATCACATCGAGGAGAATCTCCCCAAGGGCTGGGAATCTGCAGTGGAACTTGTCGCGCCACAGGGGAGGAAGTTGCTCGCTTGCTTCATCTGTGCTAATGGCGATGTTTCCCTCCGAGAAACAAGGGATGAGAGCATGGTACTCGACATGGACGACACTTTGCGATCTCTTGCAAAAGAGCTCGAGATTATGCTGTTCAATGTAGTTCCCGCGTATATGGTCCCATCTGCTTGGCTACCCATCTCCAAGATGCCTCTTACTTCGTCAGGCAAGCTGAACCGGCGCAGCCTCAGGGTTCTAGGAGAGTCGGTGCCAACTACTAAGATGAAGTCTTACAAACTTGCTCTCAAGAGCGGTAGAGCACCGTTCAGCGAGGTTGAGAAGCAATTGGCTGCTATGTGGGCTCAACTACTCGATATCAACGTGGCGTCTATCGGAGTCCAGGATCACTTCTTCAAACTTGGAGGCGACTCTATCGGGGCCATGCAACTAGTGACGCTGGCTCGATGTTCCAACATCGACTTGACAGTCGCAGGAGTGTTCCAGAAGCCATCACTACTGGATATGGCAGAGTCCGCGGTTCCGTTATCGAAAGCCCCTACCACGATATACCAACCATTCTCGTTGTTGTCTGGCGACTGTTCGGTCGATACGTTGCGGCAGACCGTTGCTGACTCTGCCCGTATCGATTTCGGTGATGTTCTGGACATCTACCCTTGTTCCGCATTACAAGAGGGTCTCATGGCTCTGTCGACCAAGGAGCCTGGCGCTTACGTGGCGCAACTCGTCTATCGAATGCCAGCCGACATCGACATCGGCAGGTTCCAGGAGGCCTGGAGCATCGTGGTCGAAGCTGAGCCAATGCTGCGAACAAGGATCGTTCATACAGAAGACGGTGGGTTTGTGCAGGTTGTTGTCGCCGGTGAAGCACCTCAGTGGTCGACCTTTGCCAGCCTCTCCGACGCCGACACAATTCGACGCCAACTTCCACTGTATAATGGTGCGAGATTGACTAACTACGGTATTGTCGAAGATGGTTCTACTGGCAGACACTTTGTGTGGACTATCCATCATGCGATCTATGATGGCTGGTGTCTTCCTCTCATCCTCGACAAGGTCAAGCGATGCTACCACGACGACCTGAGTCCAGCACAACTCAAAGGCCCCGACTACTCCGACTTCGTCAAGTACCTCACAAACCTCGACCGGGATCAGGACATCAACTTCTGGAAGTCCCATCTCTCCGACATATCCACTCAGCACTTCCCACGTCTTCCCAACGCCGATTACCAATCCTCCGCAACAGGTCTGCTAGTTCACAAAGCAGCGTTGGGAAACCCGTCAGGTTCAGAGATCACCGCTGCGACTAGGATCCGCACAGCCTGGGCGATGGCGGTGTCTACCTACTCTGGAGCCAACGACGTTGTCTTCTGGGAGACCATGACGGGACGCGATGCGCCTGTTGTCGGGATCGAGGACATGGCTGGTATTACTTTGGCGACTGTACCAACGCGCGTCGTGATCGACTCCTCACAAACCGTCGCTGAACTTCTCGTATCTGTGCAGGATCACTCAGCGGCTGTGAGGAGGCACCAATTCGCTGGGATCCAGTGCATCAGGGACATCAACGCTGATACGGCGCTTGCTTGTGGCGCTCAGAACCTCCTCGCTATCAACTATGGACCTCGAGAGTCGACGGATGCCTTTTGGTGCGAGCAGTCAAACGAGATGGCTGGCACAAACTTCTACTCGTCATATCCGCTCATGCTATCGTGCCACTTTGCTGATGGCGAGCTCGAGACTGTCGTGCATTTTGATCCTAACGTTATACCTGAGGTTCAGATGCAGCGCATAATGGATCATTTTGCGCTGATGCTAGAGTCAGTGTCGTCGTCTCATCTGTTGGATGACAAGATTGGGGATGTACCTCTGTTGAGCTGCAGTGACCTACAGACGCTGCGCGATATGAACAGTACCATTCCGTCGCCCTCAGGTCGACTCATACATGAGGCTATCGGGGCTCAGATAGTGGCTCAACCACGAGATAAGCTCGCTGTCGTGTCGTGGGACCAGAGCCTCACATATGATGACTTGGAGTCTCAGTCGACACGTCTTGCTGGTGTCTTGGTGGCAAATGGCGTTTCAGTCAACTCTATCGTTCCGTTCTGCATGGAAAAGTCGTCTTTGGTCGTTATTTCTATCCTGGCCATTCTCAAATCGGGTGCTGCCTTTGTGCCTCTTGACCCGGCGCACCCTGATGCTCGTATCAAGGGCATTCTTGCTGATACTGGGGCCACAGTTGTTCTTTCATCTGATCAACACCTCGAGCGTTTGACGAACCTCGGATCGATGGCCATCTCTGTCTCGAAAGCTCTGGCAGATGGTAGTACTTACAGTCAAGACGACGCAACCAGCCACTTTCCTCTATCATTATCCGCCAACAGCCCAGCATACATCATCTTCACCTCCGGCACAACCGGGAAGCCCAAGGGAACCATTGTCGACCACTCTGCATTCTGCACCGGCGCGTATGCACACGGTCGTGCCATGGGTATGACAGAGTCGTCACGCGTCTTGCAGTTTGCTTCCTATACCTTTGACGCCAGTATTATGGAGATCCTCACCACACTTATCCACGGCGGGACTGTTTGTGTGCCGAGTAGTGACGAGCGTCTCCACGATCTTGCGGGTGCTATCAACAGAATGAACGTCAACTGGGCTCTGTTGACGCCTTCGGTGGCCCAGCTGCTTCAGCCCTGGCTTGTCCCTGGTCTTGAGATACTGGTGCTCGGGGGTGAGGCCATGTCTTCTGCTCATATCTCTTCGTGGGCGCCGTCAGTTCGTCTCATGAACGCGTATGGACCTAGTGAGACTGCTGTTGTGGCTGCTGTCAACCCGACTGTTACACTGGATTCCTCTCCCTCGAATATCGGACATGCTGTCGGCGGTCTCTGCTGGGTCACTGATGCCACCAACCACGACAGACTGATGCCCATCGGCGCTGTGGGCGAGCTCGTGATAGAAGGCCCCATCCTCGCTCAAGGGTATCTGAATGATCCCGAGAGAACTGCAGAGTCCTTCATCATCAACCCCAAGTGGTGTCAGAAGTTCCCCACGGCTGCTTCTGGCGTAGAGCGCAGGTTCTACAAGACAGGAGACTTGGTCAAACTTACCGATGATGGGATTGAGTTCCACGGGCGCAAGGACGATCAAGTCAAAGTCAATGGTCAGAGGATTGAGCTGTCCGAGATTGAGCATCATTTGAGCGCGGACCCAGCTGTCGAGTCATGCCTAGCCGCAGTACCAGGCTCTGGCCCCTTCAAAGCCCGCTTAGTAGCCATTCTATCCGCCCACTCTCTTGAGCCCACCAAAGCAGATGATGAGATGCGCATCATACTCAAGTACCCTCAATCCCTCTTGGTGGATATTCGTGCGGGTCTTTCAAGGCATCTGACATCCTACATGATCCCATCTCTATGGGTCGTTGTGAATCATATTCCCCTCCTCCCCTCCGGCAAGGTTGACCGCAGGCGCACCGTGCGATGGGTCGAGGACATGACTCTTGAACAATACCATCTTGTTCTTGATGCGCAGGAAGAGGCGTCTGCGCTAGATAGAGAGCCATCAGAGGTGGAGATCAAGCTTAGGGCTGCTTGGGCCAAGGCCCTGAACCTCCAGGCCGACAAGGTTCCATTCAAGCAGTCGTTTATCCATCTTGGTGGTGATTCTATATCGGCCATGAAGCTCATGGCTATTTGTCGCTCTTCGAACATGGCTGTGTCTGTCAGTCAGATCATGCGGGCCAAGTCCATCATCGACCTTGCTTCAGCGGTCACCAACGTCATGGAAGTCCTGTACGACGAAGAGAAGCTGGAGAAACCTTTTGAACTCTCACCCATCCAGAAGGTTTACTTTGAGAATATCGGTCTCGGTTCTCACCACTTCAACCAGAGCATGACTCTGGCTACGACCTGCACCATCACCTCGTGGGAATTGTCGGATGCTCTACGCTGTATCGTCGAGATGCATAGCTTGATGCGTGCTCGCTTTTCGCGAGTGCGGGGCAAATGGACCCAGCGGATTACCAGCGATGTCACTAGCTCATACGCCTTCCGTTCACACGGCATCGTTGATGAGAAGCGGCTCTTGGAGTTGGTAGCCGAGAGTCAGACTACCCTAAACATTCATGATGGGCCGATGCTTGCTGTCGACATGTTTGAGATGCAGGCAACTGGCGACCAAATCATCACATTCGTGGCTCATCACCTGGTTGTCGACGTCGTGTCTTGGAACATCATCCTACAGGATCTCGAAGGACTTTTGTCACCATCTACCTACAGCCCTTCCAAGTCAGTCCCCTTCCAGTCGTGGATATCGAAACAACGCGACGAAGCCCAAAAGGCTTCATGGGAGCGTGTATTCCACGATATCCCAGTACCTGCATCAGACTGCCGATATTGGGGAATGGAAGACGTGCCGAATCTCCATGGTGACGCTGTCACAGAGACGATGACAATACCCAGTGCCACATCAAACTTAGTCTCAGGTAGTAGCCATGATGTCGTAGATGTCTTGCTCGCATCACTTCTGGCATCCTTCCGCCGAACCTTCCCAGATCGTTCTTCGATACCCCCCATATTCAACGAGGGCCATGGGAGAGAACCTCCCGATGACACTCTGGACTTATCACGTACCGTTGGATGGTTCACCACTCTCTGTCCTGTCTTTCTCCTCGAGGCCATTCCCGCTGAACACGACATCCTTGATGTTGTGCATTGGGTACGGGACTTTCGGAGAAAGCTTCCCGGTAACGGTCGACCTTACTTTGCTCATAGCATGTTGTCTGGCTCAAGGTCTCCGATCGAGTTCCCGGTGGAAATTGCGTTCAACTTCCTTGGCCAGACACGCGACTTTGGAACAGATGATTCTGTGTTCAAATCCGTTGATGGAAACATGCTAAACTCTTTGAGCTCGCAGTCCGACATTGGAGCCGACGTCCCACGTTTGGCGCTGATCGAGATTTCTGCTTCTTTCAACAACCAAGGCCTGATCTTTGACTTTTCCTTCAACCGCCGCATGGAACATCAGCCCTCTATCAGAAGATGGATAGAGAGTTGTGGGGAATATATACACCGAGCAGCTCAGATGCTATCTCAAGTTACACGAGAGCCATCCCCGGATCTATCTCTCCTTCCACTGGCCTTCAAGAAGGAGTCTCAAGTTACACAGGCCCTCACCGAGTTGGGGATCTCTCCTGATAAAGTTGAAGCAGTATATCCATGCTCCTCGGTGCAGCAGGGCATCCTATTGTCCCAGATCAAGGATCCTGGTTACTACTCTTACTCCATCACATTCTCGGTAGCATCCACACGACCAGGCGATACGATCAACGTACAGAGACTCTCAGAAGCATGGAAGCGTGTAGTCCGTCGTCATTCCACTCTTCGGACTGCGTTTGTGGACACCGCACTACAGGAGGGCGCTGTTAGCCAAGTCGTTCTAAGGAATCACGACGCTAACATTTGCGTCATCCAGTGTCCCTCCACAGATGTAGACCTCAGGCTCAGCTCCCATTCACCACTCGGCCTTCCGACGAATCAGCCGCCTCACCGTCTCACAATCTTCGACACCGCAGATCCTACAGTGCTGTGCGTGCTTGAGATGAGCCATGCTATCTCTGACGGAACATCTATGCCGATTCTGTTCCGCGATCTTGGCCAGGCGTACGCGGGCACCTTGAGTGCTGCCAACCTCAACGTTTACAGGGAATACGTCTCCTTCTTGCAGCGAAGTGGAGGCTCTCAGGACGCCAATTACTGGAAGGCGTATCTGGATGGGGCTGAGCCTTGTTGCCTACCTCTTCTGACAGACGGCAATACAGCGCCTAGGACTCTTCGAACCCTTACCCAAGGCATCAAGCATACCGCTGAGCTTCAAGCGCTCTGCACCGAAAGAGGCATCACCCTCTCCAACCTCCTACAGCTGGCGTGGGCACTCGTCCTCCAAGCATACACAGGCCTTGAAGATGTCTGCTTCGGTTATCTCGTTGCTGACAGAGATATACCCGTCAGTGGTATGGACGACGCGATCGGCGTATTCATCAATATGCTCGTCTGTCGCGTCCGCCTCGATCCATCCACCACCCTCAATACCGCCCTGCGAACCATGCAGGACGATCTCGCCACGGCCATGAACCACAAGAATGTTTCGCTTGCCTACTTCCAGCATGCCGTGGGCACCAACGAGTCTCTCTTCAACACAGCCTATTCGTTCCAGCGCAGATCAGTCTCCAAGGATATGGCAACTGGTGCCATTTCATTCGACGTGAAAGATGCACAGGACCCTAGCGAGTACGACATGACTGTCAACGTCGAAGTCTGGAACTCGAATGTTGAGCTGCAGTTATGTTACTGGCAAGACAGAGTCTCAGACGCGCAGGCCGTCAACATTGCTTCAACATTTGACCAAATCCTTTCCTCGATTGCGACATGCGATACGGCAATTCCGTTAGGTCAACTGAACATTCTCAGTGACCAGGGTAGACAGCAGTTGATGTCTTGGAACAACGCTGAGCCTGAGGTCTTCAACAAATGTGTGCACCACGTCTTTGAGGACAACTGTCAACAACTACCAGACCATACTCCAGCCATCGACGCATGGGATGCCACCTTTACCTACTCTGAGCTCAATGCAGCTGCTTCGCAGTTCGCTCAGTACCTCGTCTTTCTAGGCGTCGGGCCAGAGACGTACGTCCCACTATGCTTCGAAAAGTCAGCATGGACCGTCGTTGCAATGATGGCAGTCCTCAAAGCCGGTGGCGCATTTGTTCCTCTTGACCCTACCCATCCACCAGATCGTATCAAGTTCCTGGTAAGCAATGTCGGCGCCAAGCTCATCATCTGCTCCACGTCCTTGAAGACCAAGTTCGACAGCCTGGATCTTCCCGCCATTCCTCTCGGCAAAGAGACCATGTCGTTGCTGCCCTCCGTATTGCCAAACGCGCCCGACAACACTGTTCAGCCTGACAACGCTGCCTACATCATTTTCACCTCAGGAACGACAGGTGTTCCTAAGGGTACGATAATCGAGCATGCATCCTTCACCACCGGAGGCACCGCTCACGCCAAGGCTATCATGATGACGTCTTCCTCTCGCGTGCTGCAGTTTGCATCTCACACATTCGATGCTAGCGTCATGGAGATCCTTTCAACCTTGTTAGTAGGCGGTTGCATATGTATCCCCAACGAACAAGACCGTATGAACGACTTGTCAGGCGTCATCAGCAAGTTCAACGTGAACTGGACCTTGCTCACACCATCTGTCGCGAATGTACTCAAGCCGGGCAGTCTTTCTACCCTCAAAGTCCTCGTTACTGGCGGCGAGGCAATGTCAAGAGACCACATTACGAAATGGGCTGGCCACGCCGCTCTCGCCAACGCTTACGGTCCCAGTGAAACGAGTGTTATCGCTGCAACAAGCACAAAGGTCGATCATGATGGGAACATCATCAACAGTGACCCAGCTACTATCGGCCACGCTGTTGGCAGTCGTTGCTGGGTCGTCGATACACGAAACCACAATCGCCTTATGCCAATTGGTGGTATCGGCGAACTACTCGTGGAGGGGCCCATCGTGGCCAGAGGCTATCTTGGCAATAAGTCAAAGACGAAAGAGGCGTTCATAGAACCTCCGTCTTGGCGTACAGGCATGAAACTTGAGGGTGAAGACATCGGTCGTTTGTACAAGACTGGTGATCTGGTCATGTACAACTCGGATGGGTCTCTCAAGTACGTGTCACGCAAGGACACGCAGATCAAGCTCAATGGACAACGTATTGAGCTCGGCGAGATCGAGTACTACGTCCAAGCTCAATTACCGGACTACATTCAAAGCGCTGTTGATATAGTTATCCCGCAGAGCAAGACGTTAAGCAAGGCACTTGCGGTCTTCTTTACCAGCGACGATGACTTCGAAGATTCTTCCACCCAAGACCTTGATCCACTTCTCGCAAGTTTGTCGAGCTCTTCGACCGACCTTGCCCAGTCCCTCAAGTCAGCCCTCAGGAATGCTCTGCCATCGTACATGGTACCCGGCGTCTATATCCCACTTGTCAAGCTACCATTGACGCTCGCCGGAAAACTCGATCGCCAGAGACTCAAGTCCATTGCAAAGTCTATACCACCTCAACTGATGGCATCCTACAAGCTCTCTGGAAAGCCGAGAACCGAGAACCTCCGTACCACGGCGATGCACCGCAAACTACAGAAAGCATGGGCCACAGTCTTGGACATTCCTATCGACCAGATCAGCAAAGACGATAGCTTCTTCAGACTCGGCGGTGATTCAGTCGACGCCATGAAGCTCGTTGCGGCGGCTAGAGCGGAAGGCCTTGTCGTCACCGTCATGGCCATCTTCAGCAACCCTGTCCTGTCAGACATGGCAAGGTCATGCAAACACGCAGAAGAATCTCTTATCTCAATTGTAGAGCCGTTCTCGCTTCTTTCAGATATTGGAGACCCTTCGTCGCTCCTGCATGAGATTGCAGGTCGATGCGGTGTGTACGAGAGCCAGATCCTGGATGTCTACCCTTGTAGCCCTCTCCAAGATGGTCTTGTTGCCTCTACTTTGCAACAACTAGGCGCATATGTCGCTACTTATGTTTTCGAGCTTCCTTTGGACACCTGTATGGATCGCTTCAAGCACGCTTGGCAGAAGACCGTGGACCGGGTCGATATCTTGAGAACACGTATCGTGAACACGTCGCTCAAGTCATATCAAGCTGTTCTTGCCCCTCATGACATTGAGTGGGAATATAATGACGACCTTCAGTCCGCTACAGCCAAGTCTAGACCGGTACCTGATCACAATGGAGGAGTCTTGGCCCGTTACAGCATTGTTCAGGCGCCTGATGATGGACCTTTCCACTTTGTATGGATTGTTCATCACGCGCTATATGATGCATGGAGCATGTCGGCTCTACTCAAGCTAGTCTCCCAGTTCTATCATGGAGACACTGCTCATGAACACGTGGTCGCATATGCCAACTTCATCGAGTACCTTGCCGAAGCTGACGCTGAAGCCGCTGATGAGTTCTGGAAGGCTAGGTTCCAAGACAGCGCTTCAGTTTCCCATTTCCCCAAAGTCTCTTCAGCGCCAACCGCGCAATCACGCCATGAGTCTCTGACACATACGATTCAGTTCAGTAGCAGTGGACTCGGAATGGACATCACGATCCCAACAATCATCCGGGCAGCATGGGCGCTTGTACTGGGATCTCAAAGTGGCTCTGATGATGTTGTCTTCGGCGAGACCCTGTCTGGACGTGACATCGCCCTCGATCATGTTCAAGACATCCTCGGACCGACATTGACCACGGTGCCGTCGCGAGTTCAGATCGATCGCAACAGTACCATTGGTGATTTGCTGAAGAGTCTTCATCAACAGGCTACTGAGGTGATTCCCCATCAGCACGCGGGCCTCCAACGCATCAGACGCCTGAGTGATACCATATCAGTCGCCTCTAACTTCCAGAACCTGCTAGTCATCCAGTCATCCGACCAAGAAACAGGCAAGAATGACTTGCTGAGCCCGGTTCAACACGACGGCGGTCAACACAGTTTCTTCACGTATCCACTCGTTGTCGAATGCTCCATCGAGGCGCACGAGCTCGTCTTGACGATTCACCACGATGACAAGGTCATCTCGAGTTGGCAGGCGCAGCGAATCGCCCAGCAGTTCGAGGCGCTGGTTGGACAGCTCACGGATCTGTCACTTCGAGAACCTAGCCTCAAGGTATCAGAACTTCGACTCTACAGCCAAGACGACGTGGAGATGATCAGGGGATGGAACAGTACAGTCCTTGAGTCCTCAGTGGAAAGTATTCCGGACTTATTCTGGCAGTCAGTAGCAGCTAGGGGCAACGACACTGCTATACGCGCCTGGGACGGTCAACTCAGTTATAATGATCTTGTCCAACATGCCACGGCCCTTGCAAGAGTACTCGTGCACAAGGGTGTACGCGCCGAGGAACTGGTTCCGTGCTGTATGGACAAATCCCTCTGGACAACAGTCTCGATGCTCGCTGTGATACTCGCCGGCGGCGCCATCGTTCCCGTGGATCCTGCGCATCCTTCTGCTCGACACGCCGAGATCACGCGCGACTGCAAGGCCCGTGTTGTATTATGCGCGCCGCAATATGAGGAGCGCTTTCGGGGTCTTGTCGAATCTGTTGTCTTAGTCGACGCTGACCTATTTACTGCCAAGCTGGCTTCTCAAGATACTTCCACCCATGATCTTCCAGCCGTCGCTCCTGAAGACGCCGCATTTGTCATCTATACCTCCGGCAGTACCGGAAAGCCGAAAGGCGTTGTCATTGAACATGGCTCCTTCGTTACTAGCTCCAAGGCTTTCATGAAAAGCATGAACATGACTCCATCTTCAGCTGTACTCCATTTTGCATCCTATGCATTCGACATTGCCATGGGAGAGACATTTGCTCCTCTGACTTGCGGTGCCTGTGTCTGTATACCCAGCGAGGAGATGAGGATGTCAGATCTTGCCGGCTCTATGAACACTCTTGGTGTCACTTGGGCATTCCTAACGCCCTCACTCGCAAATCTCCAGGACCCTTCCAAGTTCACTACACTAAAGACATTGGTCTGTGGAGGCGAAGCACTTACACCTGAAACCATTAGTCTGTGGGGAGATAAGGTCGAGTTGATGAACGGCTACGGGCCAGCAGAGTGCACCATGTATGCCGTCGCCAACAACGCCGTATCCGCTTCCAAGGACCCCGCGAATATCGGCCGCGCCATGGACGGGAGTCACACTTGGGTCGTTGATCCGAGAGATCACAACAGTCTTGTCCCCGTGGGCTGTGTAGGAGAACTCCTCATCAGCGGTCCCATTGTAACCCGTGGGTATTTGAACGACAGGGACAAGACGGCTGCGTCGCTCATCGAGAGCCCAGCGTGGATGGACCTATTCACGAGCGAGTTTGTGCGTTTGTACAAGACAGGCGACTTGGTGAGATATTGTCCTGATGGATCCCTCGACTATCTAGGACGCAAGGACCACCAGGTCAAGCTCCACGGTCAGCGTATGGAACTCGGTGAGATTGAGGCTCGTCTTGAGTCTGACTCACGCATTCGCCAGGTGTTGGTCAATTTACCCACATCTGGTAGCTTCAAGGGACATCTGGTAGCTATTGCCTCTCTCCAAGATCTTGTACCTACTGAATCACCCCTTCCTACGGCTGGTTTTGTCCCCATTCCCAACTCCGCCATGGATATCGCCCGATCGCAGATCTTTGCGGTGCAACACAATCTCGCCGAGACACTTCCACCTTACATGGTTCCCTCGGTCTGGCTCGCGGTTCAAAGCATTCCCCTTTTGCTGTCTGGGAAGATCGACAGAGCGAGTGCAAGTAGTTGGCTTGCGGATGCACATACGGACTTTGGTAGGGTCACCATCGGCATGGACCATGGACAAGATACTGTCGACGCAGAAGTTACACCGATTGGCCAGCAGCTCAGGCGTATTTGGGCATCAGTCCTCAACATTCCAGAGACAGAAACGCCCATGAACCGGTCTCTCATTTCCCTGGGCGGTGACTCCATCATGGCGATTCAGATACTTACACACTGTCACGACCAGTCTATCTCATTGACTATGCACGACATCATGAGCGCCAAGGGACTTTTTGAGTTGGCTACTATCGTTGCTGCCAAAGAGAACCGGGTGCTCGACGATTACGAGGAAGATGACGACCAGGCATTTGAGCTGTCCCCGATCCAACGCGTCTTCTTCGACAACAGCGCCAATAAGGACCGCGGGGATCGCTTTAACCAAAGCCAGCTCCTATCCATTAGTAAGCCTGCGGTTGTGTCCAGCCTTCAAAATTCTCTTGACGCTCTTGTTGAAAGGCACCCAATGCTTCGCGCACGGTTCAGCAAATCTTCTCACGGGCAGTGGATACAGCAAATCGTCTCGCGTGTCGAAGGGTCGTTTGTCTTTCATCACCACGAGGTCGCTTCAGAGCCTGAGATGGTTCCGATAATTGCCGCCAGCCAGAGCAGTATCGACATTTCTGGTCCTGTTTTTGTCGTTGACCTATTTACTATCTCTAATGGCTCCCAAGTCCTGTCACTTGTAGCTCATCATCTCGTCGTCGACATCGTTTCCTGGATCAATATCATTCACGACCTAGAGACATTTCTGGCCTCTACCTACTTGCCGCTCGCCAAGCCTCTCTCGTTCCGCAGATGGAATGCTTTGCAGATCGAACACATCCATGCTCTCGACGAAGGTGCAACACTTCTACCATTTGCTGTACAGCCTGCCAACCTGGACTTCTGGGGCATGTCCAAGACTGCCAACGTCTACGGAGACATGACAAAAAGGTCGTTCGTCATCACAGAGCCTGATGTCATCTCTTCCATACTGGGTAACTCGCACAGGGCTCTGAAGACCGAACCACTCGATGTATTCATCACGGCGATTCTCAAATCTTTTGCACAGAGTTTCGACAGTCGGGAACTGCCAACACTCTTCAACGAGGGTCATGGCCGTGAACCTTGGGATCCAGCCATTGATCCTTCACAGACCGTCGGGTGGTTCACCTCACTCTGCCCTGTTCACGTATCACGATCAAGTATCGATCACGGTAATGAAGTCGATCATGTCCGTAGGGTGAAAGACGTGCGGCGCAGCATTCCTGACAATGGCCGCTCGTATTTTGCGCATCGCTACCGCACCAAGTCAGGCGATAACGAATCAATGGAGATCATGCTGAACTATCTTGGTCGCACTCAGCAAACAAACCCCACCGATTCTCTCTTCTCCGCCGTTGACTTTCCTTTCACGGAGCAAGAGTCTCAGGCTATCGCTGACGTCGCGCCCGAGACCGCTCGCCTAGCCCTCTTCGAGATTTCCATATCTATTATTGACCAGGGAATCAGTTTCACACTGATGTACAACCGACACATGCTTTATCAAGACGGTATCGCGAAGTGGGTGTCCAATTGCAAGAATACCCTCATCAACACTACGAGAAAACTTGCCGAAACACCTTCTGTTCCTACACTCAGCGACTTTCCTCTCTTGCCCATCAGCTACACGGATCTGCACGAGATCATGACTACACATCTCCCCAACGCTCATGTCTCGTTTGATATGGTGGAGGATATGTATCCATGCTCGCCTATGCAGACTGGTATATTGCTCAGCCAGCTCCTCGATCCATCCCAGTACCTATTTCATGTTGTTCTTCAACTCACTCTCCCCGATGGCTCGGCAATCGACACTGCGAAGCTCGTCCAGGCTTGTCACAGAGTCATTGAGCGTCATCCAGCATTGCGAACCATCTTTATTGATAGCCTGCGGGAAGGTGGCTCATTCGATCAAGTCGTTTTGAGACCCTTTGAGTCTCGCATCAGCACTATCAAGTGTCGGGAGATCGATGTCATGGCCGAGCTGAACTCTAGGTCGCTCGGTGAGGCCAACAAGAGACACGATGGCCCCATGCTCCCGTATCAGATCACAATCTGCGAGACGACACAAGGAAAGGTTTTCATGAAGCTTGAACTGAACCATGCAGTGACCGACGGCGCTTCGACATCGATCCTCCTCCGTGACATCTCCAACGCCTACAGCAACAAATTACCTCCTACACGAGCTCCTTCGTACAAGGAGTACATCAAATACATCTCCAACCAATCCACCGCTTCAAGCCTTGACTTTTGGAAAGTCTATCTTTCGGGATCAGAACACACTGGTTTCCCGACACTCAACCCAGACCTAATGGCTCAACGCCGCCTACAGTCTGTCGCTGTCCAGTTCGACCGTTTCGTAGAGCTACAATCACTCGGTTCCAAACTCGGCGTGACATTCTCAAGCATCATTATGGTGGCATGGGCCCTGTTACTTGGAGTCTATACGGATCGCCAGGACGTATGCTTTGGCTATCTTGCCTCTGGACGCGATGCCCTTATCGATGGCGTCGATGGTATTGTCGGTCCTCTCATCAACATGCTCGTGTTCCGCTTCCAGTTCACCCCCGAGACGCTTCTCAAGACACTCTTCTCCGCCGCTCGAGATGACTACATGGCCAGTCTGCCGCACCAGCACTTCTCTTTGGCTCGCGTTAGCCATGCCTTGGGTCAATCGAAGCGGGGCTTCTTCAACACTGCTGTGTCTATCCAGAACGCCGGTGTAACAAGTGGCTCCGAGACTGGCTCTCTCAATTACGAAGCTGTCGGTGCCCATGACCCAAGTGAATACGCTGTCACGCTCAACGCCAATGCTACTCGAGGCGACGAAGGCATTGTCTTCCGCTACTGGTCCAACATACTCTCAAACTCACAGGCCCAGGACCTTGCCGTAAACATGTCTCTTCTACTCAACGATTTCATCGATCACAGCGGGAACACTCTCATCCATCTTCGACTATTGCAGAGCTCACCAGTGGCTCGCAACACCTACACGCAATCGTCCGATGCTGACGGCTCCAACTCCGAACATGACGACACGAACCACCAACCCAAAGCAAACAGCTCAGGAATCAGTGCATCTTCGACCTTGATTGACGTCGGCGACGCAGCATCCATGTCATCCAACATGTGCAACTCATTCTCCCGCGACAGAAAGAATATCCATAACAAACTATCCGCACTATGGAGAGACAGTCTCGAGTATGAAGGCTGTGCAATCTCACCCACCGACAATTTCTTCGAGTCCGGCGGTGACTCGATCATCGCCATGTCCATGGTTGGCAATGCCAGAGACTTGGACTTGCCACTCACTGTGGCTGATATCTTCAAGAATCCCGAGTTCGGTTCCTTGTTAGATTGTCTCAATGACAAGTCGTACAAGGATAGTGACAGGTCTTCTAGCCATGGTCACGTGGAGATGTCGATCTCCAAGAAGGAGAAATACATCACCAAAGACCAGCCTTACAAGCCGCTCTCTATGCTTGACGCAGATGATACTGAGCAGTTCGTGCGAAGCTATGTCTGTCCTGTTGTCGGCGTCTCTCGAGCCAGCATCATCGACGTTCTCCCAACTACCGACTTTCAAGACCAGGTCATTCACGGAAGTCTTCTGAAATCACGATGGCAGCTAAATTATTTCCATCTAGACTTTTCAGGGTCGCTTGACATGGCGCTACTACAAGAAGCTATCACAAACGTTGTGGCCGCTTACGATATCTTGCGCACTGTGTTTGTCTCCCATCAAGGCCGTTACTTGCAGGTCATCCTCCGCCATGTCCAACCCACGGTCATTGTTGAAGATGTGGAGAGCATAGATCAATTCACTTCCGAGCTTCAAGTGGCCCACCAGCACGAAGTTCCGCGTCCTCAAGAACCGTCCCTGCGCTTCACAGTAGCGCGACAGAAGTCATCAGAACGACATCGAATCTCGGTCAGAATATCTCACGCGCAGTATGATGGCGTGTGCTTCCCGACGATCCTACAAAGTCTGAAGGCTTCTTTTGATGGAGAACCTATCCATCTCACACCCTCGTACGCAAGCTACATCCAGACGGTCTTGGGAATGAACAAAGAACGATGCTACGCGTACTGGTCAGCCCTTCTAAAGGGTTCCGCTCCTACCAACGTCATCCAACGACCGCGGACATCCTTGAGAACAAGCCCTACCCTAGTCTTGAGAAAGACCGTGTCTACGGCCTCACTCGCGTCGGTCAACATCACAACCTCAACGGTCATCAAGGCTGCCTGGTCAACAGTACTGGCAAAGGTCACAGGGAAGACTGACGTGATCTTTGGCAACGTTATCAGCGGACGGAATGCCAGCAACATACCTGGGATCCAAAGTATTGTCGGCCCCTGCCTCAACATCGTCCCCGTACGTGTCCGCCACCAATCTTCTTGGGCCGTTCTGGATCTCCTTCGATACATCCAAGACCAGCAAGTGGACAATATGCCGTATGAGACACTGGGATTCAGAGAGATCATCGACAAGTGCACCGACTGGGATGACGATGGAGTCAATGGTTTCTCTACTGTTGTTCAGCATCAGAGTATGCCGCGCACAGAGAGTTTCGCAATGGGGGGAAACACGTATGAAGTCGGCGTGATGGGTTCGCAGGAAGACTGCGCTGATCTCAGTGTTGTGACGACGCCTCAAGATGTCGACAGCACTGAAATTTGTTTGGTTTACAATGGGAATGGGGATATAAGCAAGGAATTGGCGGAACAGATGTTTGAAAGTCTCTGCGACAGGATTTCAGTATTCTCGCAAGACCCCTATGCCTTAGTGTAATGTTATAGAATATTTAGGTTATTGAGACAGGGTGCTACTGATCTCAAGTATTTTGGAGTCGTTTAGTGCTAGATGCATTGTATGTACAACGCCTGATTTAAACCATTACTGAGTGAGCGAATATTTCATGGGCATACGCAAACCGGAAGATAAGCTAATCAAAGCAATGATAATAACTGAGACTACAGCGATGTAGTTCATGTCACCAAGCGTGATAGGCAAGGAGTAAGAAAACCAATAGAAGACCAGAGCAATTGGCCTGCAGGAAGGAATCACAATATTAGCCAGGAGTCCCAGCCGATGGCACCAGAAAGGGCCACTTTCAAACTGCAAGCTACCCCGGTCACCATCAACGCCTATCATAGTCGCCCCTGGTAGGGCTCGTCTGATTGTGATATGAATTTTAAATTTTAGACTAATTAAGTCTAAAACATCATACGATGGCGCAAATGGTTATGAGGTTGAAATGCACCAAGTTAAACGCTAATAATTCCAGGCCTTAAATATTGCCTATAGCCTTTAAATAAGCGAGTACAAGCTCTCGTTAGCCAGCTCAGCGTGTAGTCACAAGGCTTAGATGCCGTCTCATAGCTGCACAGGCCTTTTGCCGAAGCGCGCCACATTTTTCAGCTTTAAAAAATACCAATAAGATCACACGGTCGGGCCGCTATGGTAGCAACCAGGGAAACAAAGATGTGCTTACTACTGAGACAACCTTGCTTCTTTGATGCCGAGATGCCGTCGCGCGAGGTCTCGCGCAGGCGCCTTATATGGGATGCCTATCCTCGCTAAAACCTTTCAAGAGAACAAGAAAGTCAAGCAAAATCTACACTGCACACCAACAACTGCTAACAATCGTTACCATGAAGCCGTTAACCTTCCTCCTCATCCAAGCTTGCGGCCTCGTGTCTGCCCAAGTTGTGTCTCCGTACCCGGTATCAGACTGCGGCGGTGGTATAGCTGGCACGGAGCTTCAATGCCCCGATCAGCCTGGCTGCTGCTCCGGCGGGGCGATGTGCTGCGCCGGAGGCTGTTGTCCACTGTCTGCCGTTTGCGTAAATAGCGGCACATCTAATGAGCAATGCTGCGACCTTTCGGATAAATCGCTCTGTGGAGCAGCTGTTACTGACTCGGTAAGATTCCTATCTCGCATTCGGATATTCTACATCCGAAGAGTCCCCGTTGTCTGCACAAGGATTAATATCTATTACTTCCAGTCTCCTGCGTGCCCAACTGCCGCCGGCATCCACCCATCAAAGCTCTGCGTCGGGGTTGACAGTGATTGGTACTGTCCCTGGGATGCTGTATGCAATAACGCGGGCGGCGGCTGCATCGGTGGAAGAGCCAAGAGAGACAATTGCGATGAACAGGCAACGGAGACTGCAGCAGAAACAGCACAAGAGACTGCAGCTGAGACGGAGTCGGATTCTTTCACGGATGATTTCGCGACCACGACCGAGTCCTCGGCTCTCAGTACTGTGGTGGATACGTCGGCCTCTCATTCAAAGACCAAGAGCTCGCTTGCTGTACCTGCGAATAACTTGCCAATTGTATTGCTCGCCGCCGCTTTTGTTCTTGTGGCATATTAGTTACGTCTATAGCGGCGAGTAATATTCCATGGGATTTGATTGATTTGCTCGCCTCAGATTATAATTGCAATACGTGCAATCCATTTTACACAAAGTCCACAGCACTGTCTCAAAACTCTCTGGTGATGATCCTTAGCAATTCTGAGTTTCAATATCTGTTTATAGCTTTGTTGAGCAAATCAACGGTTGCGGACCTTGATGAGACTTTATTGAAGATATAGACGATTCTCCTGTCGATTTATTGAAAAAAGGTGGGTTTATTGTACAGGTATTTAAATAAATACATTACAGATTTATGACGACATATCCACCTACCCTAGCTAGCCTCATAGGCAAGCGGGAACTTTTTGCTTCCCCGCGTTTTGCTCCCTTCTCTTCATTACATCATTGTGCCACAGACAGCCTTTTATTATCTCTAAGCAGGAGAAAGATATTAAACTTTAGGTAAATTCATTAGTGGCCGACAAGGAGACTCTAGTGCAATAAGGCTGACAATGGCCAGAACAACATTCGTTACCATGCCTCACTTTAGCTTCTTGGGAGAGACCTCCACTTCGACCGACACTATCATCCAGATGCTGAATGAAGACAACCAGACTCAGCAAGACGAAATGACAAAGAACTGGCGTGACCATAAGCTGCAGGAACTGAACTTCGTTGGTACACTTGCAAGTGACTTCTAAATCCCTCTGTTTAATTCGCGCTGACTGAACTTCTAAACAGGGCGCTCTTCTCGCGAGTTGTCTTAGCACAACAGGCTCCTGGCCGGATGTCCTCCCTAACGGCCGCAACAAGCCCTGGTCAGTGCGAACCATGTGGTTTAGCGGCCTCGTGTTCGCCCTCTTCTCAGTAGTCATTGCAGGCGTTCAGAGCATGAGATTGCACCGTCTGTCTGCTCATCCCGACGGCCTCAGCTTGATCCGAAATAGCCTTGGCCGAAAACGGCAATCCGATATCACGGCGCGACCTAGCTGGCTGCAGGTATATGCATGGGAATTCAGCCTTGCGTTTCTGGTCTTGGCCATATTTTGCATGGTGATCGGTTTGACCATTCTTATATGGGCTGGCACTGAGTTCGGGCCTTCGAAGTCTAGAGAGGAGGGCTGGTGGGATGGCAACTCGAAGGCAAGTGATGTTCTCCATGTCACAAGGTTTTACTAACACCAGTTTAGATGGCGGTGACCTTTACAATTGTCCTCGGATTTGCGTCTTTAATCTTGGTCCTGTCGCAGTCTGCTCTGTCAAAAGGTAATGCAATTAGGCTATAGCGGCTAGGTACTGGCGTCCGCTCAAGCTATTGGAAATGCCCAAGGAATTCCATCAACATTCAAGAGCGAGCTATTAACAGGCAAGCATTGCATAAAGAATATCGGGTTTCTGTGCCCAAGACTATTGTATCTGACATTCTGTATATTACAAAGCTACTTTTCTCAGTCGTACATAACTCTGGCACGGCTCTACCCCAACGTGCTCTACAACATTCTGAGTTCTGAGTTCCGCATCAATAGGTAGAAACTCAAAGTTCCATATAAGCAATACCCAGAAGATCCGAAGCTGCAGGTAAGCAAGTCTCCTTCCATAGCAGCCCCGCGGTCCACTGCCAAACGTCATGAATGGTCCCTTCAAGGCGTTGAAAGTCTCAACACCATTTTCGTCAACATCGATCCATCGCTCAGGCAAGAACTTCTCAACATCGTCTGCGCGCCACTCTCCGTATCGACTCTTGGTTCCCTGTGAGGCCTCACTCCGAACGGTCTCGGGCACCTCGATTGCCGGCTTCAGCAGGCTGGGCCCGTTTAAGATAAAGAACACAAATGTGCCCTTTGGAATGGCGTGGCCGAGAATCGTGGTGTCTTTCATTGCTACTCGACTTACGATTGGGAGCACCACGCTGTGACGTAGTGTCTCCTCGATGACAGCATCGAGATATCGAATAGACGTGCCGGTTATTTCGTCTATCGTTGGCTGGCGGTGCTCTGCACGAGCGGTCGAGAAGGCATTCTGAAGAGCTGATCGGAGCTTTGCTTGTGCATGCGGAGCATCCGCAATGTACCTGACACCCCACTCGAGAGTAGCAGCTGTTGTATCATGCCCAGTGATGATGAATCCAAAAAGCTATTCAGAATTGTTAGTTGTCATTCGACAGAAGAAGAAGACGGAGGGGAGCATACTTCGTCATAGATTCGCCGACGATGAAATCTCGGCGGTCTGCCAGCCTTCTGAGCAGCGGCAGCTTCGCGAAGTACCATAAACTCGAGTGCCGAACGCATCGCCAACGTATTCTCTGAGCCATCTTTGGGAATCGCCGCGACCGCCTTGTCAATCTCACGTCGCGTCCACTCCTCCCTAACTCTAGCGGCGTTCTTCAGGTACGGGAATTGACTCAGAATCCAATAGTGCCATCGGGGCATCGGCGACGAGAAACCGACAGCGGAGCTCTCAACAATAGTCAAAGTGGCATCTAACTCTTTCGTCAAGGGGTGAACTGGGAATTCCACAATCTTCTTGCCGGGCTGCGTGAACTTGACACCTGCATTAGATCGAGCCAACATGTCATCCAGCTGCCGTTTAGTAGCGCTGTTCTCGTCGTCGAGACCAAAGGAAGTAGATGTAATGACATCGAGAGTAGCTCTCTGAATATCTCTCTTTCCATCAAACGCAAGCTCATTGGCATGCACGCACTTCTCATGCCAGAGTTTGACCAAAGTGTTGACTTTACGGTATATCTCGGGAGCTGAGTTCTAAGGCCGGTTAGATTGTTTTCCCAATCGCGTCGAGCTACCTTACCTGGTGCAGAAACTTTGGTGTCATGAGATCCTTCATCAACTCTCTGTGCTTCTTGAACCTAGGATCTACTGTTTGCAAGGAAAGCATCTGATGTGGAATGATTCCCGCAAATGCCTCGCGGGCTCTATCACTGCGGTCAAATTCCTTAAATCGTTTCCCAAGGATATCGTGCATCTCTCGAAAGTCCGTCAGAACGATTCTCGGCTTTCCGAAGGGGCGGACGAAGACTTGAGAGATCGCCGAGTTGAGGTTCTGATTTTGCAGCCGGAACCATTTGCGTTGCTGCCCATTTTTCTTCTGATACTCGATCAAGTCTGGAAGGTCCCCAAGGAGTCGTTTTGTAGCATTTTTGTTATATGGTATTCCGGGAATAGGCTTGGGAAGAGCAAGATTGTAGAGGCAAAAGAGCAACAGGACGATAGAAAGGCCGCCGGCTGTTAGTTCAACCCCGGACATGGAACTGAGATACAGAGTGAACGACATATTGCTGGTTAGTAGAGTAAATATTGCTCTACAATGTTAGTATGTCATTGATTGATGATTGATCGGTAGGAAGTTGCATTTCGATAACGTCAAAATATATCTTGGTTATAAGTCTACGCCTAGTTATGTCGTTGTTACCAGTAAATTGATCGACATTCTTCTCATTGCTTGTTTCCGCGGAACTGCCATCATAGGTCCACTTTGGTCATTCCCAACGATGGGGGCACTAAACATTATGCTCCGAGCCTGGGGTTCCGCGGGGTTAGTGCAGTCTACTCAGCTATTCCGAAACAGAACTTCGACTAACTCCTCCAAAATACAGGCTATTTTTTAGGAATTGTTAGTCCATTAAAACACCAGATAACTGGCGCAAACTGTGCTGTGGACTTCCATCTCCCTCGCATTAAGCAGCTAAATCAAGATCCCGAGTTAACATCTCAGGCTCATACATCCTTTGCTGACATCGTATCACGTATGAAACTACGATATCAAGGCTAACGACAATGCAAGACTTCCAGGGCAAAGTTATCGCCGTCACCGGGGCGGCATCGGGAATTGGTCTTGCAACTGCTCAGCTACTGTTTACAGCTGGAGCCAAGTTATCCTTGTCTGATAGATCGCTCACCACACTTGAGCAAGCCATCCAGGCCCTTCTTGCCACTCACCCAACTCGTCATAAACAAGATATCATGACAGCAGAGGTCGATGTTACATCTAGCGCCCGGGTAACATCCTGGATCGAAGAGACCGTGAAAGCATTCGGCAGACTCGACGGCGCAGTTAATTCAGCAGTAATAAGCGCTGTTCAAATGGGCAAGGGCAGAGTCCGCGACCTGACCGACGATAGCTGGGCTTTGTGCATGGGCATCAACGCCACTGGTGTCTTCTACTCTATGCGGGCTGAACTCAATGCCATGACCAACGGTGGGAGCATCGTCAACGTGGCAAGTCTAGCTGATGTAATAGCAGTTCCCTGTGCAGCAGAATACGGGGCCTCGAAGCATGCAGTGGTCGGTCTTACAAAGACGGAAGCCAGAGAAGAGGGACCAAATGGCATCAGAGTGAACGCAGTCGCACCGTAGGTCGCAACAATTCGCGCCTTGAGATGTATAAAACTCTACTAACTTTTGATTTAGTGGCCAGATAGATACTCCAATGACTCGGAGTGTTCCCCAGGAGTTTACAGCGTTCCTGAATGACAAGGTTGCAAAGCAGCCGATTTCAAGACAGGGACGAGCCGAGGAGGTTGCGGCGTTGATATGTTTCCTTCTTAGTGACATTTCGGCTTTTATAACTGGTCAGATCATTCGTATTGATGGGGGATCTTCAGTATAGTGTGATATATATTTTTGATCTGATGACAAGACCTTTGTGGCAAGTCCAATGTACCACTTTTGGAATCTCCTGTTTGTATACATCATAATATGATGTTATACTCTATATTGTTGTGGCTCACTTCTTGTTTGATCCTTAATTACTGCTGCACTCATATCGTAAGAAAGCTAGAGACCTAACTACCGAAGTCAAAAATGCAACTTGGCATCTTTGCTGATATCTTAGTACTGTCACTTTCGTAAAGCTGAGTCGTAAAAGGGATAGCAAATAATCACAAGGTATATAAAGTCATAAAGTCAAAACGCACATCTGATATATCCCGAAAATACAGCATTGATGTGCTACGTAATATTCATGTAGATACTTATTAACTAAAGGCGGCACTTAAATGCCATGCCATCAGTCCTCAGATAGCAAAGGTCTTCGAGGTTGGGTGCAGAACAGCTCTAGCACCTCTGCACAGAGTTGCGCCAACGTATTTCACGACCTTGAGTCGATGAACCGGACCGAACTCGGAAACATTAAAGAGACCAACAGACCCCTCACCTGCCCAAACCTCGGCATGAGTTATCTCCATACAGGTAGGGATAAACTCCCGGAGAATTGGGGGATCATGACTATTCGCCGCAGGGATGGAGCGAAGGTGAAGACTCTGGCGCTTCATGCCATCAAGAACACCCCAGTCTTGAACCTTCTTCAGCGGCTTGAACCCGAACTGGACGAGCTTGCAGCCCGCGGGGCGCTCAACATGGCCCGTTATGATTCCATTAGGAGCTGAATTCGTGGCGGAGGGATCAAACTCAACGACACCCATCAATTTTGGAATACTCCAACGCTCTCGTCCGGCATAAATGGCACCTTCGTTGTTTAGGATAAGCTCGATGGAAAAGGGCATCTTATTGCCCTGGAACTTGACCTCGACCCCACAGACAAACTCGTTGTATGGGCCAATTGGACTCATGCCATAGTTGAAGAGGGTGAGGGTGACAATGGGTTCATCTTCTAGCTCTAGTTCCTCGGGGATCATGTCCTTGACGGCATCGTATGTAGTATGATATTTGACGGAAGAACTGTGATATCGGTGAATTCATCCAGGCCAACGGGGTAGGGCGGAGAGCAGAGAGGGATGGGGCCTCTAGCTTCCTTTGTCTTCAGAGTACCGAAAGGCATAGTAGAGAACTGCTGGTAGACTTTTGTGTATACAGGTCAGGTGGAAATAGTCTTCGAGCGTATCAGAGGAAGCCCTGATACCACGGAAGAGTAGATTATATACATACGACATAGTAAAGAGAGTCTACTTGTATCTACTTGCATGTTTGGATCTTGGCCACGGTGCGCCCGTGGTCTCAGCGGGGTTCGGAAGTCGGAATAGTGGCTGATCGCCCTGGCACCCCGCGTTTCCAGACCCCGGGGATATTATGATGGACTAAAATTCAGGGAGTCCTGACAGCCTCAAGCTTCACCCATGGGTAGCAATCGACTAACCAGATAGAGACGTCAAGTCGAAGTATTACGGTGTTCAGGCATTGTACCCTCCATATCGTTTCCATGGAATCAGCTGACTAATTCTCAAGGTTGTTGTGTTATTAATGGTTCCGTGTAAATGCTCCGCGGAACTCGGAAGTAAAGGAAGCCTGCTAAAATTGTGGCATCCCCGCTTAAACTAGAATTTACAGGGAACAGCCTCCCCTTTAACGCGCGAAACTTCAGTGCCCGGACCTCCAGCCAAGAAACAAATTTGGTGAGTTTGGCCTTTCAACTCGAAATCTCAGTCCACTGCTAATCTTGGAGCTCAACATACAGTACCACTTGCTCCGTGCACATCAACTCATCCCGTCACCATGAGCGACCTTGCCCATAAAACAGCTTTAGTTACAGGAGGAGGTTCGGGTAAAAAGACTCTTGTTGCACTTCTCTGTTCTTCTATCTGACTCCCAAACAAAGGAATTAACCTGAAACTTGCAAAGGCTCTCAGAGACAAGGGATGCGCAGTCCTTATTGCTGACATCTCACTGACTCCCGCTGCCGCAACATGGCTCAAGTCTCTTGGAGACCAAGTCAACCCCCGAGTGGTGTTTCACAAGACTGATGTAACATCACTTAAACAATTGGCCAAGGTCTTTGAGGTCTTTGACAAGCAGATCGGCGGAGTACCTGACATCGTAGTGCCAGGCGCTGGCGTGTACGAAGGGTCCTTTCCTGGGTTCTGGGACGATAAGGACGAAACGCTCAACTACAGGCTGTTTGACATTAACATTCTGCATCCGATTAGAATGACACGCATCGCGATCCGGAAGATGCGAGAGGCCAAGAAGTCGGGTACCATCCTTCATCTCTCAAGCATTACCGCCCAAAAGCCCTCGGTTGTTCTTCCACTTTATGCTGTATCCAAAGCCGCTATCAGCCAATTCGTCCGTTGCATGGCACCGCTCAACGAGATGTGCGGTATCAGAGTAGTTGGAATTGCACCGGGGTAAGTACATATTCCCTCCTAATTTGTCGATCTTACTGATAATATCTAGGTTGGTTGACACGCCGCTGCTTCGTAATAACTCGGGATCACAGAATCACGTTGATCCGTCACAAGATTTCTTGTTGCCTCCTGAGGAAGTTGTGATGGCTATGATGGCATTGCTCACTGAGGCCAAGTACACTGGGGGGACGGTTATAGAGGTTGGTGATATTGGGAGTTGGAGGGAGGTGCACATACTGGGAGATGCTGGTCCTCAGGGCCGATCAACTCGGGCAAGAGCCAAGACATCCGATGCCACAGCCAAGCTTGCAAAGATGTTGCTGGGAGATGAGACGAATGTGTCTGGGCCCTCTAAGCTATAACTATTCTGAAGTAATATTGTCTCTCACTGCCTCTCAACTCTGTCCTGGATCATCTTTATTGCCACTTTTACCGTAATTCATGCATTGGTGAGATGAGTAATGAGACGCCAAGCCAGAATGTGTCAAGTACTCAATTTTGACTAAGTGTTTCAGGTATTGTTAATATCACACTTTACGCCGTATAGTGACCAGCCTGCGAAGCTACGCTATTACTCTTCACTACAAACAGTCTTTACAAACCGTGGAGAGCTCATACGATTCTTAGATAAAGTGGCAGTGTTCATATATGTTTATATGGGATGCGCAGTCTAGCTAATCTGGCTAATTACTTCGTAGTCCCGTTCACAACACTTTGACAATCTTCCTCTACGTTACGCCTCTCGATCTGCTTAGTATGCTCGTCAAAGTTGATAAACCAGCTATGTCTAACTGTTAGTCGAAATTGCTTGCAGGAACATCGAAACACGGGGTGAGGACTTACGTTGTATCTGGAGACTCAGCAGGATTCGTCTCCCTGTAAGTAAACCCATTCGCAAGCCAAGCAAAAGTCAAGTCCTCACTCTCGCAAAGGCTCTTCCACTCAAAGTCCTCCCACCTCGGTGTACGCAAAAGCTCAAAGTAATGGACCCGACTACCAGGATGCAAACTGTTAAGCTGCCCGCCCGTAGTACCGTTCTTGTACGTACTGCTGCAGTCACTCGCCCAAACCGTCCTTTCAAGCCACGCAAGGGCCTGCTTCTGGTAAGCAGCGGGTATGTGAGTCTTGGGAACGCAGTAGCTGTAGTTTTGAGTTTGAAGCTTGGTCACAAAGTCCGTGATGTACTTGGTCACCATTTCGATCGAGGTTACGAGACTTCCATGGCCGAGGGGGGAGAATGGACCGAGGAAGCCGAAGTAGTTGGGCATGTCTTGTGCTGTTACTGAGAGATAGGACCGGGGGTTCTCGTTCCATAGGTCTTGGAGATTAGTTCCGTTGAGACCGTTGATAGGGAAGCGAGGGGAGCAGGATAGGTCAAAGCCGGTGGCGCAGATGATTGTGTCGACGTCCGTCGTTTCGTGGCCTGACGATGTACGAATGCCCTTTTTGGTGAACGCCTCGACTGTGCCCCAGATAACCTCCACCTTGGGAGACGTGAGAGCCTCAAGATACCCATTTCCTGGTGTTGGACGACGACATCTGTGGATCGAGGTTAGTAACACACTCCATGTCTTTCCATGGTTTTGACTTACCCAACAGCAAAGTCCGGGAGCAGCGCTTGAAGCAAGTCCTGCCTCTCCCCAAGCTTGTTGGCCATCTCTTGAATTCCATACTCGCGCGCAGCCTTTTGTTCCGGAGAGTGGTCTACATACAGTCTGAACCGACTGTTAAGTTCGTGCTCAATCAGGCGCCTGTATTGTAGATACGCATCTGGGTCCTTCGCCCAGGCAGCCTTTTGCTCTTCAGAATAATCATAGTTTGCTCCCCCAGGTCCAGCAAATTTGGAAGCGAAATTAGTGGTGATCCAAGTCGGACTTCGAATGTGGACATATATCTTCTCTACATCGTTGAGAATAGCAGGGAGGATCTGCACACCACTGCTTCCGTTTCCAATCAGTGCCACTGTCTTCCCCTTGATGTCTTTATCGGCGTCCTTTGGCCACGCTGCTGAATGGAGCATTCGTCCTTCAAACTGTTCTCGGTCCTTGACGTTGGGCCATTTCCAGTGGTTGAAGAAACCGGTGCAGTTGATGAGGATATCACATTCTTCCACAAAAGTGGTAGACGTCTCACCGTCTGTAATACCTGGGCTTGAAACGACAAAATCTCGCCCGTCGGTCTTGGTTACAGTGACTTGCCATACCTCGCGCTCTGGGATCCAAGACGCGTTGGTGATCTTGTGAGATGTCTTCACGTAGCGCCGTAGATCATGCTGTTCAGCTACTGCTCTGATGTACGATAGGATATCCTCTTGCTTGGCATAATACGATTTACAGAATGGGTTTGGTGCCCAGGAGAACTGGGAGACTCGTCAGAATTTGGCACCCAGTCAGCTTGTGGTTTACTCACCTGGTAATTGGGTGCTGGTATATCACAGGCGCATCTAGCAGATCGTTAGCTTGAAGATGAGATGAAATGGAAGCTAAAGCAAGGTACACGAGCCCAGAGAGATGAGCATTGACGAAATCTCCGACTTGATCACCAGCTTTGCGAAAGCAGCGGAGCGAGCTGTCTGGGCCGGTGTAGATGTACTGGAGATTCATGTCGCCCACGGTTACCTCCTCCACCAATTCGTCAGTCCTATCACGAATCAGAGGAAGGACAAGTACGGCGGCAGCTTCGAGAACCGCATTCGGCTGGTTCTTGAGATCATCCAAGCAATTAGAGGTGTCATCCCAGCATCCATGCCCCTGTTTGTCCGAGTCAGCGCGACCGACTGGATGGAGAACACTACCCTAGGCAAGAATCGAGGAAGTTGGGATATCCCCAGCACGATCCGTCTTGCAAAGCTTCTTCATGACCTAGGCGTTGATGTCCTCGACGTCAGCTCCGCGGGCAATCACCCACAAGCCGCTCACACTGTGTTTGACGCCGGAAAAGAGCAAGCTGCCATGGCTGCGAGGGTGAAGGAGGAACTGGAGAAGGCGGGTAAGAAGATGATTATAGGTACTGTCGGTGAGATTACGGAGGCTTTTAAGGCTAGAGACTTGGTTCAGGAAGGCTATGCGGGTAGCGTTGATCTGATTTCGGTTGGTAGACAGTTTTTGAAAGAGCCGGGTTGGGTTTTGAAGGTTGCTCAGGAACTGGACGTGGATGTGGCCTGGCCGCAATTTATTTCGCGACCCCAGATAACTCAGATACTCACAAAGCTCTAGACTATCATATCAGTAGAAGCTAATGTAGAGTTACACTATTTTCATCATCAGTTATGACGGGCTATAAGCACTTGACGGCGGTCAAACAGCAGGGTCAAGTTGAACGCATATATGATGCGCCATGTCTAAGAAAAGCAGAAATACAAGATGAATTATGCATCAGAGCCTCTTGTATTTATATATGATTTGTTTTGTATTTATTCCAGGAGCACCATGTGAAGGTGACAATGTGAACCGTCGCATGTGCTTAGGTTGTTTCATCAACCTACCCGGGAGGTCTGGTCGGTTCCAAAACTGCAACCAATCAGAGAGCTCACCAATCATTAGCCCGACCACGAGAGAGACATGGGCTCCACGAAGCCGCCCGCGGAACCTACTATCCCACGGAATCGCCAATTCCGTCGCAACTTTGTAGTCGCAATTGCATCCTAAAGGTGCGCCAGAGGCTAAACAGGAACAGTGGAGCAAAGAGTCAACAGATCCGTGAACTTTAGCTAAAAGGCTTCCGTTGATACCCTGTCATTGAAAACTATTATACCTGAACTGTATGTCAATTGAGAAAAACGAACTTCGCTTTTCGCAGCTCACGTTATGTCGGTCAACGTACGCCCGAAGCCCGTGTCTGACCAAGTCCGTGCGACTCGCCTCGAAGTTGTCGACCGCCTCGAGAAACAATTGGCAAATGCCAAGCAATGGTATGACTTTGACAAACCTCAAGACTATAGAAATGCACGAGCAGAAGGGACTCACGGGTTCGATCGTCCAAAACTCAATGACCAAGCTCGTTTGGTTTATGCCCCCGGACGTGAAGGGCAGAGCATTGAACTCCGCATGATTGAACCGCCTGTGCCGTCTAAAGGTGTTTTCCTCCACTTCCACGAAGGTATTACAACGCGCTAGTCTAGCCTGAATGCTTAAGTTAGTGGCCGTCTTTAGGTTGTTTTGTCATTGGGAGCAATGCTTCTTACGATGGGTACTTGACGCGAGTCTCCGAAGCATCCGGCCTAACCGTGGCGTCTGTCGAGTACCGCCTCGCGCCAGAGCATCCATTCCCCGCAGGTCGCGATGACTGCGTGGACGCTGCGCTCTATGCTCTTTCTACCCCGGGTATGAGTGATCTTGGAGCTCCCTTGCGAGTACTCGGTGGAGAGTCGGCTGGCGCTTGGCTCGCCGTGGCTGTTGCGCTAGAATTACGGGACACGTATGAGATCGACGTCAAGACACAGATCGCTGCAATTTGTGCTGGCTATGGGATATACGACTTGACATACACGCCCTCCCTACTGTCGCATGAAAGAAACATAGTCCTCAGTCGCAAGACCATGATGAAGTTCTTGGAGGCGGCTTTCGGTCATATCCTGTCTGGTGAAAGGAAAAGACCTGACATATCCCCGTTGTATGCTGACCTGGGTAACCAGCCGCCGGCGCATTTTCTCGTGGGGAATGTTGAGCCACTACTCGATGATAGCATTTTCATGGCTGCCAAGTGGGCCAACGCTGGGAGTGAAGCTGAGCCGTATGTCGTGGAGGGGGCTCGCCATGCCTTTACGCTGATTCCATTTGGTGAGGTCACTAATGTCGGGATTCAGGCAGTTGTGGAATTTTTACGGGTGCAATTGCAAAAGTTTTAATACGTCAACATCCATGGCTCATAGTAGTTAGTAAAAGCCTTGAATTTCGAATCAGTTTGTTTAGGTAGCTGCAGCAGAAATATTCATTCTATAGAGACTATCGAGCTTCTATCTCACTGAATATCTCAGCTAATGCTGAACTGACCTCAACATTAGATCCTGCCATCGAATCTGGAATTATCCCGTCAAAGGTCTTTGAGAAATCAAATGTCTCCGTACTTGAGGGATAATCGACCGGACCAAGCGGCATTTCAAAGGTGAAGTTGGACTCTGGAAAACTCTCCAGGGGGAATAAGAGGTCGTAGTCCGGACGCGAATCGTGAGAATTAAAGTCCAGCACACACTGCAAGGCTTTGAACGCTCTAGCTGCCGACATGATTGTCGCAGACAGAGATTCTAGCATATTCCTCGCTCGGCGAAGCGCTAGAGAAAATGGTTCGGGGTCGATTATAGAAACACCCTCACGGTGTCCGAGGGTGATATAGTATATCGACTCGACCAGAGAAGAAGTTAGTATGTAGCCACCACGCGGGTTTGCGCCCCAGTTGTCTAGGTAATGGCCCATCGCATCCAGGGACTCGATGGAAATCCTTAAGCAAGATGCCGCCCTTCTAGCATTCGTCTCTGGTGGGCTCAGCGTCTTTTGGCGGATGCTCAGTCTGAGTGATTGAAATCTCTAGAGTGTGCTTGATTAGTGCTGCGTTTACTCATCACGTGCAACTGTTGTTTCAAGACTTACCAGGAAAACAAGAAGCCGCCGTTGATCTTCTGTCTCTGAAGGAGATTCGAAAATGGCGTCGTCCACTGACTCCCCGTTCCATGGTTGAATGCGGGGTATTGCTCCCTAAAAGCTAGGAGCTTGGCATCAAACGCTTGGATCTCAACCCAATCACTCGCCAATGGGGCATTGGGAGCCAGAAACCCGTCCCAAACCGATGCCCAGAGTCTAGCATGGCTAAACATGGTCTTCAGGTATGCCTTGTCCTTCATGTTGATGTGGGGGTTAGTCTCGTGTTCAAAGTCCACAACCCCAAGACTGTTTCCAACAAAATATGGAATGCCACATTTCTGCGGGTTGCGCTTGTCCAGAAAGTCAAGATGGACCCATAATGCCAGTGGATCTACAAAGTCCTCTGGCGATGTAGGAAATCTGTGGCTTTGGCCTAATCCCAAGCTCACAGCGGAATGAAGCCCGTTGAGCACGTGTGTCGAGGCAAGACGTAACCGCTCTGCTACTAGGAGATACGCCGCGGAGATGCAGTGATAGACGACGCAATATGTCTGCTGCTTCGAAGTGCTGTATGAGCTTCCTACTCTGCCAATAAGCCTCTGAGCCAGGCCACGCCTTGTCGAGATAGATATGGGGACCTGTTCTATCGTCAAGGAACTGTCCGGCTGCAATGATGACGAGAAGAATAGATATGATCAAGTGATGCTGCTCCGTCACGACGACAGTGTGGGTAGTAGAAGAGTAGCAGAGCGCCTCCAAGGTTCGTGAAATCGCTTCTACCAGCCTCGTTCCATGAATGGAAGGAAATAAGCAGTCGATCTCAGCCAGGCCTATCTTCATGGCTTGTGTCAGGTCCCTAGGGCAAGGCAGCAAAACAGTAAAGATCTTGGCGGGAGGTGTATTTGGAAGAACTGGATCTGCGCCGACACTAGAGCGTAGATCACAAATCTGCGAAGCAACAGCGAATCGGTTCAGCCATTTATTGCCAGGGACAAAAGTGTCTGTCTCGGCATAGGTGACCTCATCCTGACAAGAGCTCGGTGATTCTTCTCCAAGATTGTCTACTACAATCTGTGGTTCAAATACCTCGATGGATTGATTCAATGGTTCATCTGGCGAGAATGCCAAACTACCTGTCTGTGGCGGAGTGTTGTGCGAACTGTATCCAGGCCTTGTTGCAGTCGTTGAAGCTGCTCCTTGAGGAGTGCTGTCTCGTCTGACGCAGAGAAGGACGCACTTGACGAGGGAACTGCGCGTCTTCTTGATGGCTGTTAGTTTATAGGCACAATAGAAGGAGCCATATGCACATTGGTGCTATCATACTTATTTGGATTTGATGACGCTTTCTTTCGCTTCCTCTTGCTAGATCCATTTGGAGGATCTTGATAGCTGCATTCAGCACCTCTGCCGAGACAGTTGTGGCATGGTGATTGTCCAGAACACTGCGATGTAGCATCAGCACTGAAGTGATCATACCGATTGAGTGTGTCAGACTAACTTTAACCTTGCGTCGCTGGCACTCTGTGCTGCATTGATCCCGGTCAGTTGAACTAAATGGAAGAATACAAATCAAACTTACCAAGCATGAGAGGTATACTCATCCCTCTTGCTAGATTTCTTGGTCGTCGAAGTCGTAGACATTTTTCGGTTTTAGTTCAACCCTCGCAAAAGGCCGGTAAATGCGGGATTCAAGGTCCAAGTTTGCTCAACAGCACAACCGTCCGAGCGAGCTCCATTCATTTTGCCCAAGGCAGATCGTCAATTCCGCACCAAAGTGCCGAAGCAGATTCACTAACTGCATCGAGTTGGTATTCAACACCCCGCAATTTCAAAATCTGGGGATGGTCGCTGACGTCGCTGAATATTTAAAACCCCGATTACCCTACTAGTAGAGGAAAGAAAACACAGGACCTTAATTCTAAATCACAGAAAGACTTAGGGAATATAGCCTAAGCTTAGAAGAGCTTTTGCAAAGTTTATATTAATACCCTATATTCAGGTTTGTTGTTTTCTTGCTCCCTAAGCCCTGTTGGTTATTGGCCAATTGTTAAGCGAAATCCTTGAATGGGGTTGAGGGAACAGGCAAGTATGAGCTTGCTTAGTTGCCCCCCCGGCTCGAGCCAACGGGTAGTCTAACTTAGTTAAAAGAAAATGGAATGGAATTTAAGAATTGATATCATTTCTGAAGAAGAGCTGTAGAGAATGTTAGAATAATTATTTCTTAGGAATTATCTAACCGAGTCAACTGAATGTGTCAGCCTGAATGCGCCACACAGATGCATTCATGCCTAATGAGATGTTTCTATAGAAACTGACCTAATCATCGCCATCTCTCCATTAACTAATTTAAACTACTCAACCCTCAAATCTTACCTCCTAGTTCGATACATTTACATTTTCTGACTATGTCTCGTGTTTCATCGTCCCACCGGCCATCGCAGGCCTCTAGCTATCTTCGCCGCTCGACATCAGAAAATGATGGCTCATGGCTCTCTGCCCCTGGTCCATATCGCGACCTAATCCGCTCGCTTTGTGCAAGTCGCCCTGACTTGAGGAGTCGCGATGAAACGAACGAGAGTGAGTGGCCACCGACTTGCTACAAACCACGCATCGTGGCTCTGGAGATGCAAGGCGATAGCGTCCACGAGCGTTTGGAGACCTCAGACCCAAGGGAACTAGACCAACACTTCCGGGAGTACAAAGCCAAGGAAAGCCCAAAGAAGCGAATGATATATCTCTTGGAAGGCCTTAATCCTGAGTTTATTTCCATTCTTGGCGGACATCTCATGATCCATCCAAGTCTTTTCACCGATCATCTTTGGTGGAAGAGCCTTTCCAGTACAGGACATAACATCGATAACATTGCCCTGGCCAGTAGTGCACAGGACTATATTTGCTTCGAATATCCTGAAGACTTTTGGTTTAATGAGGACGACGATAACTCTTACCGGTCTAATTGTCTAAAGACTGGCAGACTTACAGTTAGGAATGACCTGGCGGGAGACTACGTGTCACTTACCGTTGATCGCAAGTGTAGCTTTTGGTCCTCGATGTTGTCTGTAAATGGGAGCTGGAACGGTCAGTCGAACACGTCCTTGCATTGGAACACCATTTATTGATATGACCATCTCTTAGCCGTCATACTTTGCGATCCCCCGCCTTTGGTAATTGGCCCAGAAGAGAACGAAATATTTCTCCAGCCTTGGGCCAGTGGATATAATGACATCTTGGCCTTCGAGGATCAAATAGAATGCCTCACCGGGCCGCCTAGAACCTCGATGTTTGATGATCTTCACTATTACTTAAAACGCCATTCTAGGTACCTCAACTTAGAAGAGCCCAGTGCCCCGGCGTTCTTTATCGAGAAGATAGTCCTACAACACTTCCTTCGGCAACACGATGTACTGAAAATCAATATTTTAGATGTCCAGCATGAAATGGTCGACAGTGACCTAGAAAGATTGACCCCAGCCGATTTAGAGATTCAGCGACACAATGGCCACTGCGGCGAGATCCACTTGATAGATAATTGCGACAAGCTCAGTCGTGTTATCGGCCGCCTAAGCCTGTTGAACCCTAGGATTGTGAGTGGAAATGAAAGCTGGAAAGACACAAGGCCTAATTTTGAGGCCCTCTATCGCCAATTTCAAGATTTGCTACAGCAATGCAGGGCTGTGAACTCCTCAATTGCAGACTTAGTCAGTCTTGTACATGCAACTACTTCGAACAAGGAGGCGATCGCATCAAATAAGGAGGCCAAAAGGGCAAGGGTGCTTGTCCTTGTGGGGCTCGTCTTTGTGCCACTCTCTCTCGTGTCCTCGCTTTTCAGTATGGCAGAGCCCTACAGTCCTGGACACTCTCACTTCTGGGTCTACTTTGCTGTATCTCTACCTCTGGCTATAGCCACTGTTGCAACCTATTTCATCTACGATTTGAGAATAATTGAACACCTGCGAAGGTAAACAACGCAGGATGGGGTAACATTAAGCCAGCGGCGAATGTCGATGGGACTTGCTGACACATATTTCGGGGCCTGGGTTACTCAATGAAGTTTGCTAGATATATTGAAGTGAGGTTGAGGGAACGAGAAAGCAATGGCGGTGAAGGGTTGATGTTTCATGGCATGTATGGTCTATGTATTACTGAAAGCTCCTGTTCAAATCAGATTCTTAATGATATCAAGGTACTTTATATTAATTAAGGGGTTTTAAATGTACGCATAATACCAGTTTTGTATAGTATTATTGAAAGCAAGTTTCTTATGCAGTAGGGAAAGATAACTTTCCACTCTTCTCCCTCATTCTCTTTCCGAATACCTGCAACACAAGAATGATAAGAAACGCAGCAGCACAAATACCAGCCTGGGTACCGAAGCTGACTTTAGCTCCGACCGAGTTTGCCCATTTGACTTGGAAATAGCTGATGATGAACCCTCCAGTAGCTGTATGGTGTCAGCAACAGTCCCAATACGTTATATGTGTAGTGGAATATTAACTTACTTCGCGCAAAGTTTATCCACGCAGATACCTCACCGGACGCTTCTGGATAACTATCGAGATTATATGCGTTCAGAGCAACAGTAGTCACCATGATACCAAAGACATACAAGCCCCAAAACAAGGCTGTAATCATGTAGTGAAACCCCTCCTCGAGAGCGAAGCCCAGCCCAACTAAACCAGCCAGCATGAACGGGGTGCTAAACCAAATTGCACGCAATCTGATCTCGGGCTCAAAATGACCGTTGTGTGTTTTGATGAACTGTGTGGCAATTCTATCGTGTAGCCAATGGCCGACAACTTCTCCCAGAATAGCGGCAACAACAGGTGCGAAATAAAAAAAGCCGATCTGCTTGGGACCAAAGTTATATAGTGGTGTAAGGAAGATTGACAAGGTTGTGTTAATACCGACGACCCAGGCAAAGGTGAGCAGGTAATAGAAGGAAGATAGAAAGACGGTTGGCTTGAGGATGACGCGGATTGGGCGCATGCAGGCTTGGCCGAAGCTATTACGGAGGTGGCGAGATTGAAACTGGGCATAGCCTAACAAATTGCCGATGCGTGATCCTCTGGGTGGTTGATCGGCGGCAGGGATGCGACGGTCATAGTATGTCTCTTCGACAAACAAGACTGTAAGGATGAGCGCAAGCGAAGTCTACAGCACGGTCAGTGTCAACTCAAAGTCATTAAGCCAGTGACTCATACCTCAGTGAAGTATACCCAGAACGCAATAGGCCAGGCCTCTGTGTGAATGATAAAGGCAGTAAACAATGGACCCATGTATGGAGACAGGATAATGAAAGCAGCCCAGATATTAATCTTGCGAGCACGCTCGTGAAAATAAAACATGTCAAAGATGAACATCAACCCTCCACCTTGCGAGACAGTGCTGAAGAAGCCATTAAGAATACGAGCAGCCATGAAAGACTCAAAGGTCGTAGCAGCAGCACACCAAGCTGCCGTGGCTGCAGCGATGACAAGGAAGTAGAACAAAACGGGTAGACGACCTGCCCATGCGGAGAGTGCTACGACGAAGATACCGCCTGCGCCGAGCATGAAAACATTACCGACTTGGGAGTGGTTGACTGTGTCTTGACTCATGTTCCATTGCCTAAAGTCATCATGTTAACAAGATAATCTCTCTGTGAATGAGGGTTGACTCACGTTGCTTGAGGGATGAGTGTAACGGCGCCAACGGCACTGCCGTAATCGGGAAGAAAGGCTGCGAAACTGATGACGAAGAGAACGACGTGTTTCTTGACAGGACTCCAGTTGAGAGGATCGCGTGTATCGTCAGAGGGTTGTGGGATCAGAACGGTATGCCCGTCCTTGGCGAGCTTGAGGTTGCCATGGTGTTCGGTGTCAACTTGGGCTATGTAGCCTTCTGAATCTTTGAGATCGGAGGACAGTGCAGCGTCGCCTTCATCCATTGACTGCTTGGGCTTGAGATCGTCCATACTGGTGTGAGCCCAAACAAGTACAACTTACTTAGAGGATAGCCTGTTATTAAAATTGAATGAGATATAGTGGCGCCTATAGATGGGCCGCCTAGACTTCAAGAAGATCTGCAACAGAGGGGAAGTCCATGCTTTATGCTTGGACTCCTCAGCCTGGTCTTAGTATGTCCGGCGTGTTGTAGCCGGATCTATCCCCGGATGCGGGGCAATACCGGTAGAATGGGATGAACGATCCGATGTACAGTAGTCGTCGATCACCCTATACCGCGGGGCCCCGCGTTGGCAGGTCTTGGTCTAGCCTCCGGAAGAACACGCGTTATCTCGGAAAACCTCGAGCTAAAGTCCAAATTTTCCGCCTTCCGGTCTTGACACTTCAAGTTTTCCGACTCTCCCGGATCTTCCGGTCCAGAGTGTAATAGAACATACAAATGAGGTAATTTGAATCTATGTCAGCATAGCAGCCGCGGAGAGGAATACTTTCTTGGGAGTTGACCAATCACCGCAGCAGTTGTTGCAACCTCAACATGAAAGACTTTGTGTACAATGTCTAGACGAACCGAGTTATCTTTGGCTCGGGCAGTGTCACAAAGCCTGCACAAAGCTCCCAGCCGAGATCAAGCGCCTCAACGTCTCCCGACCAGTCCTCCTCTGCACACCAGGTAAACGCCACCTCACCGACCAACTATCCGCTATCATCGAAAATGCTTCTCTCGAAGTCGCTGGCACCTTCGCCCACGCCACAGTGCACACTCCAGTATCTGTAACGGAACGAGCAACTGCCTTCCTTGGCCCTGTATCAGCAGACTGCGTTGTTTCTATCGGCGGAGGATCGGTAGTTGGATTAGGAAAGGCCATCTCTATTCGTTCGGGCGTACCTCATAGCAGCATTCCAACGACCTATTCCGGCTCGGAAATGACTCCCATTCTCGGCGAGACGCAAAACGGGATTAAAACAACTCGATCTGACCCTAAGATCCTGCCTGCTGTTGTTATCTACGATGTGGACCTCACATTGACACTGCCGCCTATCATCTGCAGTACGTCTGGGATCAACGCAATTGCCCATGCAGTGGAAGCACTTTATGCCCAGAATGCCAAACCCATCACTTCAATACTAGCCCTTGAAGGCATAAAGGCTTTGGCTGAAGCTCTACCTCAAATCGTGGAAAACCCAGACTCCAACGCCCCTCGAGATCAGGCCTTATACGGTGCGTGGCTTTGCGGCACAGTCCTAGGAAACTCATCAATGGGACTTCATCACAAGATCTGCCATACGCTCGGTGGATCATTCGGACTTCCCCATGCTGAGACGCACACTGTCTTGCTTCCCCATCCCTTGTCTTACAATGCACCATGTATCCTTGACCGAATGGCCAAGCTAGCTGCTGTTCTCCCTGGAAGCGACGGAGATGCGCTAAAAGGATTGGAGCTACTACTGGGCAAGCTGCCAGTACCGCGTGGATTGAAGGACTTGGGGATGAAAGAAAGTGATATTGAAAAGGCAGCTCAGATCGCCACTAGTAACCAATATCCAAATCCACGCCCTTTGGAGCATAAATGGATTCTGGAACTGCTGAGAAGAGCTTGGGCTGGAGAGCCTGCAGAAGCAACATTACAGTAAGACGCTTCATATAAAGAGGACAGCGAGCGCTATTAAGAGGATGAATAAATAGTTAGATATAGAAATAGAAGAAGACCAAGTCTCCATTATCTAGGCTTCTGCTCCGTTTTAAGCCTGTCCACTCAATTGGTTACGACCTGCACGTAAGCTATGGAATCGCGTATCTCTCTTATCATTGTTACAGAGATAATCGACTACTGTATCATAGGGCTGAGTTTCAGTGTCACCTGAACGAAATGGCCCTCAGCGACGCTTGCGTTTACAAACATCGCGCAACTGTGGATGGCCTTGGGAGCGGGGGATATCAGTGGGGGAGGAGAGATGAAGGAGCCAACGGTGACGTCTAATAATATTTACCTAAACTTTTATGTTTCTGGGCTGCAGACAGCTTTGTGGAGGTTGCTCAGCTTTATAAATAGAGGGTATATTAAGGGCTCTGTTCGTGGAGGCCTGACAGGATGTAAAACATGCTAATTTAAGTCTAGAGAGTACTAACTCAGGAGTTTGGCATTACTGACAATATGAGTACGAGACTGGCCTCTCAGGGGGAGGAAAACAACGAACCTTAACATAGGTTATCAAAATAAACTAAGTAAAAGTTATCTTAAGCTTAGGCTATATTACCTAAGTATTTTTATTACTTAGGATTAAGGTCCTGTGTTGTCTTTCCTCCCCTAGACTGGCCACCACCACAGACATTGGTAGTTGTTTTACAGACCCAATCTCTAGAGTCATTCCACCTAATACCTATCTAGGTCGTATTGAAGAAATCTCAATTGCTGGGGACGCCGGCCATCAGAATCTACCGACACCGGAAGGGGTTAGTGTAGATCGGTCGTGGGGAACTTATACGAGGTAAACGAGGAGAACGAGGATGAACGAGGTAGGCAGCCCAGAACTTGAATATGAGTGGTTGTTCTCCCAAACTGCCCCGCCACACTCCTAGCAACACGATTTCTTTCAGTCTTTTCTTCGTTCTGAATCGCTCACTCTCTCATCCTATTCTTCTTTCTTTATTATACGTCGGTTAGAGTTCCAGCAGCCAGCCCCGCTGACTGTTTTCTCTTTTGCTTGCCTAGACCCTCTCGGGATTTCCAAGACCCGGGTATTAATCATGGTGCCGTCACCGACAAGACCTCGGGCGCGGAGGCCACACCTCAAGTCCCGGAACGGCTGCTTCACCTGCAGGAAGCGCCGAGTCAAGGTACGTCTGTCTCCGAATCCCGATTTCCTTGTCCGTCCAAGGCTGAAACAAGCTTTTGTCCCCTTGTTAGTACAGTGAGGAACATCCGATATGCCGGTCATGTCTGAGCCGCAGAACCGTTTGCAAATACCCAGACGGAGTTACAACATCATCGTCTATACCACCGCTACCCGCCCTCGTACATTCACCACTGGCCGTGTCTGCGTCATCTTCAGGATCAGCAACAACCTCGGCACCATCGCTCCATGCGACCAGCCAAACACTAGAGTTAAATCAATTACATCTGCTCCACCACTGGACAGTCCAGACAAGTGTCGGCCTCTGCAGATGCTCCAAGACACTGTACATATGGCAGGAAGCCCTTCCCCAGATTGGTTTCCAATATCCATTCGTCTTACATGCATTGCTAAGTCTTGCCGCTCTGCATATTGCCTACACGTCTCTAACCGAACGGACACGCAGTTGGTTAGTTGGCATGTATCACCACAACGAGGCATTGACCGGATTTCGCAGAGAACTCTCCACCATCACAGAAGAGAACAGCGAAGTATTGTTTACCTGGTCCATATGCAATGTTCTGTATGTCTTTGCCACATCAAATCCACTTTACCAGGGTATAGATGGAGGCCCTACGACGTCGACATCGGCACAGAAGGAGAAGGTCTTGGGCTCAGAATGGATTCCGATGATCCGCGGGTTGGAAGCTGTGCTCCAACCTACTCATAATTACTTGAGATCTGGGAGCATGAAGGCGATAATGAGTACGGGGAACTGGGATGAACTCGACCCAGGACAAGCAAGTCAGGACCCTGAGAATGTCCACTTCTGCCGCGCCCGTGAGTCTTGGAAAGACTCAGATTGTGCAGAGGTCTACGAAGAGGCGCTCCATGTTCTCCGGAAATGCCGACTTTACTCGTTGCAGTTCCGCGGAATGGACTCTGAGACGAGAAGCAACTGGGGATATAACAAAGAGTGGTCTGCACCTCTGATGTTCATTCACTTTGCACCCGACCCATATTTCTCACTCCTGCGGCAGAGACAGCCGCCAGCCTTGATACTGTTTTCCTTGTTTGGGACACTACTACATAAGATAAGGAATTACTGGTTCTTGGAGGGTTGGGGCAAAGCGATAGTGGAGGCAATAGCAGATATCTTGGGGAGCTACTGGAGAGAATGGTTACTATGGCCTTTAGAGGTGATTCAAGAATGACCATTAATTAGTTAAGTCCTATGACCGCGGCAGACTGGTCCTTGTGCAGTAGTTTCTATTTATACTCTGCTAGACTAGCCTCTATTCAAAATGGCAGTTCAATTTACTGACTGAAGCCACGAGCGCACTCGACAGCCTTGTCTCACACGAATCGCACATACCCTCCAAGAACAATTAGCATGACTAGCACTACTAAAGCCAGGAAGATGTCTAAAAACGTTTGCTGAAGCGATGTTTGCATGTGATTCCAGTTGCGTAAGTAACTGGCCAGACTTATATAAGAATTACTTCAACTCACCACGAATCATTCAACAGAGTGCAGGGATGGCTCGGGGATTTACAGCACATAAGGCTGTTTACTTGTCAAAAACCCCTGCACGGGACCTTCGTACTTTTCGTTCTAGTCCTGAGGAGGGTAAGACAAGGCACATTTTCAACGCCGACTTGCCTAAACGGGCCAAGGCTTACTGGGATCAGCAGAGCTGAGCGCTCCATTTCACCAAAGTACCGAGCATTATGTCATTGCTGAGAAAAGATAAGATCAATGTCAGCAGAGGTAAACGACTATAAATAGCTCCGACATCTTCCTTACCTCAACCCCTCATCTTTCAATTTCAAGCCTCTGCGTTTCAATTCATCGCCATGGCTCACCAACAAGGATACCAGCAGCAGCAACAACAGATGCAGCAATCAAGCAATGACAGAGGTGCTTTTCCAGGCGGTACCTACAGTATTGCGCACCGCGACACCAACGCCGTTCTCAACGTTGATCTCCAGCAAGGCGCCATGGTGCGCTCCAAGTCGGGTGCCATGATTCACATGTCTGGCTCTATCGAATTAGCTGGAAAGTCCAAATTCTCTCTTGGAAAGCTTTTCACGGGCGGCAACTTGTATGAGTCGACGTACACCGGCCCAGGACGTGTCGCTCTTGGTCCAACACTGTTTGGAGATATCATTACCCTACCTATCGACGGTCATCAGTCTTGGACTATCGGCAGAGACGCTTTCCTGGCCAGCACTTCTGAGGTTTCGAAAAAGAGAGAGACTCAAGGTATTGGCAAGGCGTTGTTCTCGGGAGAAGATCTTTTTGTCTTTCGTATTGAGGGTCAAGGCATTATGTGGCTGACAAGCTTTGGTGCTGTCGATAGACTAGATGTAAGTTTTCCCAACTATTTGAATACCGGGCAATACTGATTCTGAATAAATAGCTTCGACCTGGAGAGGAACACATTGTTGATAACGGCCATCTCGTGGCTTGGAGCTGCAAGTACTCTATTGAAAAGGCGGGAGGAGGAGCTATGACTGGAATGAAGACGGGCGAGGGTCTGGTATGCCGTTTCACTGGTCCCGGCTCGGTTTATGTGCAGACGCGAAACATGGATGAGTTTCAGTCATTTATCAAGGCAACTGTTGGAGCTTAGATCTACCAGACATCTCGCACCCGATATTTCCTACGTTTCCCAATCCCTCCAGCATTCCTCTTCTCAACTTGTCAGATAATAATGTGCATATGACGTCAGCCGAACCAGCTAGTGTGTCAGAGTCTAACCGTGATCTGATGTAACTAGTATTAGGCACTATATCAGGAAAATACATTTAAGAGCCAAATTCAACTAAAATACCAAAGCCAGCATTGCGTACCTCTGCTGCAGTCACTCACCGGACCTCCTCCTTTACAATTTCACTTAAAATCCGCTGGAATTCCTTTCGTCCATCAATCCTGTTGGTTCTCATAACCCTCCGGCTTTTCATCCCTTGAGAATCAAAAAACTTTGATGTACCTAGTGTCTGCGTTAATCAAACCGTCTTAATCACAAGTCTTTGGGAACTTACAAGAATAGCCTTTCCAATCGTTATTGTCTTTTGGATTGCAGTGGCAACGAAGCTCAAGTCTCTTCTTACTATCGGTTGGACAGTGAGTGAAGGGGTTATGCCAATACGCAATGTCGTCGAAGAAATGAATCTCGGACTTGTCAAGCATGAGCCCTGCTGCAATAGAGTGAATCGGAGCGTCGCCCCATCTCTCGTAGAAAAAGCCGCCCGCTTGATCAAGATGGTTGAAATAATCTATGTATTTCTGACTTCTGAAAAAGTTCAAGTCGCCAATCTCGAAATTTGACCACTAGATTCGAAATGTTAGTCTTCTTGCTTCTTGCCACTTTGTTGGGATTGCACGATGACGTACAAAGTGACACTTGTTATATGTTGCCCCGTTATCGTCACTCAAAAAGTCCATGGAGTTATGTGGGCTTAGATGGCCAGGATTGCTCTCGAAAAATTGCTTCGTAGTGTCCCAAAGAGTGGGAATCGTCTCGATATACTCAGGAAGACTCAACACAAAGCTGTACTTCTTCTTGGTTTCCATCATGAATTTGAAAGGGTCGTAATCAACATCGCAATAGAGTTGAATGTCTGGTTCTACCCGCCAGTAGTAATCATAGTCCATCATGAGAGGTTGTCGAAAAAAGAAGCCTGATTCAAACCTGCACATATGACGGTAGCTCACAGAGTCTCCGTAGATGATTTGCCTCTGGGCCATATCCTCTCTGACTTTCTTCGCTTTATCCTGATCAATCCAGTCAGGAAAGGACCAGTTCTCTGGGGGGATCAAGCCGTAATAAGTTTTGCCGGATACAAGGGCGCTGGTGACTCTTTCGAAGGTTGCGTCGAATGGCTTCTCGTTCAAGAACACCCAATCATATCCGTACTTTCTATTGAAACGATCTTCAACTTGGCGTATCGACTTGGCTATGCTCCACACATCGCTGTTCCGCGCAAGGGTGACAAATGTAGCGTTCACGCGTAAAGAGTGGTTTGGCGGCCGGGGTGGTGTTTGCTTTAGCAAAGCATCATTCGCGCCTACGTGAGATGCGACGGGCGGCCCAGCACAACAATTCCCAGACCTGAAATCGAAGCCATTGCACCAAGATTCCGAGAACAGGTTTGTAGGCCTTAGATATACTAGTAAACCTAGTATCTGATATGATATAAGTTGTCTGAGCTATACGGTCACAATCTTGGCTGGATTTTAAAGAGAGCTTACTAGTAGTGTAAGGATAACAGGCCTTAAAGATAGCCTAGATCTTTTAACAGAAATAGGTATAGATCCAAAGCGCATCTTAATAAAAAGAAGTAATAGAAATTGAAAAGAACATAAAGAAGAAAAGAAGAAAATAACTGACAATTAACAGTATAACAAGAGGACTTTATTCAGTATTAAAAACAGGTAATATATTACACTATAGCGTTAAGTATACAAGCTTGTAGAGATTTGACTTTTATCCCCTGAGACTCAAGGGCAATATTTATCTAGTTATGTCTAAATTAAACTTAGTTCGACTCTTATATCTAGTTTACACTATAAATAAACCTCTTAGTATAATGTCTACTTAGATTAGCTTATCCCTGAGGAAGTCTTAGAGCGTTTTAGTAGCGCTAGCAGTTTTACATTCCTTCCAAAGTCTGCAATTCAGCTACTCTCAGCACACGTTTTAGTTTTCAAGGGATAAAGTAAGTTCTAATATCCCTAAAGTGGCGTTACTTGATCCAACCAGTAGGTCCAAGCAGTCCAAGCTTCAGTAGCTCTGTCCCCTTTTCCGACAAACAACAGAGGTTAGCAGAAATAGCTATAAACCTCTCTTGACATTCTGCTTTCCTCTGGTCGACAATCGGCACCGTTATTCAAGACACCGGTCATGGACCCGAAACTCCGCTGTGACGGACGTGGAGCCGGACCAACTTTGAGATTAGCGTGCTTGTCTCGGGGAGATGGTTGCTCCGCAAGCAGGACATCAGAAGCGAGAGGCCAAAAAACGGCAGTGGCCTGAACCTAAAAAAGTGCAGAGCCGATTACTCAACAATACCGTCATGCTGCCCGGCAAATTGATAAACACGGTTCTCTTCCAATGCAAAAGAATAGCTTATTCCGGCAGAGAGAACTTAGCATATAAAACATACATTTGGCGCTCAGGTCCATGAAATTCTACTTGTTTGCATTCTAAATCGTTATTATCATCATGACTACCATGAAAGCTCTCGTCTCGAACCGCAGCATCATCACACGACTTATCAACGCGACGCGCTCTAAAGCCATTGGCGGCCAGGGCGGTCGCGTCCAAGACGATATCCCCATCCCCAGCATCACCCCCAACGAAATCCTCGTCAAAGTCAAAGCTGTAGCCCTCAACCCGACAGACTTTAAACATCTCGACATCATCTCTCCCCCCAATTCGATCATCGGATGCGATTACGCAGGTGTTGTTCATCAAGTAGGAGACTCTGTCAAGGATAAATGGAAGATTGGCGATCGTGTTGCTGGCGCTGTGCATGGCGGGTTGTATCCTGACAAGGGTGCATTCGCAGAGTATTTGAAGATCGATGCGGATCTGGCGTGGAAAGTACCTGAGCACATCAGCGATACTGAGGCAACGACATATGGTGTCTCTGCTGTGACGGCCATGCTGGTCCTCAACGTCCACCACGGGCTTCCGTTCCTTGACACGAAGCCTGTGTCTCCCAATAACGAAGTCATATTCATTTACGCCGGATCGACCAGTGCAGGGCTATATCATATCCAACTCGCAAAAGCAGCTGGGTGCACAGTCGTCACGACTGCCTCCCCACGTTCAACCCAGCTTGTTAGGCAATACGGGGCCGATGCAGTATTCGACTATAATTCACCCTCCGTCGCAGAAGATATTATCAAAGAGTATCCCAAGATCACAAAAGCGGTGGACTGCTTCTCCGAGGGCAAGTCAACATCCATCTGCGCCGCTGTGCTCAAGCCCAGTGGCGGTAAGGTGGTAACCCTATTACCCAACGGCAAGTCCAGTACTCCTGGCGTGACTTACGATCTCGTCATGTCGTATACAGCTATGGGCCACGCTTTTCAGTGGCTACCGCCAATTGGACCCAAGTTCGAAGCCAGGCCACAGGACCGTGCGGCCCTTGTTCGCTTCTATGAGACCCTACCTCGAATTACACATATCTTGAAACCTATCCCGACTATTGAGCTGAAGAATGGCTTTGATGGTATATTTGAGGGGTTGGATAAATTGCGGGCGGGTCAGGTAGCGGGAGGCAAGGTGGTTGTCCGATTTAATGAAGGAGAGTAACAAACAGCGCTTGTACCTCTAGCAATTACTTTGGATGATATTCTCTTGGAAAGAAGTCTTTTTGATACATTTATATTTTGCATTTGGCTGATAGAATAGACCGCTATTATCAGCTATTCGTTCTTAATGCCGACGTCGACAGACGCATTGGCTCCGCCCCTCGTCTTGTCCTCCAGCGGTTACTAATATCTACGAGCTCTTCACATCCCTCAACGGCCCATGACCACTTAGCAAGAAAGCCAGGTGTGGCCTCCCAACTGTGCATGTCGTGCGGTTCACCCCAGATGATGAGGCCGTTACGCCCAGCTGTGAGCTCGTCCGTATCTATATAATTCTCCAACATCAGCCCTCGTGATTGCTCAGTCTCAGGAATACTGGCAGAGAAGCTAAAAGGTGTTCCTCGCTGCCAAGGTGCAGCAGTATAGCTCATAAGATCGCCAACCATATCCCTCCACAACTCGAAATTATCAAACCGGCCTTCCCGCCGTATAAGATTGTCGCGAAAACGGGCAAACGGCATAATGTTGATCCAGGGGAAATGGTATTGAGATAGTTGCAGTGCAGTAGGTGCCAGAGAAGAAGGAATATTGGGATTTGGAGGGTAGCGGGTTGTGTCGTCTAGACAGGGGCCAAATACAGGACATGTTGTTGGGTCAAGTGATATAGTGTTTATAGTCCGTTTGATGGAGATGAAGGCGCGGTAGACGTTGAACTGGATGAGGTGAAGGAGTTGGTCGGAGGGGAGAGGGAAGGTGATATTTATGGGCTGCTGGGTTGTCTGTATGGTCATGATTTGATCGGTTTGATCTGTGGATGATGGTGCTTGGACAGCGGTGGCATTTTCGCTAGTGAAAGGAAGTGTATAGTTAGACACGACAGTTGAGTCGGTGTCCTTATCTTGCAAAGGGCCATTATCAACCTCGTCGACCCTCCAGCGCCTAACCTCAAACGAACTCGAGACTTGATCTATCTCGAAGTCTTTACCCTTAATCCGTTGTCCTAAAGGCATTAATAAGCACCGCTAGCCATCTGGCAAGGGGGACAACTCACGACGGGCTCTCTGGTTCTTCCGGTTCTGCAGCTTTCTCCGCTGCCTATTCGCCTCGGCAATTGCGGAGTAATTATCTCTGGAATCCATGGGATGTGCATGATCGACTTTGAGATGTTATGGAGAAGACGATGAAATTCACGACCGAGCTCCTTCGGCGAGCTGAGGAATTCTCCGTCTGCGCTAAATGAGCATGCCGGGAGCCAAGTCCCGCAAGCTAAACTCGATGAGGAGAATCTGTCATCAGCCCCACCTACGCCCAGGAAAAGAAGTGGGATGGGCTAGACCTGAAAAGGCAGGAATGTCATCGGCCAGGTACACCAGCTAACCCTACAGTTTCATACTGAATAATCCATAATATGTGTTTCTCAGGCTTCACCTTCGGTACACGGTGATAATCCTGTAGGTAGAGATTTAACTCCATACTATGGAGTGATTTGTAAGTTATTCTGCGAGGTGTAATATCGCTCAACCATAGCCACTGGTCCATTAGTACAAACTCCATCTTATCTGAACATGGAGAGTAGTCAATATAAAATGCCGTATTGCTGCAGCATCTCGATGCTTATTCTTCATCCAACATAACATCATCTCGACAATCCAAACAATTGAAAATTTGATAACTCTGTTCTTCACGCTTATAAGCAATTATGTCTCGCTACACAGCCCTCCACGCCAACACCAAAGGCCCAGGCGACGCTCGTCCAACAGCCCTCCAAATCATCAAAGACGAAGGTCTCGAGGAAAAGCGCCAGGGGCAAATCTTCGTGATTACCGGCACATCCTCTGGAATCGGCATCGAAACTGTCCGCGCCATCGCCGCTACTGGGGCTACTCTCTACCTCACAGCCCGTGACCTCGACAAAGCCAGAACAGCCTTGGATGGCATCTTCGATCCCTCCCGTATGGAACTGTTCCAGATGGACCAGGGGTCTCTTGCATCCGTCCGCGCTGCAGCAGAAGCTATTCTGAAGAAGACGTCCAAGATTCACTGCCTCATTGCCAATGCGGGTATCATGGCTATTCCTGACCTTCGCTTCACTGAGGATGGTCATGAGCTCCAGTTCGGCACCAATCACCTGTCTCACTTCCTCTTCTTCCAGCTTCTCAAGCCTGCACTCCTTGCTGCTGCCTCGCCTGACCTTCCCTCCCGCGTTGTGGTTCTTTCGTCTTCCAGCCATAACATCCATGGCATCAACGACTCTGATAACTACAACTTTCAGCACGGCGACTATGACCCTAACGTCGCTTACGGCCAGTCCAAAACAGCAAACATCTACATGGCCAATGAAATCGAGCGCCGCTATGGTGCAAAGAATCTACACGCTACTAGTGTCCACCCAGGCGTTGTAGCCACAGGACTGACCAGGCACATGCCGCCCGATGCCTTCAAGGGTATGGAGCATATCTATCCTATGATGAAGAGTGTGGAGCAAGGTGCTGCTACTACGGTGTGGGCGGCTGTTGGTGATGCTTGGAAGCATAGTGGTGGCAAGTACCTTGTTGATTGCGATATTGCCAAGCCGTCTCTTGACGAGGATGATAAGATTATCGGGCCCGGGTATGCTGCGCACGCGTATGATGTTGAGAAGGCGAAGCGACTGTGGGAGGACTCGAACAAGTTGGTTGGATTGGAGGATGAGGAGTAGTTATGACAGGTCGAATGTTTCTTCCTTTGACGTTTTGGTGTAAGAAGGTTATGTTGGAAAGAGGAAGATTGTATGGAAGGGATAGATGTTCGATAGGTCAATTCAAAAATAGTTGGTAGCTGTAGTTTGAATATCGATTTTATGTATACTGGCTTTGATGCCATCATGTAGGGGATACAATAACACAGCTCGTGAGCCTGTTCTAAGTGCAGCGGCTATATCAGTTTTGAAATCAGAGTTACAGGCGTAACCCATCCAAATATATGTATCTATGCGAAAGGGTTATTACCTCCCGGGCTTAACCCCCATCTCTCAAGCAATTTCCTATCTTCACCAGCCCACTTCTTCAACACCTCAAAGCCCTCATAGCTACCCAAGATCATAATCCCCAATTCATCAAGCGTATCCAAAGAAACCCCCTTGACGCTGTGGCGGAACGTTGACATCTCCAACCTCAGCCAGGTCTTTTGCTCTCTGGCTTGTTGCCACTCCGTCCGTGACCTTGCGTTCCATATGGATGCGTGGCCTGTGAAGCCTAGCTCAGCCAGCCTTGGACTGGGTTGGTACCAGCCGAATTTGAGGAACGTGTAGATACTCTCGACAAGATCTGCAAAAATTAGGGTTCGTTGAATGCTCTCTGAGCGGACCCAATCTTGCCAAGAATGATTAGGCTTTGGATTGCTGGAGGAGGTTTCTTGGGTCTGTCCTTGCAAGATGTCAACCCATCTCGCTAGTGACTTGGCGTCCTGCTCAGCCTGTTCTTGTAGTGAGCTGTCTTCCGAGAATAGCCGGATACACTGATATATCAGCATGGCCTGCACAGAGGGTAGGAGATCGAGACCCATAGTCGATGGAGAAGTCGGAGGACTCAAGGCGATTGCTGTGTCTGTCGCCTGTATGAGTAGTCCGGCTCTTTGTGAAATCTCCGATGCCACAAGAGTTGCATTGGCCGAGTTACGAGATGTGTATAGGCAGCACGCAGCGAAAGCATCTCGTAATGCTGTAGAGTTGCTGGTTTGAGAGCAGTGGATAAAAGATGTTTGCCCTGATCCTGCAAAAGTCTTGACCTGGTGAACGATTCGACTTGCCTCGTACTCTGCGCGCTCCTTCAAAGTATTGTTTGTGTACACAGGTATATTCCGGGATAACTGCACCGGTACTAAGGAAGTACTAATGGGAGGTGAAGTGTAGAGCGACTGTAAATTTGGAGACGGCTGGCTTGGGGTTTGAGGATAAGGCTCTGGGGTGAATAACGATATGATTCTCCCTCGACCAGTGATCTCATCTATGAGTGGTACCAGAGGAGGGAGAATGGTAATTGGGTTTGGGAAAAGCGAAATATCATGGCCAACATCTGGTTTGAGACGCTCCTGATTGGGCCGAGAGGTTTTGGCATTGTCGGTTTGATCATGCCAAACAATCACATCAGAACTTCCCAATGTCTCTTGCCCGTCCTCGGGTGACATCCAAGCATACACACAAGTAGCTCTTCTCGCAAGACAGCGCCCGCACTGCGGAAATCCGAGGTCGCACCGCCTTTTGCCCCGGACACAGGCCGAGCACGACTTTTGTCTTGTCGATACCATGTCTGAGAGACGAAACGAAAAGGTCTCGCGAGAGCTGTGACTAATGTCGTTCAGTAGTAGAACAATGAGTGGCTGGGGAAATAAGCAGGTCAGCACCGAGCCCGACTATTCCGGGGCCTGTGTGACTAAGATGCGGAGTTCCGCACGCTAGACTCAAACCTCGGGGGTAGATCCACTCCAGGCTTATACAGCCATATTGAGGCCCATGGCTTGGAAAATACGTATAAAGAACAGCTCCTGAAGCCTTCAAGTCGGCTGTTTCTTTTCCATCCCGCCAACAATTCATACCTCCCAAAGTTCTCACAAACCAGATATTCATCCACCATGGCAAACAGCCTCGAATCCACTGACACTCCTTTTGCCCTGGGTAGCTGGATGCAAGACCTCTACGCCCGAATCTTTGTTCAGCCAGATGACGAAGTCTCAGCAAACGCTCTCAAAGAATCGGTTGCAGAAGATTTCACAGCTAGGCAAGTAAAACCCCCAACACAGGCTCCTACCCAGCAACGAGAACGAAAACTAATCGTGTGACTTAGAATCAACCATGATCATTTCACCCGGCAAGCATTCACGGATACCATCATGAAGTTCCGCGTCGAGAACAAGGCGACCATCCACGAAACCAAGGAGCTCCAATGCTGGGAAGCACCCGATGGCTCAGGCGCCGGTTGCGTCTCCCAGTTTCTCCGCTTTACTGATACCAACAAGGAGACTGGGGTTGGGAGCAGGTCCTCTACGTTGTTGATTGCTAGCGTCAAGGTTGTTGACGGGAGGAAGATGCTTGTTGAACTCACTGAGGTGATGAAAGCAGCTTCTTAGAGTGTTCTGGGGATAGTAAGCGCAGGTCATTGCTATTGTGCCTACTATGACCAATAGATTGGGGCGTTCATGGAATACCGCTATCGCATTGTCTTGCGTGTCAATATTGTCAAGTATACGATATAAACATCTAGAGTATCAAAGTCATGCCCGTGTTGTTGCCGTGCAACCCAGGTCCTTTCCATCAACTAACAAGCCCATCCTCCACAGCGTCCATCTGAGTTAACGCTCCTAGTCTACTAATATCTCCGATGCCCATTTCTTCATCCTCTCCGTAGCATCTCCCACCGCCTCTGCTTGGTTCTCAATCAGTATAAAATCATGACACTCACGCTCACCAACTTCTAATAGTACAGGAATCGATCGACATTTCTCCTGAGCAGCTTTCCCAAATTCGACGACTGCATCACAAAAGACCTCGCGTCCTCCAACAGTAACGTAGAGTGCTTTCGTTATCGTTGGGAGATCACTGAGCCAAGATAAATCTCCATCCATGGCGAGGGCGGGGTGAGCTTCGTTGACTCTTGGCTTGAGGTTCTCACTACTGAATGAGTGTATGGAAGTGTGTTGGAGTAAGCCTGCAGAAAGCATGTCGACATTGCCGTAGCTTTTGAAGGAAGCTGTATCTGTTCGGTCGCTTAGCCATGGAGAAACCAAGAACATTCCTGCTAGTGGGCTCTGTAGCTTGACTTCTGGAACTGGTGGATTGGGATGTATGAGGTGATAAGCGAGTTGAGCTGTCAGATTCCCTCCAGCCGAGTCACCACCGACTATCAGATCACTTGGGTTCACGCCGCTTTGAAGCACATGATTAAGAGCGGCGGAAGCCTGACGGAGCTGATCAGGATATTTTCTACCTGGAGCCAGAGTATACTGCAGAAACGCAACAGCAACATCTTTCTCCGCCCCAGGTCCATCATTAACGTATGCCTCCCAGCACCAAGTGAAGTGCCCCGGCAGAGGAGGCGCGACGTATCCGCCGCCATGCAGAAAAAGCACGAATTTAGACGCCTTCTTGCGATTACCGATCCATAATATGGAAGCGTCAGTACCGGTAAGCGGCTCGATGTCGATACTTAGTCGAGAGTGATGACCCCGGCCTTGCTGCTTTTTGACCCAGGCTGTGTAGGCATCTATCGTTGGTGGTGATAGGAATTGGATCTGGCGTGGGTTGAAGTTACCGAGAAGAATTCGTCCGACCATGCAGCTAAACCAGAGAGTTAATGGGACTTTGTATTTGATGGCTAGGGGTAGACCTCGGATGAGAATGCCCACGATGGTCCCGGGTACTTTGAGATCGTCAGTCTGAAGAGTGGTGGCCCATAGTAGGGAATGGCATCTTACCTAGAAGAATCTTTACCCCAAGACACAACTTCTCTAAAAGAGATAGCGTTGGGACAGTTGTTGACTTCATGGCTACTTGGTATCTTAGTCTCCACTTTGGCTGTCTCGCGTGAGTCTACAGGATCAAGTATATATGCAAAACATCTGTGGACTTGCAAAGCATTGGCTTAATATATCTCATCGGCATATCGGTTCAATATCAGCCATTGAGAGTCAAGTGATACAAATACGAAACCCTCCTCGGCTCGGGAGGGCGGCAATTGTCTACGGCAAGTAGTAGAGTTTACGCTAGATTATGCTTGGAGAAATGGTTGGGTTCCCCATACCCCATACTGAAGCTGCCTCTGAAGTTTATTACCCCACATTGCAAGATCTCTCGATACTCATGCCAAGCTGCCGTGCTCAACATCCATTTCACTCTACGACAAAACTCAGATTCTGTTATGGCCAGCTTAAGAAAGAATCCAAGTTAATATTCAAAAGCTCTGGTATCTTCTAGCCCTTGGCCATTGTTAACAAGCACTCACCATTCAATGAAACGAGCCTGCAGCAGAACACCCTTCCTCGGTTAGAGTCCGCAGATCGGAGCATAGACTAGTCTTTTAATGTTCATATCCGTCCCACATGACAGCAGAAGAGTTGAAGAGGTATGCTTCAGCATCTCAGCTTCATTGCTCCGAGGCTAGGCTTACCCGCACAGACCGCACTTCACGGTTTAGTCGCCTTTAGTGCCCATTTCCCCGCATCTCATGGATGTTCTAATGATGAAGTGAATTGAAATGGCCTCTTATCTGAAGGAAAATGCGACCTAGATATACAGATACAGATACTACCGTTGCTTTGATGACCTTGCTGGCTTGTTTATATAATCTAGGCAAGACAGAGGGAACAACATGAGACCATCCACTTCACAAGCAAGTCACGAATCATGAAGGCTAGGTACAATTCAGCGTATTGGCTGTATATTCAGGCTACTTGCATTATCAAATGGTACCAACAAGCTATCAAGTTCTCATCCGCCATGAAAAGTCTAAGGGAATACCGTTCAGCCAAGGGTATTCAACGTCTCGAATGTTACATCGTTGGTCACCACGTGGGCAAACTTCCGTGTTATGCCCGTTGACATTCCCTCCCCGTCAAGCCACGCGAGATTCCAGGTCCATGACTCGTACGGGCTCTAGACCCATCATAACAATTTATCGGAAGTCTCCACCGCCGTTACATCGAGAAAGAGGAATGCCGCTCTGTCTCTTGATGCACATGGTAATAGCACCAGCAACCCATCTAACACCCTCATAAGACCCCTCCTCATGCGCATCAGCCATCCACGTACCAGTCTGCTGCATAGACCCCACACATCCCCTAAACGCACGTCCATAACGACGATTAGTCCAAGGCCGAGTAATAACAACACCAGTTTCACCAGGGCGCACAGTACCGCGGACAGTGACGGTGGCCTGAGTAGTCCAAGTACGAGAGTAGTTAATACCAAAGCTCGCACCAAGACGGTCCTTGACAGCTGTGAGGTCCAGACCTGCGCTGACGGAAACGCCGTTGGAGATGCTGAAGGATGAAGCGACGCTGACGTCGATACCGCTGCCGGCGCCGATGACGACGGGGGACATTTGCACGTCCCAGTCGACGAAGCGCTGGGTGCGGTCGGTTACGTAGGAGGTTGTGGCACCGCAGGACTGACGCTCCTCGAGATTGCGGGGTGCGACGGCCTTGGAGCCGGCTTTGAGCCAGTCGTGGTCGATTTCGGGAGTGTTGGGGTTGATGCCCTCTGACTCGAGAAGTTTCTCGTAGACGCTGACGTGAACAACCTCCACTGGGGTATGTTAAATGGCGTTGCTGCTGTGAGAGGGAGGACCAGGTGGACTTACTGCGGCCTTCGCCGTAGAGGATGACTTCATCTTGCTTGAGGACGTGGTCGGGGGTCCAGATGGTGGAGTTGAGATCGCGCTCTGTCATGAAGGGAGCAGCACTGGCGACAGCGGCCAGGCTGAGAAGGATGAACTTGGGAGCAATCATCGTCGAAGACTCTAGATAGAAGAGGTTGTTGAGAAGTAGGAAAGAGGGTGTTGGGTGAAGAATGAAAGCCTTCTGTTGCCAAGAGCAGCTCAACCCTTTATACCTGAAAGCGCCCGACTGTAGACTCACCTTCCCAAGATATCTTATTCCATAAAGACTATCAATAAAAGACTATCACATCGGCAGTTGTTTTCCTTCCGATTTCGGAAACTCCCTCGTAATCTCTCAAGTCACTAAACATGAAGCTATTTGCGCGGCTATACAGATCGTCACTTCAGAGAAGTCCAATGTATCGGTGATTGTGGGTTTACTCCGACCAAGTCTCGGTAAGACCCGAGCTTCTGGTGCATTAGGAAGGTGACTCACTAGTCGACGGGTCCAACTAAGACCGATGATCACGACAACAAGGTTGATGTGTCGGTCCGAGATACGGATTAATTTATTACTGGTCAAACACATCACTGGGCTATTGCTATCACGACTTTACTTGTGGTGTTTTGGTCTATGGAGTTGTGATTGCGAGGTAACTGCCGAACCTCGTGGGAGAGCGATAGGACTTGGGGAGATGATGTATCCTGGTTATCTGTCCTATAAAATGACTCGAGTACGAAATTGGAAGGTCAGGTCTGGGAAAAGGGAATAGCTTCAGATAGCAGTTAGACGATGCCTGTCCATGGCTTTGGGGGGAAGAGTTGGGTCTTCCGTCTTCGGAGTCATCCTTGAGGTTTAGCCGTGATGTTGAACATATAAGCACTCTTGATCCCATTGTTAAAGCTCAGTTCAACCAGTATCATACTCTCTTCTACCTCTTCCTCTTTCTGTCCCAACTCCAATATACTTTTATCCCTGTCATTACAATGCAGTTCCTCAGCATCGCCTCTCTCCTTGCTCTCGCGACTCTGTACGAACCCCCAGTCTCTTCAAGAAACATCTCATCACTAACAAAGTCTCAACAGTGCTTCAGCAAAGCTTCACAGCCAAGCTGTCTGCGTCACCAACCGCCACTACGACCCCATCGGAGGAACGGCATGGAGCCCCAGCTACAACTGGAGAGTGAACTATGAAATTCTTCCCGACGCTACCAACTGCGCCTGCGCCTACTATCGAAACCGCAACACTGGTAACAACCAGTGGGACAAGTGCCCTGATTGTAAATTTGTGGGTAACCCCAGATGCAAATGCCTCGATAGAATGAGGTGCTAACATGGACTAGGATGGTCTTGTCTGTGGGTCTAACGGCTGGCATATTGGCGGTGACGAGGTGAGTAACGTAGCATACTATCCTCAGACCAAGTCACTGGGGTTGTGATGAATTTGCAACTAACGATGGATCTTAGTTCACCTACTATTGTGAGAAGAAGTGTGGAGCTCAAGGCGCAGAGGCGAACTAGTATGGAATGGCCTTGTCGTGGGTTCCTTCAAGGAACCCTGAAGGACAGTGCAGGATTAGAGTAGCAGTGGTGATAGATCAATACCAATCAAGAAATTCGTATTCATCGTCGGATAACGGCATTTCGTGACAGTTCGGCATTTCCCGTCTGCCCTGCCATCCCAAGGATAAATTCAAGGGTCCCCCAGTTTGACAGATGAGACATGACTCGCGCTGATCATCAAACGTGCTGGGGACAAGATAGGGAACGGCTCGTGCTGCATTAGTTAGTGGTCCCTGATTATTTGGGACGAGCCATCAGTAATATTTCCACGAATGGTGTTTGAAGAATGGTGGTTTAAACTTTGCTGGGACGTATGTGCGCGTATTGATGCTCAGCGCTGATTGGCTTATCGTGGCGCTAAGAGATGAACAGACTTCCAGATTCGAAGTTTCTTACATTCACAAACCTTGCTAGCTAAATGCCATCAAGCTTATCAAAATCATGCATCTTTGGCGGGACAATCTCCAGACCTGAACCTTGTTCGCGTTGGTGCCTTGACATGACTACTGCAAGGTCCTTAGCTGTTGATAGCCCACGTGCTCAAGAAACCACCTTGTGAACCATTGATATCAGTCCCATCAGAGCCTTGATGGTCAAATTACAGTGAATAAATGAATACCCAGCGTTGGGTGCTTTTTATCCATCGATGTTGAGCTGCGGGAATAGATGACCCGACGACCATGCGATATCTCCATTGCCGAAATGAGCCTGTGCCGATCAATCAGGTAACCTTGGGGTCGCAATCGGCCATCAGACCCGCGAAACAGATTCTCGGCTTGAGTGTTTGTCAGATTGGTGGCTCGAGCTACAGGGTCTGCAACCTTTTGTTCGTGCCAGTTGAGATTCTCTCTGCCGGAATAAGCTCTCAGCCTTTGGTTTTGAGCCAATTTGCAACACAAACGTAAGTTTCGTCTCGTCAGCAAAAAGATTATCTGACAATTTTCCGCGTCGCAGGCCAACGTACTCACGTTGAGTGAACTGGCTCGACAAGTCCTTGGAGCAGCAAAGAGGCGCAAAGCACAGCATTAAATAGAGTCTGGTACAGCAGAGACAAAGCTTGAGCCTTATCGACATGTGCAAAACTTACTATCAGCGAAGATGCTTAGAGTTTGGTACCGTGAGCGCTATAAGTACTGTGTTGACGGATAACAAAATTTTCTTACCCTGCATACTTGGGGGGCGCGGTCCCGATATCATTGTGCCATATGGCGGCATGCTGCCTAAAGTCTGTTTATAGAGGGTTTGCTTCGCTCTGAGAGATCTGACACCTCACCTTCGCATTACGTATAATATCTCACGTTCCAACTACAGTTTTTAAAGCTTGTGTCATGCTGTTTGCGGTGTTTATTATAACGCATGTTTTTCCAAATAGCGAACCTCCCTGTCTCAACAGCGTGATGAGAAAGCAGGCGCAAAAGGGAATCAGGATTACAATCGGAGGTAGATGTGACCTCAATCAAGGTGGAAGCAAACCCAGATCGTCAGGCATGTGTTGGCTACATTGGTAGTCAAAGCTTACGAGATGTCAATGAGTCGTATCCAGCCAGCGCAGTGAAAGGTTCCAGTTAAGTTCAACTTTTCGGAGGCATCAGCCCGGCCAAAAAGTATAATTTATCGATCTCGCAACGGACGCGGAGACAGAGTTCAAGTCGACATCGAATTATGAAAGTCTAACTCTTTATTTCTTAACCTTGTTCGACAACACCAGCGGATCTTGAGCGTATAGTTGGAACGTGGCTTTTTGCGCGAATAAACAAAACCAAGCTACAATGCATTTATTTCTTACCTAGAGCGCTCTGCAGGAACATACCCTTTTGCGCGAAAAAACGAAACAAACTTATAATGCATTGAATTTTAGTAAGAAAACTCTGGTTCCTGCCTCGCTTCGAGTGCTTCTCTATAAAAGCAGAGTTTTTTCCTTCTCCCAAATCCTCTAAAAACTTCTTCAACAGCCGCTCGTTGCAAAGTGTCCTCACATCCAATCTCAAGCAAGGAGGCCATGTCTACCGACAAAGAGCCGCCCCCTCAACCTCGACCTCCAGATGAACTGGACCGCGATCTCCGAGGCGGCAAGGCCATCTTCTTCACCCTCGACACCCTCTTCGACCGCGACTTTGCGACTGAACGCGGTCTGATAAGATGCAAGCAACTCATCCCAAAGCTGCGTGGCAAATCCATGGATGAACTAAAGAGAGCCTACCATCATGCGATGGCCGCAGCGTATCTAAACCACATCCACTCCCAGATTCCAAGAGTAGGCTCTCAACGTCCGGTGGATAAAGTCGAGATGATGTTCCGGGAGCTTAACCTCAACCCGCCGTCGTGGGATGACAAGAGCCTCATCGGCAAAGAGTTCGGCGCTGAATTCCGCCGCAACAGGTTTGAAGTCTTGGGAGCATCGCAAACCCTTGCGCAGCTGAAGAATCTCGATTATGCAATTGTTGTTGCCGACGATGATCTTGAGTGGGATGCTGTGGAGGATCTCAACTTCTGGCAGTACGTTGATGCCAATATCATTACGAAAGATCCGGTGATGCGCAAGCCAGACCTCAGGGTGTTCAAAAACGCTTTGGACGCTTGCGGAGTGTCTCCGAAGAATGCTGTCATCGTTGGGTGCTCGATACAGAAGGACATTTCTGGTATTCTTAATGCTGGAGCGGAGCCGATCTTGTACATGCCAAATCATAAGTCAATGGAAATGGATGTGCAGGGCACGCGTGTTCTAGTTGTTCGAACCATGGTTGAGCTATTGTCGGAGATAAGCCGTCGACCTGAGAATAGGTATATTGTAACGGCCCAACGTCATCAGCTGCCTCCTCCGTCTCGCCCGCCAGCGCCACACGCATCACAGGCCCAGGGTTACACGAATGATCAGAACGGTGGATCCTCAAGTCAACATCACTATCAAGGTTCAAGCCAATCTCAACGTCCACCTTCAGATCCAAAGCCTATTGACGATGGGCATGAGACTCAATCTCGGGAAAAAGTTCCACTTCCCCGCATACTATCTCAGCCAGGTTCCAGCGATGAGACTCCACGAAGACACAGCCTACCAGGTCGTGCCCACCCTACTAAGTACTACGAAAGGATTTCACGTCCGGTACCTACCTTGAGTTGCACACCCGCCAAGCGCCCTTTTGAAGCTCTATCTGAATATGGCTATGTTCCCTCATCAAGTTATCACGAGCAAGGATATCCTGATCATGATTCGCCGAGGGGACACCACAATCCTGCAGGCGGACCGGTCCAGGGTCCGTCGGCACAAACCTCTTCGCACGATACGCCAAAAGTGAACGGACAACTCGTGGGACCCAACAGTGACAGTTCCGATAAGTCCTTTACTAGAAGTAGTTCGCCCTTCTATAACCCTCCGAGCCCAACACTACCAACGACGCCACCTCCGAGGACAGTGTTTCCTTTCACCGAAGACTATGGGATTACCAGGGCAACCTACGGCGAGAATTGGGATCAGCCACGTTCTCATTATGACGGATATGGACATGGGACTTCGAGAAATGGGTACTCTACACATGGTGGATATACAACTCTACCTTCACTTAGAAGTTGGTATCCGCCACCCATCCCAAACGACTCCACATATCGGGAACGTTCTAGGGGATACAGACATGGGAATGGGTATGAGATTTCGGGAAATAGGTACTCTACACGAGGCAGCTATGCCCCTAGAAGTCCAAGTCCGCGTCAGGCCCCGCGTGAAATGTCTCAGCAAATCGGGCCATCGAGGGGAATGTATGGTGAACATGGGAGACAGACATTCGCAAGAAGGACTGTATCAATGTACGAGGCAACTCCTCACAGGTCTTACGAGATGCGCAGTGCTAGGCGCTTGAGTGAAATATGGGAACCTCCGGTTCCACTTCCACGTGGACATCCACGCCAAGAGGAACAGCGTGTGCAGTCGCACCATGCAGAAGTTGCCGACTTTACTTCTACGACTATAAATGCCGCGCCTTCTCCTCAAGCACCGCTATCTACTGCTCAAGATCCAGCCATTCCTGGTGATCCATCAAGCCTACCCAGCCATGGAGATTCAAACAGCCCACCCGAGGCACCTCGGCCTCAAGAGGACGAGCAGCACAAGGCTGGATCTTCTAGCCATGACGAGGAGTTAACCACTGACATTGGATCTTTCCCTGACACGCTTACAGCGCCGCCCCCTAGTCCAGAGACTGCAGGACCAGATGACGCAGCCGCTGAGCCTCCACATAGACGCCAGAGGATATGTGAAGAGCTTAGGAAAATGGCTCAAGCTATAATTGATCTAAGCCGAGACCATCGACTACCTCATTTGTAGCCAATCAATGTAAGTGGCTACCCGAATCACAAGCTGAAACGATGTATTGCTGACTTTACTAGGTAGACGAAGTACCCGAGACTAACGAGGACGAGGGTCGATAGTAGTTGTCTGAGTAGTTATCATGTGCCTGAATGAGTGGCTGTACGGACTAGGGCGGAAGGGCCCAGATTAACTTTGATACAAATGTAGTTTTCAGTTAATAGACCACCACTCCACTCTATCTATCTGACTTCAGCCTATGGTGAGCGGCAACCTAATCCTTCTCTCGATATTTATCATTCGCAACGCCTTTTGATATCTCTGAGCCCTCATTATCTTCATTCTCCTTGCTTATTTAAGGTCTTAAGATCATAAACGGTAAAGAGCCTGCATTGAGACTATTGCTTCGTGGCATCTGCGCACTCTTCTTGCCCATGATACATGGATAATACTATTTCCGATATCCAACAACACTCCACAACATGACATTTAGAGTACATAGAAAACCTAGCGAATCACGAGGCAAGGCCTGAACCTCATCGCCTGGATCGAAACAAATACAGCAAGTCTAGAAAAGAATCGGACAAGCCCTTCACGCCGAGCTTCCAATTATGCTACTAGCAGTAATAGCAGAGAAGTGATCCCTGAGTGCTCATCAAATCCTTGGCCTTTAGATAATCCGCCAAGTCATTGATGAGGAGTGTGTATTCGAGGGAAGCAGGAGGAGCCTTGATCCCGTCGAACTAATCCTGAGTCTTGTAGCCAGCGAACTCTATGGTGCGAGTCTTGGGGTCCTCCTGCTGCCAGAGTGACCACAGACGATCGATCTGAGTGTGGTAAAGGAAGAAGATGGGATCTGATATATTAGAAATGACTCTTAAGATTGATAGAACATGAACATGGGACATACCATTGGGAGAAGTATTGGAAACCATATCCCCACCAATAGCACTATGAATAGCCCCATGGGGACCAGCCTCCAACTCCTGACGATACTGATCATAGTCCTTGACCGCCTGAACTTTTGCAACCGCCTCCTTATGGTAATTCTCAGACAACATATTCCTAACATTTTCAGTTCCATCATTCCAATTTCGCGCCAGACAATGAGGATCGTAATTTGTGGCCAGGTGGGCAGGGAATAAATCTTTGAAAGGTCCATCACCGAGACACTTTTGGACAGCACGCCCATCGTAAATAGACTCGGTTTTGTTGGGGCTACCGTTGCCGCCGAAGCCGGTCTTGGAGTCCCAGATGGTGGACTTTGGTGTGTCGTTGGGATCGAGGGACCAGTCCTAATACCTTGGCGTTGATGTTAGTGTATTCAGCACGGTGAGTTTGCTGGGGGAAGAAGCTCACGCCATGACTCCTTTGTAGCTCACGCCATGGCTCCTTTGTAGCCGCAGTCCTTCAGAGCGCCTTCATAGACGTGTACAAAGTATCGGTGCCAGGGGAGGAACGAAGCAACGGCGTGGACTGGGTGCCATGCATTATCAGCACGCTGTCCTACAGTCGGGATGGGGGAACTTTAACGTACTCTGCTTGTCCAAATGAGCGGGAAAGTAGGGAAAGTCATCGTAAAGAGTGGTGTTTAACCCGACACGGGATGACTTGGTCGGGAGGCATAGAACAGCATCCGAGTATTATTTACGGGCTGCATCATCAAGTTCGCGCCTATCAACACGCCTTGTCGGGCTCTCGCACTTGGAGACTGCTGCAGCCTCGCAGAGGGCGGGAAAGGTAAGAGGGAACAAGCGCGCATCTTGGCAATAGCTTAGATCAGAGTATTAAAATAAACTCAGTAACAGTTATCCTAAGGTTAGTGAGAATATGCTAAATAAATATGCTAAATATAAAATCTATTTACCTCAGTCTTCTTATTATTTAGGAGCAAGGTCCTGTGTTTTCTTTTCTCCCCTAGGCTGGTAAGACAAAGCTCTGTCTGCAAACGTCAAGCTTAATTTATCAGCCCTACCTAACCTATGATTCTAACCTTCTGTACTCAGGACAGTCCTTACTAGGTCGCGGTATCACATCAACTTCAAATCTTTCCAACCAGCACTTTGAAGTTTAATACTGCTAAAGTAGTGATCTCTACTAACAAGCTCCCGGACCCACGCCCTTGTTTCAGCTATTTTTACTCACGGGTTTGTATGGGCGAAGCTTGGGTCGACCGTGCGTTATACCAAATTAAGGCTGGTACACTAAGTTCTGCTTGGCGAAACCTCGGAGCCATAAGGCTACAGCGTTTTCCTAATGCATTGGTAGTAACGGCAGAGACGACCGCGATTGGTACGCAACCTCCGGGACTCACAACGAGCGTAGCACTTCAGATGGAGGTATCCGCCTCGGAACTTGAATCACCTTTTACAGTGGGAAAGTTCGTCAGAAATACTACTTCAGTATTCCGTAAAGCTTAGCCGAGCATTTCTAGAATGTTTACCTCATGCCATGATAGCCCGGGCCGACTCTCTGGTCCCCGATCGAGAGTGCCCTTGGCATCTACCTGTATGCGCATATCTGTGGAAATGAGGCAGTATACAGCAAGGTACGCAGAGACCATTCGGCACACCATGCTAGGGGCTTCAATTGGTGGTGTTGATTTGCCAGTTGAATATTTACTGCCCATGGATAACGTTATCCTGAGAGTCAAATAACAGGCAGATCATTTGCCACACGCGGTCAAGCCTTTGCATCAGCATGCAATCATTGGTCACTGATCTTTACTAGGATACATAGAGTCTTCCTTTTAAGGAGATCCTAATACCTCATCAACCCAATTGGGAACCAGACAGCAAGCAAACTGAGCGCAATGATCATAGAGACCCGCTGCCAATGCTACAAGTACAGTATATTGCATCTCAAGCTGCAGTATTCCATTTTGAGGCCTTCAACGTCGAATTGGCTTGAGGAACTCCCACCAGGAAGTTCTTTTCCGGGTTTTACTCCGGGATGTATGACGTTGAGATATGCATGCAAAGCATGTGGCTTTCTTACCTGCAGACCCAGAAGAGACAAAAAGTCAAGTGATACGCTCGCAAACGGACATGATAAATGAGAGGTCAGTCATTGGCTCTTGGCCGCTAAATAGGGTCGTATTTATGCCAATCTGCAATGTAACGCATAAGCGTGACAAAGCAACTGCATATGCGCGAGGCTGTAAAGGTAGATATGGCTGGCCTTTACTGCCAACCGGCTAAATGCAAAGCAAAAGAAGTGTTAAGACTAATTGCGTTTGTAATTCAAGAGAGAGAGTGTGTGTCGACTCACAGAGTGATTTGTGTTTATTAATATGTCAGAACCCAATTGTGATGCAGCTCAATCTTCCATCCTTTCTCAGCTTTACGCCCCGAGTCACAATTCAACAGGAACGCACAATTAATAGCAATGGCTCCGTCTTATCTATCAGATTTCTCAACTCCCAGTATCATCGGCATAGCGGCCTTCTGCTTACTATCGTCCTGGTGGCTCAGCACAACCTTTTTAGCATGGTATCGCCTCCGCCACGTTCCAGGCCCCTGGTTCGCAGGACTCAGCTACATATGGATCGGCCGGACTGCCTACAGTGGTAAACAACATCATGTATTCGTCGCTCTCGACGAGAAATACGGCTCACTTGTCAGGATTGGCCCAGAAGTGCTGCTCACTTCAGATGTTGAGCTCGTCAAGCGCATGTCGGCGACTAAGAGTTCGTATGGCAAATCGTCTTGGGTCGATGGTGTGCGTTTCAATCCGTATCATGAGACTATGTTTGCAGTGAGAGATCCACGGCAGCATGATCGTGCAAAGGCGAGGCTTGCGCCTGCGTATAGTGGTCGTGACACGCCTAATCTCGAAGGAGCAGTCGATCAGCAGGTCGATAATCTCATATCCTTGATTCGCCGCCGTTATCTCTCAGAGCCCGCGTCTGGTGTCTTTCGTACCTTGCCACTCCTCAACGTCTTGTCGTACTTTACGCTGGACGTCATTTCCAAGGTCGCGCTTGGTACGGAATTTGGTTGCTGCGCTTCTGACTCGGATCCGTATAGGTTCTATGAGGGGCTGGATGAGCATATGCCCTTGATGGCGCTAACGAGCGATGTACCGTGGATCAGAGCCATAATGTACTCCACCACATTCCTCAAGTACTTTGGACCACGCGAGACTGATGATCACGGAATTGGCCCACTGATGAAGTAGGTGACACTTCCTTTCGATCTTTCTTACGACGGAAGGTTTTTGGACTAACCTATCGCACTTAGGGTTACAAATGACAATGTCCGACAGCGCTACAGTGAAGACCAGACAGAGAAGACGGATATGCTTGTAAGTTATAGTGCCGCACTTCCCCCCACCAACACGTCCGTTGAACGATCATTGATGTTTTCTACTACCAGAGCTCCTTCAAAGTCCACGGCCTATCAGAAGGTAACGCCCAGTCCGAGACGCTCTTCATGTTTGTCGCAGGGTCCGACACCACAGCTGCAGCAATCCGGATGACTCTATTCTACCTCATGTCGTCTCCCCGCGTTTATTGGAAGCTCAAGGAAGAGATTTGGGGTGCTATACGTGATGGAAGAGCTTCAAGTCCAATTACTGCTGCTCAAGCACGCGAATTGCCTTATCTTCAAGTGAGTCCATATATGTCTACTTCACCGCATCTAAGAAAGTAACGCTCAATCTTTCCCTAATCAGGCAGTGATTTATGAAGGACTTCGCATGCGACCAGTGACAACAGGGCAGCAAGCAAAAGAGGTACCAGCTGGAGGAGACACCATCAACGGATACTTCATCCCTGGCGGCACATCGATCGCCATCAATTTCTCCGCTATCTTAGGATCAAAAGCTCTGTTTGGCCCTGACGCCGACGTCTTCCGACCAGAGCGTTTTATCGGTCTTTCAGCCTCCGATCTGGCTGAGATGCGCCGCAACGTTGAAATGAACTTTGGTCACGGCCGGTGGATGTGTGCCGGAAAACCGTTGGCGTTTATGGAGTTGCAAAAAGTGTACTTTGAGGTTTGCTCCCCCACAGAGTTCATCCCAGGTTGGTGATTCTCGCTGACTCATGGCGGTATAGTTGTTGCGCGCATTTGACTTTCAGCTTACAGAACCTCTGAGTCCGATACGATCCGAGAGTTACGCCTTGTTTCGCGATTTTGGGCTCAAGGTGCGTGCTACGGTGGCAGAAGACATGGAATAATTGTTGGAGTCAAGATTGAGCGCAGGGCATGAGATTGATACTTGTTTATTATTCCTTGGGAAGTTGAGGTCTCGGCATCTAATGCGGGTAGTAAACTGAGTGAATGTTATAAAACAAAACCACCATCCCCCCAAACAAGCTCGCGACTTGCTCCATCTCGAAAATCGAAATACCAACAGCTGGAATGAACAGCTGAATTGGATATGCCACTCTTAAGGTATTCACAGTGCCCCACGCCAAGATACCAATGAAGACAAGATAGAGGATACCAAGCCCGAAGTGTAGCAGCCGAACTTTACGGATCCGATGAAAAAGGTTCCCAACGAGGTCCATAGGGAAACGTGTTATAGATCTTGTTTCAGGCAGAATTCCCGAGAATGAAATATCTCCAGTCGAGAATGGCAGATATATAAAGAATGCCACCATGACGGGGCACATGCCCACGGTGACCGCCATGAATCTGAAGAGAGTAGACTCTACAGGGATCCAAAAGGTTCGGGAGTCGCCACAGGTAATGAGTAGAAATACACTGTTTATTATAGGCAACACAACCCCGGCAAGGAGGCATTTCCCGACGCTCTCGAAGCCTTGAAGCTGTTGCTCTGTCCAGTTCTTCCTATGCTCGACGAGGAGAAATCCAAGCGCGATCAAGCAAAGCCAAAAGCAATTATCGTTGATTCGCAAAGCAGCATCGATACTGATGACGCGTGGGAAGATTTCGAACATGTCGGGACCTGGCTTGTCGAAAAGCACTTGGTTCTTGTACTGATAATCATATTTAGCCGAGACAGGGCCCTCGTCTCCATTTCCGATGAGGATATGCATCAGGTTGCCTCTGAGATACTGCGTCTTGTCGGAGGGGTAGTTCCATAACTGGATAGCGAAGTGTATCATTGCGATGAAAGGGTATAAAATAGCCGCCAGGAAGTCTGAGGTTGCCAGGAAGCGGTGGGCGGGGTTCCATATCCAGGATATCGCTGTGGACGCGACGATGCAGTACCACGCTGTGATAGAGCCTGGGCCGTAGTATCCGGGCGTCGAGAGGACGATTTCTGACGGTGACTCCATCATTGCACAGGAAGAGTTGGATTTGCCAAGTGAAGCGGGTTGAAAACGATAAAGGGGATCGAGCTGGAAATAAGCGCCCACGCTAGACCTCAAGTTAGAACAATGTCGTAAGTGGCGCTGGTCGAGAAGATAAGATCAAGAACGTCTCCCTTTAGCCTAGTGCCTTTTGTTATCTAATATAAAATTCAGGATATGAATTGTATTAAGATAGATAACTTCTTTTTCTTTTATCAGGTATATATATATATATAGTAAAGTAATATAATACACTTTTCTCTTTCTAAAGAAGAAAGGATATAAAATAATTAAGTTATATAAAGCAGGTCAATAAACAGTAAACAGTAAATACTTTTTATCAGAGTATAATACTATCTCGAGAAAGACCTTAATACCTCTAGGATTTCATGGCGCCATATGTCCCACATCCCTTCATTTTTCAGTCTTTCCGGAATGTTAGTACCTAAATTCTCCTGGAGCCGCTGCTCATCATCCCATTGAAGCATATTATCCATTGACCTCCATGCCTGATCGAATGACATTTCCCATAAAAGCTTAAAAGAAGTAGCGTCCTTATACCCGCCATCCATATATGTAGAATCCAATTGAGCCTTTGCCATTTTAAAACATACCCGTCTCAAGTTTCGAAAATCCTCATTAAATGTACTAAAGGCTGTGGTCTGTTGTAGTCGCTCAATTATCGCGGCTTCTCTTCCATGTGGACTGGTACCAGAAAGGTCTTGATCAACACGGGCTCCTGAGCTGCAAAGGAAATCTATGACTTCCGAATCAGCAGCGAGAACTATCGCACAGTATAGTGGCCAATCGGGCATCCCGGCGGGGGGGCATCTTTCTTCGGAGACCCCGTCATTTATGTAAGCATTCCACGTTAGGTGCCATCGAAGTGAGAGTATTGTGAAAGGTTGCATCTGGGGAGATACGAGCTTTTTCTCAATAAGAGTCTTGAGAAACCGAGGGTCTTTGGATAGTGTTGTTGGAAGTATCGATGATTGGGTTGGAGGAGACTCAACCTTGCCTTGATAGCTAAATGAAACCCCAAGTTCATAGAGGGAATCCAAGAATTGTAACAGTTCAGCCGGACTTCGGGTTTCGATAATCTTGGAGCAACCATTGACGATTTCTTCGTTTACCATTTTCGTCCTAGTTGTATCAGGCCTTGAGCGACGAGCGAGTTCGATTACTTGCTGAACCGCATGCTCGCCATTTGAAAGCATTATGTGAGTTAATGTAGCGATGATATCTTCCAAGGCTGGTGGCAGCATCTCAACAAGTTCGTCTAAGCGGCGGAACTTATACTCATCCCATGCAAACTGGTACAGTCCCCGCCGTAAATGGGGTAAATCCAGAGGGTCTGTAGCTGAAATCAACATCCGCAGGAGGGTGGCTTTATCCGTCTTTGAGTAGAGCTTAGCCAGATATAGCACATCCATTTTCGCGATATATGGTTCAGAGTCCAGCATGAGTGGCGGTAGTGTCGCCCAGGCGCTGTTTGTGTCAATTCCCGAGCACACTTCCATCCCTTCGTGTTCCAGAAGTGAAAATATAAGAGCTCTTTTGCTGCGGCTATTGACCGCTGCTGATCTGAAAACAGCCTGTGTGATTTGTGCCTCCGGGCCCTGTCGACCAAGCAGCATGGCCGTTAGTTTCTGGCCGTATAAGATATTCCTTGCTGCGGCAACGAAAACCTGTTCGGGAAGTTCCAAATCGCTTAGCCGATCAAGGAACACTTTCACCGCCTCCTCTCTGCTGCTCTCGTCGCAGGAAGCAGCAATCCAGCTCTCCCTCCTCGTCACTGGCCAGTGATCTTGTTGATCGACCAAGATGTTCATAACTTGAGAATCGAGATACTCTACCAAGTCCGGGATCCGGTCTTCCTGTATTGGTGTTTGGGATCGTTTTGCATTTATTGCATCACGAACTGCTTGCCATCTCTTTCCATCGTAATCCTTTTCGTCTTTGTCAAGGATGGGGAGTAGATTATCCAAGAAGTCAGTAGTTTGCGTAAAGCAGTCGCTTGACGCATAGCACACGCGTATGATGGATTCCCAGACACCTTTTGCCTCATCCCATCTCTGCAGGGAGCCATAAGCTACCGCCATCGCGGCCAAGCATTCAATTCTTTTCGCGTCGTTCTTCGCTAGATGATAATCATAGCCCTCAACTGCCTTGTGGAAGAGGTCGATGGCAGCCTCGAACCGGCAGGCTCCCACTAGTACATGTGCAGAAAGCAGCAACAGATGGCTGTTTTGGATAACCGTTTCAGGATGTGGATCCACATATTCCAAAGTCCCCATGTCGAGCCATGTTTCAAGTTGACTGTCGTTTACGGTCTTTGATGAGTCCTCCAAGTTCCAAATGAGAACAAACTTGTGTGATCTCGTTGTCAGGGGCAGATTTGGCTGTCTGGGGGTTGTCGATAGCGATATAAGGATTACTGAAAAGCAATCCCCCTCCTGCCTGATCAGCATAGGATGCGAAGCACCCTCTAATAAGCATAGAATATCGCCTTCCTTTGCTCTCTTGACGCTAGCATCAAGGTCCCAAGAGGTCGGACGCCAAAAAGATTCAAAAGGTGTCGTATATGTCATGTTCACTCGAAAGTCCCGATTGCGAGACCTTCGCGGAGCCACTGAAGTAACTTTGCCAAGAACAGTGCCCTGACCGCTAATGATAGCCGCCCTATCACTGTTGGATGTCTTTACTGAGACCTTGGGCCCAAGAAGAAAAGTGGTGAGTCGGCAGAAGAGAACGTCCCAAGAGATACTATAATTCGGCTTGAGCTCTGATGCTGATGACCCGTCTGTGCTCATTCCAAGCAACGCGAAAACCTTGTCGAGAGGCTCAGTAGCCTCATGGGCATGATACATATCCATAAGTTCACCAAGGGACCGTATACCTAATGTAATCAGACCTGAATCTGTTTTAGTATACTTGGGACGAAAAATAGATCCTCTTATCAGGTACTCGATGGAGGAAACAGGTTCGAACCCCTCAGAGGCATCAATGTATGGAGCCAGTCCAAGACAAAAAGCATAGCCGTCAATCTGGGACGCACCACAGACTATAAGGACATGTTGGGCGGCGGCCACTTCCTGAAGAACCTATTTTTCGTTTGTATTAGCAACTGCCTTGCAAATAGTGCGTTAAATATTACCCAAATTCTTCGAAACCATGTTCTTTTGAGCAATGCAGCAATCGATTCAGGAACAATAATGTTGTCTTGTTCGGCCGGGATATCATCTCCCTCTGCAACCTCGCTGATCTTCTGCATGGCCAAGTCACTATCGGATGTGGCTTCTCCAAGCCAGACTATGACTTGTCGCGCTTTGCAATAGACCTCTGCCATGATTCTGACTTGTTTTCCTCGCTCGTTTATGTTGCTCTGGTTGATGCAGATTGCATCTACCCATAAGACCCGTTCAATAAAGCTATCTCGCAGTTGTACAAGGGCACCATGACAGTTGGCGGTGATAGGTAATTCTTGATCATCGATTGAGATTGAATTTTTGTTTTTTGAGGTACCCCAAGTGTACGATAAGGCCTCGTAAAGGTGCGTTGTCTGCCCGCCTTGGCCCAAAGGATATTCAAATAGCTGACCCTGAAGTCGAGCTGACCGGTCTGAACTTGGCAGTAGGCGAAGTAACCGGATATTGTTATCGCCATTCAAGGCAGAGTACGCATATTGGCTTTCGTCCATTTCTGCTGACAGTTACAAGACTTCTACCGCGAAAGGTATTGCTGAAATGCTGAAAGGGGCGCAACTATTGGAGCAGTAATCAAGTGTTGTATGAGTTTACGATGGTTTCTGGCTCGTATTGGCATTGATGAGCTGTTTCCTTGGGGGTGCGTCTGCCACGTCACACCTGCAGCCTGGTTGTTACGACCCCGCGATTATGTCACTTGTACTTGAGACCTCACTATTGGAACTCATCAGAAGACATCCCGATACCAAGTTCTGTTATCTACGCTGCTAAAGTCGTTACAGTTACGCATTCCATCTTTGCTTTGATACCCCAATCACTAAATATGAGTATTAAACTACGTTAGTCACCCTGACTGAGAGCTAGCTCACTTCCTCCTTTCAGTAATCACGATCCCCAGGAACCTGACGGCTAGTTCTCCCCATAAACACAAACAAAAGCCAGCATCATGATTATTAGTCGTTCGTGCCAGATCGCCGTCGCTTCGGTGTATCCACCAGATATTACCCGCTTCCCATCTAGCTCTTCGCTCCAATGGATAAAGCATCAAGCGAACGAATCATTAAGTTGGCTATGTGAAGCCCAGTGCCTCCCCAAACATCTCGACTTCATTTGTCAGAGAACCGTGAAACCTCAGCTTGCACGGGAACCTCAGAAGCTTCTCTGTATTTCATGAGTACCTCGTCAGGCTTGATACCCTTCTGTCTTTGACAGCCGCCTATTGTGCTGATTGTAAGCTTATAGAAAGCGTTCTCTCTGCGTTCCTCATCTCGCGCCTTCTTTCTCCCCGCTCTTGTTCCTTCTTGAGGACCTTCTCCAGAATTCCGCAATAGAACTCATAGTTCTTCATGGCCAACTTGCTTACGGCTTCGTCGTCAGAGTCGGTCATGGTCGTATGATGCATCGCCATCTGCTGCTTCACGTGCTCCTTATATGGCGCGGAAATATTTATCTCCTTTTCCACCTCCTCTATTTGACGTCTAAGAAGAGCTAGCTGTCTTTGGATCTCGGCTTTAGATGACATGGTGTTCTTTTTATAATATATAGATCGTAATATAGAGGTGTAATGGAGAGGTGTATAGTTATTGAAGTGTTCTCGAGTCTTGTTAAGTGTTTGCTTTAAGGAAATGTTTAACCCGGAGAGATAGCGAGGTTTTATACATTGCAGGCCTTGCTACTCACTGATTCCTGTCATTCACTCGATTATCATTCGTACTATCGACGTTCTGTGTCAGATTAGTAGCTAATTCTTTACATCACAGCCTTTATTTCTGAATGAATATATAGCTCAGTGCTTATGATTATTTTTCCATAGTATGTCCTTGTACCTGGACACTCAAGGGCCACTCATAATCCCTGCTATAAGTAGTTCAGCACCGGATCAGTTCTCATATCTCCATCCCTGCTAACAGTAACAGTGATCAAAAGCGAGACAGCGAGTCCATGGCTGGTATCTACTTAATAATAACCACGATCCCCTTTTTGTCACTTCCATACAACTGGTAAAGCTCTCCAAAATGTCTAAACATAACACTGGTGTGTCAAAGCAAAATACCTACGACGTCCTCTATTCACCGTGCGGATCATTCTCGCAACATACAGGCAGTAAAGACCTCGAAAGCTTGTATTTACTTGAGGAACTCTGTAGTCAGGCTCTCTGACCTTGCTGCCTCAACACTTTAGCCTATCACCAAAGCGCTATGCGCAAATCCCTTAACAATTCCCTCTCCCTATCTTTATACCTCTGTAACTCCTCAGTTCGCTGCTCTTGCTGACCGCAGAGCCTTGTAATAGTCGCACACAACCGATCATGCTCCCGTTGTGCCGAATCCCTTTCGGCCTGACTCCTCCCTCCGTTCATTATTCTCTGCACCTCTCTCCTCTTCTGCATTAGGTCTTGTATCTCACACCTGGTGGTATCGTGGTAGGTTTGCACCCGCTCCATCATTGCTCTGACCCTCTCAAGTTCTGCCTCGATCACCGCTTTGGAGGGCATGTTGTTGTAGCTGTGCTGTAAAGTCGTAGGAATGAGGTATTTATTTAGTTGTAATTCTTTTTATAAATTACCTTGCGGGAAATGGTTGAGATTCTGACCTCACGGGATATTTATAGCTTGGTCGTGTGCCATGTCACTGACCAGCATGTTTGGTCTTGACATCCCTCTCGCTCACACTACATGCCGTGCAGCTCTCGTAGAAGCACAAGCAGTGAATCTACTGAGGCACAAACTTCGTTAGTAGTAAGTTCCAGAAATTGGCCAGTGTTGGAAAGCAACGCAACCATGCAGTTCATGAGGTTTAGTCTTTCCTACGCAGTCGCAAGGCCTGGTCCATGCCATGAGTGAGTGTAGAGTCAAGGCCATTGTTGTCAGTAAGTGACTGTAGCTAAATCGGCAATCAGACTCGCCTGCCATCTCATCTCATATTATTATTCATTGATGGATTGTCATAATATAACTGATTCCTTTTCCATACCACTGCGTTTGCTTCATTTTCAGTCTTGATGAGGACCCAGGTCCTCGGAGTAGTTTTACATGCTGAATCCAATCGATAGCCAATGTCACTAGGGCTTGAAGTCTTGCCGTCATGTATCATAACCCTACATCGAGCGATGGAGTTATGCCAATGCAAGGAATACTGAGGGGCTGAAGTGCTTCCAGTGCGCCGTTTCGATGTTGTAATAACGTCATTAGCTCACTCATGCCATTGTTACTAGTTCGCTTTACTAAGAGACAATATCTCCGTTGATCGCGGAGGAAGTAGGGCGCACAAATATCACCAACTCATTGAGATGCTCAATTTTCTCGAGACATAGTACATAATGTCCCTCCAACCTATTAACTGTCTAATTCACTGATTGTAATTCTCTTTCAAGACGAGCAAGCTTCGCATTCTTTGCCGCCAAAGTTGCCCTCAGTTTGTCTCTCTTCATTCCCAGTTGCACCTCTTCACGGAGAAACTCGGCGCGTTGCTGTAGAGCCACCCGTTTCTCCTCATCCCCAAAGTTTGGAGAAGTACCAATTGCATTCGCAGCACGCCCTTTTGCCTGCAGCTGTAGTATTTCCCAATCTACATCGCTTATGTCCTTTGTAGTCATGCTGATTTCGAATTTGACTGCCGAGATCCGCCCCGCGATAGTTATAGGCATGTTGTTGTAGATTTATTTCCAGGTGGTGAGGTAAGTAGAAATGCAGCTTTGTTGTTGATGTTATGTAGCTAGGTTGCTTTACAGGGGAGAGTTTGGTTACCCATCTGAGGTCGTCTTTTATAGCTTTCTGGCCTGGCGTTTCACTGACTGATATGCCAGAATGACAGGCAGTTTCACAAACACTATCTACAGATTAGCTGTTGGTGTCATGGTGTGCCCTGAACAGGAGCAGCAAGATGCAGCTATACACTAGGTTCTTTGTGCTAAACTAAGCCGGGAAGCCCCCAACTACAGGCCATTGCAGGTAATGGCTCATACCAGCTGTATCTGATGTTGAGAGCGGCCATCTTCACTTGATGTTTGTTCCGCAGTTTCTTACCTATCAAGCGATATGCAAGGCGCGTAATGTAAGCCATGCATCGTGTTCCTTTATCCATTAAGAAAGAAGTCTTAGATGTGAATGGAGTAAAATCAAGGTCTGTGCTGCTTGTATTTGCCTAAGCCCTAACCTTCTCAGGCGCAGTACATCCTATACTATAGCAAAAGCCCTTGGTACATCTCAAAGGCCGGTTACGCTCGTAGTTCTCTCTCAAGCCTTGCCTCCTTATCCCTCAGCCTCTCCAACTCCCTCCCGGTCCTGCTCTGCTGAGTTTGCAGATCACACTCCTTGTTGAGAAATTCCGAATATTGCTGTTTAGCCACAGCGATCTGATGATGTGGATAGTTTCCCTGTATTATACCTAGGGCAGCGGCCTTTTGTGTCTGTACCTGGATTATCGCCCACCTACAGTCGCTTATTGTCTTCTCAGCGATGGATATATCGCTTCGAGTGCGAACGAGCTCCAAGGCGATGTCTGTCTTTGTAGGCATCCTGTTGTCACTTGTTGATAATTTATTAAGTAGTTGAGGTGTTTTGGTTCTTTGGTTGGAATTTTGAGGAGGAGATCGTTTGTATGCCGAGCTTGGGGCCTTTTTATAGATTGCTGATGTGACATTTCACTGACTGACTGATAGTGAAGATTAGATATTGCTTGTACAAACACAATTCAGCGATCCATCTTTAGTGCCGTGCCTTATTACCCCAGATAGATTCAGTGAACACTCTGCCACACACTAAGTTCTTTGTGCTAATATTGCTCTCCGTCGCAAGCATCGGTAACTGATCGCATATCTCTCTTACAAACTAGACATTGTATCATGATCAGTTGAGTCACACACTTTGCGTATTACACATCCACGGTGACTCTTAATGTGATGTTATTTTGTACCTACTACACGATTGAAGGTCGTAACCACCATGATGATCGAGTGTAGTGTCACGTTCGATTCATCTCGTGGGTGCCAGCGGATGAAAATGGTAAATCACATTCACTGTTTCCCAAAAGGACTCGTCAATGTATTTGTATCTATGTTCTATAATCTCATTTAAGATCTCAGCGACAAGTCTCAGTTGCAAGTATTTATACATCCATTGTCACTGCTCAGCGAGTCCCATTTACGTCAGACGATTATCAATTCTACACGTGATCAGTTCGAATTAAGTCAATGCCTCTCTGGTAACCTGAACTTTCCCTTTGGGTTACAGAGTACTGGCCAGACTCAAGTACAGGACTGCTTCTGTATATCGTTTCTGCATGTCATTAACCAAGAGAGAAGCACCATGCTACATCGCTTCGCTCAGTAAAATAGGAGTTTACGGATGCAAGTGTTTCGATTCAAAGTCTATTGCGTATCTAGTACTCCGAATTGCCGCCTCTCGTAAAGGTACTGCTCATGGTACTGCAAGTAAAACGCCTTGACAGACTTCAATCGCCTAGACTGCGAGTTGGTACTGTTCTTCAAGCTTTCTTTCCTTCTTCTGCTGCGTCGCCAGGCGCCCCTCGGCCCTTTTCTTGTCGCTGATGAGGTTATTTTCCTTGTTGCAAGCCTCTTCATGATTTCTTTGAGCCGCAACCCTCTGTTCAGGCGGATAGTCCCCAGTTACTATCACCCGAAACCCAAGCTTTTGCCATCCAACTTTGTCTATCTGTTCCTCCAACTGGTCAATCTCTTTCTCCGTGTCTTTGATAGTCTTTTTGACATCGTCAAGCTCTTCCTTGATTGCTTCCTTAGTACCCTTAGTAATGGGTGGCGCCATGTTGGTATGGTTGTATTGGTGATTATTGTGGTCTTTTTCAGTGTATGGGTTTGGGCGGTAGCTTGTGTGCCTGTTTTGTGACTGCTGTGTGGTTTCTTGTATGATTGCTTGTAAGACAGCTCATAGTGCGTACCTACACCAGCTATCATAGTCTGCTTGACTTGCATTTTACTGATTCACATGGTTGAGTTGAACGTGACTTTTGCTGTGGCTCTCTGTCAATCAATGTGAGGAAACTCGGATTCAGGGTCATCACGAGTCCTCGGTGAGTGAACACAACCAGATTGCTGTGTTATTCATTGCTGTTAAGAGACATGAATGAGGAACAGTAAGTTGCAGCAATCGTCAATTGCTCGAAAACTCTTGAAGGAACGGAACAAATGTCACTGTCAACATCACATTACGTTGGTTAGTGACGCAGGACAGCTGGCAAGTGATGCATTGTCGCGTTGAGCTCTTTGTCCATTTGTCAGAGTCCTTGGCTCGTAATGCACAGCTCTGACTTCTAGTCCTGGATGAGAGACAACCCACGACACTCTGATCCGCGTATGAGTGCATTGCTCAGGAGTCTCATCATGTGAATCATCAAGTCTTTGAGCAGCCGTTTGATAGAGATGGGGCAAATAAACTCCAGAATGCAGCACCACTCTGACCTTGGACAAGACGAGGCTCTGCTAAGATGATGCATTGAGGCTTGAGCCGACAATTCTGCATCACCACGACCAAGCAATGTCAATTGTTCAAATCCACCGCGTCATGACGCTCTGATAGACCACACACTACAAACTCTACACACAGCTCCAATCTGGATTAGTCCATCGGAAACCTCGTGTTTCCCGAAAAGCCCGCTCCAGAATCGGCAATCCCTCTCGCACCATCAGCCGGCATCATTCCAACCCCATAAACGTTTCCAAAACAGGCACCTCTAGCTCCAAGCTAGTCAAGCCGTGACATCATGCTCCACGCTCCGTGCGGTCCGTGATTTGCCAGTTGCTAATTATAGTGAGTCCACTTTGCATGCTACACGGTAGATCGGCACTTTGAGGCTTGGAATCACGAGAATCAGCGCCACTAGTCTCCGTTAGCTGGGACTCTTTCCCTCAACGTTGCATTTTGGATCTAAGTTTGCTCTACTGGCAGCTTGTCTGGTAGTCTTGGGGGAGCTTTTGGCGTCGCGGGAAGAAAGCGCATTTTTGCTTTAGTGGCTTTGAGTTCGTAATTTCACCTATTGCTACGATGCAGGGATGGTGTAATGTCTATTCTCCTCCCCGGGGACAGCGAGGACCACTGATGTTAGATCCGCAACGTAGTTTTTACTTTAGGTCATGTCGTATTGGGCTTTAATGTCAGTTCGTAACGCGTCGATCTGTGGATCATGCGAGTGCGAGGGTCGCCACGGCAGTTAATGCATTTAATAACTGCTCCATCCCTTTCGTTTCACTTCATTCCATCCATCCTTCCATCACCCTTCTATACCCCCAATCATTCACAATGCATTTCAACACGCTGCAATGTTTGGCCATCGGCCTTATGGCAAATGCTGCACAATCATTAGCTGTGCCGACGAAACGAGAAGCTGTGAATAGCTGCCTCACCCAAGCCAAAGTCCCAGTCGACACCAAGGGCACGCAAACATGGACCGAGGACGGCACCGCTTACAATCTGCGTCTTCAATTCGAACCCGTCGCCATCGCAGTCCCCACGACCGTGGCCCAAATCTCCGCCGCTGTTGCTTGCGGTTCAAAACACGGCGTCGCAGTTAACGCCAAGAGCGGAGGCCACAGTTACACATCCCTTGGTTTCGGTGGCGAAGACGGGCATCTCATGATTGAGCTAGATCGCTTATACAGCGTCAAACTAGCCAAAGATGGCACTGCAAAGATTCAACCTGGCGCGAGACTCGGTCACGTCGCGACTGAGCTTTGGAATCAGGGAAAGCGAGCTCTTTCGCATGGAACTTGTCCTGGTGTTGGTATCGGTGGTCACGCCCTGCACGGCGGCTACGGCATGGTCGCGCGCAAGTACGGTCTCACGCTAGACTTGATGAAAGGCGCTACTGTAGTTCTGCCCACTGGAAATGTAGTCCACTGCTCCAAGACCGAGAACTCTGATTTATTCTGGGCCATTCGCGGCGCTGGTGCTTCATTCGGTGTCGTCGCCGAGCTCGAGTTCGACACTTTCGCTGCACCCGAGCAAATCACATACTTCGATATTGGTGGTTTGAACTGGAACCAACAAACAGCTCCTCAGAATTTGTTGGATTTCCAGGAGTTTGGAAAGACCATGCCTGCGGAGATTACTATGCAGATGGCCATTTCCAAGAACGGATATAGTGTTGATGGTGCTTATGTTGGTACGGAGGCTGAGCTCAAGAAGGCTCTTCAGCCGCTGCTTACCAAGTTTAATGTGCAAGTCAGCGCGACGACTGTTGATTGGATTCAGCTTGTTACACACTTTGCTGGTGCCAATGTCAACGTCAACCCTACCAGTGCTTCATACGATGCTGTAAGTCTATCTATAATCTCATGTTCATGAGTTTTGCTAACAATTTGCAGCATGACAACTTCTATGCTAGCAGTCTTCAAGCGCCTGAGCTCACTCTTGCTCAATTCAAATCCTTCGTCGACTACATCTCCACCACCGGCCAAAGCAGCAGTCACTCGTGGTGGTTGCAGATGGACATCTCTGGCGGCAAATACTCCGCCATCTCCAAACACAAGCCCACCGACACAGCTTACGTTCATCGCGACACGCTTCTTCTCTTCCAGTTCTACGACAGCGTTGCTCAGAACCAGAAGTATCCCTCCGATGGCTTCAACTTGATCAAGGGTCTGCGACAGAGTATCTCCAATACTTTGAAGGCGGGTACTTGGGGTATGTACGTCAATTACCCTGACTCGCAGCTCAAGGGCGATAGAGCTACTGAGATGTACTGGGGTAGTAACCTCGCCAAGTTGGAGTCGATCAAGGCGAAATATGATCCCAAGAACATCTTCCGCAACCCTCAGTCAATCAAGCCCAAGGCTTAGAGCACTCTGTACAAAGATTGTAAATGTTTTTTATACATAGACTTATCATTTAGCGGGTTTTATTAGGTTAATCTTTTAGATTTGTTATTCATGCAAAACCGGTCCCGGGTAGCATTTAATTTTAGACAGTTTTTCCAATCAACTCTTAAATAATGCAGCGAATTCGTTCATTTCCGCTTCCCACATTACAAGATACTCACTAATTAACTAGATTTCTGTTCTTATCTTAGTCCTACCATAACAGCTTTTCAGGACATCCACCTTCACGACGTCCGAACAGCAGCAAGAATGTGATCGACTTCCATGCTCAGAAATCATCTCTGACGGACTAGTAGAACATCACTATGTGACCCTTTGTAGTTAAGATCTAAGAGAACTAAACTCTTTTACATAATTCAATTTCCCTCTCAACGTCCCCTCGTGATTTGAGGCATAAATAAACATCACTCGGTAACGACAACAACGTTGATAGAACCAACAGTGTTGGTTGTTACAGCTCTAACACACTTTCAGTTAGTTCCCTCCAGGATTGGCTGATATGATTGGTTCAGCTGACAGTTCACCGTATGATTTACCCACCGGCTGCCTAACTGTGCCCGAAATAACGGGTCCAGTTTGAACCAACACCTCGCTACGAAATACCTTAAAAGGTCTTCCCCTTTTTCACGATCACCTCACTCAACGACATCCATTTTCTAACCAATTCAGTACAATTATCCTCAATCGTAACAATGTCGGGTATCAGCGACCGGATGCTGCAGCTAGACATGGCTCTGACCCAAAACGGGACACCGGCCACGCCTCATCTCCGTGAAGCACGGATCAAACGGAAAAACAGCCCTACAGACATCAGCCATTTAGTCTTTGGTCCACAGCCCGGGAAGAAACATCAATTGTGGATCACAGATCGTATCATGGAACCTCAGACCATTCCTCACTTTTTTGAGTTTCTCATGAATGGCGAATTACCTGCTGATCGCAAAACATCTCGTCCTTTGCTTACTGTTGAAGAGGTCAAGAACTTGACTAGACCTGCTTCGGAGTGGGCGCCGGCTCCACTTCATCGACAAGCGAGATCGACTGGGGAGTGGATTGGGATTCGAATTGGTTCGTATGAAGATAGTTCGAGACTTTGGCCTATTGCCAAGGAGCTTCATGCTATGAAGTCGAGGCTTTGGGAGGGGATACCACCGATATCTGAGAGGCGATGGCAAGAGTTGGGGCTTGATCATCCGGATCGGTTCCCTGAAGCTTGTCGATACTTCGTTGCGGTTATCAATGTGTTCATCTACCTCAACACAAAGCGCACCAAAGCCGCCTTGCGAAAGACATATAACTTGATCTGGGATCATCTCAGCGTGTTTGAGAAGGCAATCAACGCAAAGAGGAAAGCGGAAGCAGAGGACGGCGTGTATGAGCACGTATCAGTAACTGGTCTCTGGTACGAGTTCATCAGAGCGCAATACGACTCTATCTGTGAGAATGCTCACAATTGGATTATCGAGCACATTGATCGCATACGAGAGTCAATTGTGCAAGAACTCGCATTGCATCAACCAGATCACCCGGATCATTACAGCGATAAACAATGGGAGCTCACAAACAAACTCCATGACCTTGCGGAAAACACCTCTCAAGCTGATTACACCATAATGATGCCCACGGACGGATACAAAGGCGATAGTCTCCCAGTCAAAGAAGACGATTGTCTTACAGAAGCTCATGGCGGTGGCTTCCGCACAGAAGCAATAACCTGGTCAGCAAATCTATCATGGCGAGCGGCAGACTACATCCAGCGCGTCAGATATCTGGACAGAAAGGAGATGTACAGCCATCTAGAGCATGAGGACATGAGACCACTTCGTGGCTCCGGGAGGATGAGTGACCCAGCGGGTTTGGTTATCTCAGCCATCAGTCAGATTGACGCCCAGACTATGGCTAGGGAAGAACTGCGAGGACCTCCGAATCATCCAGATTATTTGCCGTGGATTGAGTATGCTCGAAGAAGGTTGAATAAAGGTTTGGGGTTCGTGGCGTATAGGTTGTGTCACGGATATAGTCCTGAGAAGTGGGATATGTTCAAGGTCAAGTTCGAGGCTGATATTTGTGATTGGGGACGAGGGACGGTGGGCATTAATGATATACGTAAGGCGTGTAAGATACAGTGGATTGATGGTAAAGAAAAGGACATTGCAGATGATGATATCGAAGCAGCTAAGAAGTAAGTTCATTGACGAGAGGACAAAGTTAAAGGCTAACAGCTACGCAGGCATTTTGAAACAATTTCGAATCAGTCGGTGCATAACAGGGTATTCCTCGTCATCGACGAAGCAACCATGAAATCATATCTCGAACCCGAACCCGGTAAAGAGAAATTCGTCCTCGCCATTGACGCAAACTACAACCCAACAAAAGAAGAGAACGTCGAGTCACCAGGCTACAAGGGCACTTTGCGCATACTAGGCAGTCTTCTTTGGGATGAGCTTGGCGCACTGTTAGTCATGCAAAGCGCCTTTCTCGAGAATCTCTGGCCGATGGCGATGCACGATGCGGAGGGTATCTATCGCGGTATCAGGGTTACGTCTGTCCTCAAGTTCTCATCTTATCAAGAGAATTTGGACTGGAGGCTTGCGAGTGAGATTGTTCCGAAGTTGGTCGCTTTCAGAAGGGGACTTGAGTTTAGATCGAGGAGGTAGATTAATGGTACAGATGACGTATGATTTGTTGTGTCTCCAGTTATCAATGCCTGCCAGCCTTCTTGGCCGCTGCCCGAGCTCGAGTGATCTGCTTCTTCCAACCAAAACACAGACTGCACGCTACATGATCTGGTCAGAATTCTATTTCCAATATGAAACAGCCGTGACTTACTTCCGCTATGATGTTTGTTGCAGACATAAACGCCGTCGCTGTTGCGAGAGGCATCTGGAGATTCGATTGCATCGCGATCTATAGTGTCAAACTATAACGCGAGTAAGGTTTGTGAATAACTATCTTTTTTTTAGGAGCAAAGGAAAGGTTGGCTTACTCCGTAAAAAGCGTCGTTCTCCTCGCGTAAATCGGCGCTACAGTCATCACACTGTGCAAAAGATATTTAGATTTTGCCAGGTTATGGGGGGGGGGGCGGTGGGGCACTGACGATCTCTGCGAGATGTGGTTCGCAGAAAACTGCATCGTTGATCTCAACAGTAGCGGCCATAGTTGGTTTAATAATAGAATTGAGAGATTAAGTATAGAAAAAATAAGATGAATGAAACTTTCGGCATGGAGAAAAGGTCTTGTTTTATAAAGTGATGCATTTCGGGGTCACGTCAGTGGCGGGGGAGATCTGCGAGACACTACTGCAGCATTCGTCCTTAGACCGCAGCTGGAAGATGGCATCGCCCAATAGTGAGGGCCAGAGCCAAGGGTCAAGTGTTAGTGATCGGCATCAACATTGTTGTAGGTAGATTATTGGGTGGAGGTACGAGCTAATTGACTAGAATCCTGGAACTCAGCTGCCAAAGTTAGACATTCTTTTCCTCTTAGGAAATGGACATCGGTTTATGATAAGGCGCCAAGGTTGAGGGGTAAAAAGACCCGGACCTCACATAAAGGCAAAGAGAAAAGTAATACATTGTAGCCGATGCTCAGGAAAGAGATCAAGAACAATTGAAATTGAAATGCGAACCAATCTCTCACGCAATGGTGATACGTCGTTGAGGCAAGTATAACAAACCAAGGTATATCAGTGAAAAATACACAATGTAAATAACGACTGACCAAATTAGATCGAATCTATCTTGATAGTTAATATAAACAAATACATGTCATGAACCAGTGTAACCGTTGATTTGCCTGTATCCAAGTCTGTGGGAATCGAGAACTGGCCTGGATCGACATCCTCACGAGGAATCCATAATACTCTCCTAGAACCCTTCATGAGCCACGCTTCGGATTTAGAGCAGGATAGTCTGAGGTAACGCGGGTCCCAGTGATCTTCTGCGTTCACTGTTGGTATATCCTCGAAACAACTGCCCTCAGAGCTCCAGTCCTGAGAACCATCATTATGAGAACCGAGTTCCAGGTCGCATCCGAGAACTCCAAAACCCGTATTGAGTAGCTTAGGGGTTAAGAAGTTCAAAGTTAGAGGGAATTTATTCAGATAGTAACTCCGAATCCAGGTGCCATCTTTCGCATTTCCAGTTGCTATAAAGTTCTTGTATGAATGCAGTGCAGAGATCGCAAGTATATCACTAGAAGAGAGCGAAACGTACGAAATGTATAGAGGATGCGGTTCGGATCGTAGAACTTCTAAGTCAAACCACTGGGTTTTCTTGCCGTTCACGATGTCCCATATCACTGCTTCCTCATTATTTACGGCCCCAGCGATCCGGCCGTCCGCTGTAATGGTTGACACGGGCTCATTAAGACGGATTGGATTAGATACCTCCCGCAAGCATCTGCCTGACTTTAGATCCCAGAACTTGATCCTTTTACTGCGAGATATGATCTGCTCTCGTCCCCAAAACTGTATGGTCAAATCGCAATCCGAAACGTGTTTAAAAGGCAGGTGAAGATGTTTCCCAATCCGTCGCTCGCGATAGTAGAGGCCTCTATCGTGGTCAAAATTAAAAATATCAATGGCACCACGGTCGGTGAGGACAGCAAAGTAGTCGTCTTGGCCAAATACGAGTGACTCGAATCTGTAATACGACCTCCGGGGCGTGTTTTGAAGTGTCTTGGGGAGATAGAGAAATCTGCCATCGACTGCTATGCTCAACATGTCGAAGTTTCCATTGTCACTGATGACAGCGACCTTGCCCTTTGGCGATGTGATGAATGTGTCGACTATGCTGGTAGACTGATGGGTCGTAGGTTCTGAATGGCTCAGGATTGTGTCTAGGCTCCAGATCTTGAGGGTGGTGCCCTTTTTAAACCCAAGCGAAGCAAGTTGGCGATTCTTCCCATAGCATATTGCCTCGGTATGACCCCCCTGCAGATGCGCTATCAGTCTCTTCGCTTTGATATCCCATATTTCGATGCCGAAGTTGCCACAAAAGGCTACTGAACCGTCTCCTATCCATGTTGCATCATGTACATACTTGTGCTGGTCGAATCGCCCAATCTTCTGCTCAGTTATGGATGACCCCCACGAGTACAATAGGAACTCTCCTTTGTTTTGGAACACAGCACAGCATGTCCGATCACGGCTAACCGTGGCAGCGTCAGGAGGTCGTTTATACTCCAGCGACATTAGCTTCGAAATTTGATGTCTCGTATCGAGACCCCAAATGGAGATGTCGATCTCGCTTAGAATTAAGAGAGCCTGTGGATGGGAAGCAGTATTTATCCAAGCAATGTATTCAGCATCGGACCGTGGACTCATAGGGCAGCTGTCAATTTTTGTTTCGGTTGCTATATTCCAAATATCGACGTCGTGGAATTCTGATATTAATGCAAGTAACTGTCCGTCTGGAGAGACCGATAGAGACCTTGGATAGCTAAAGCTAGCAATTGGAAAGGATTTACTGCATTCCCCATTAGGTAGACGCAAGATGGAGATTTTCGGTATATCTCCTGGGTCGCTAGATAATATGACGAATGAATCTCCACTTGAATGGAATGTAAATCCGTGTAGGTCTCTACCAGGAGTATCAGTGGACTTGATAAGCTCACCGGTGGAAGCGTCGATCAAGAGTATGCTCTCGCTGCTGTCTATTGTTGCAATCTCTCGACCATCGGGTGAAAATTCACATATGCTCGAGGACAAACTTGCTATATCTGGAATAGTCTGAAGGCAGGCATCCCATTGTTGGAAGTACGGGGAGAGTACATCTATGGAGGTGCTGATTTCCTGGTTAAAGCATTCCTTGATTTTGCTGAGTTTGGGAGTGAATATTAAAGCCGAGTCATAGAGCTGAAGTGGCGCAGCATCCATGATGGCTCTGTGCGTGTGAACGAAACGGACAGCGTCTTGGACAAGAAGCCTTAATTCGTCAGAAACTCTGCCTTCCCGTAGCATGGTTAATCGCTAATTTAATAGTAACGAGATATCACTACCTACCAATTTATCTTCCAGTCTCTGCATTGCCCTGATTGCATCCGAGGTACACCGCAAAAGACTCATAGCCTCAAGCCAGTAGAGGTACTTCGTCCCCAAGAATTTGGTTATCATATCATAACACAAGCTGCTTGGGAGTTGATTGTCGGTCAGAAGCCATGCACAGAAGTGATCAACCCAGTAGATACAAGCATATCCAACAATAGTTAGAGGAGCACTCGGCAAAATATCCATCTCATCGATCAAGACACAACTGTCTTTGAATTCATAGAGATTTCGATGGAGCCGATGGTGCATGGCCTTCATGCTGCAGTTGAAGATGGAGTAATGTTGTTGCCCTATACCTGCAGGTAGGACCTTGGGTGTATTGCGCAAGAAGTCGTTGACCGACTGATGAACAGTGTAAACCTTATGGTCTCTTATGGTCAAGAGGGAGCCACAAGATGTAACGAGGTTTGATAGAGTTTTCTTGTCTTCAACCCACTCGGTAAGAATCTCATCAGCTGCGGCTAGCTCTTGAAGATTCAGGGGCCTTGACGCAACGGCTATCACAGAAAGGATAGCTCTACACCATTCCATATCTCTATCGTTGATGTCGCTGATCATCCGTTGGTATAGCTCGTTTAATCCAGCTGGGAAGCGCTGAAGGATGCCAGAACTGTGGTAGTGTTTAACACCGGGCTTCCCCAGCTCTTGACACACCAAAGCAACCCAAAGAAATGTGTCATTCGCGTTTTCAAGAAGGTGTTGACGAATCCGGGCTCGAGTAGACTCATTGAAAGTTGAATTGAGCTTAGTGACCTTCCAACTAACGAACTTGGCGACAGCATTTGATATTGAGGCGTGGTTAAGTTCCAAGTGGAGTCGAACTTGTCTTTGCGCTGTATCAAGCTGTGATTCTATCTCAGGCCAGTTGCGGCTAGAGATGACCCATTTAGTTTTGCAAGAGACTGAACTCTGGCTAATGTAGCTGATAAGCTTCTCGCGCTCCTGAGTGCACTCGTCCAAAGCATCAATAATGATGATACAATCCGCAGATACGTCATCTTCGAGGATGGCCGTAAGAATTCCGGATATCGCTTGCCAAGCGTTATGATTGCTGAAAATGCTTTTACCAGCTTCATCATATTCCTTGCGAACGTGGGAGATCAAAGCCGGTCGTTTGCGAACGATGGACCAAATAAGACTGCGAAGCACATATGATGCAGTTCGCAGAAGAGGCTGTGCGGCTTGGCAGAAGAAATAAAAGATACTGTCATCTGACGTTTTCTCTAACTCTGTAATAAGCCCAACTAAAAGCATTGTCTTGCCCTTTCCAGGGTCGCCCTTGATCCATAGTAAACGAGAATGCGGGTCATCGCGCCATTGGATGAAGTTTTCGTTGTCCAAGATCCAGCTGTAGCAGTCATTCAGCAGACCTCCTTTGTCGTCTTCGATACGTTGCTTATCGGCGACAGGGTCAGTGACATAAAGATCTTTTAGGCAGGAGTCATTTTTGCCCTATGTCTTCGTCAGATATCATACAACTACACAGTGCTATCGCATCTTTCGAGATTACTAACATCTGTGTCGTAGATATTATTAGTCTGCTGGGCAATTTGAATGTGACCGGCATTTACAGCCTTTTGTATGTGAATCGCGTCACTCATCATGAGTGACGAAGGCCAGTTGTCATGTTTGGAAAGAGAATTGGGTCTACAAAGTCCAGAAAGAATGGGGAAGCACGTAAGAAACGCTTCAAAAGTACCCATTTCTTACCGTTGGGTTCGAATCACATCAGGCACATGTCTGACCATAGTGCCAAGCCTGACACGTCCTCTTTAAGGCTGACCATACCACATCACAAACCACCTGCACTTCGCTCAACTCGCCGTTTCTTGGGCTTGATTTGCTGCCGAAAGCAGGGTGCAGCAGAATGGAGGGGGCGTTATGGAGGGGGCGTTGACCAACCAAGACCACTCATCCTCATCCTCGCCTTCTTTCTGTCAAGCCATGGCGCTAACCAATACCCCCAACAGCGGACAGACCTGTTGCATTTGCAAAGACTTGAAGCTCGGCCTCAGGGGGCAAGAAAACACCAGACTTTAATATAGGGTGTTATTATAAACTAAGTAAAAAGTCCCCTAAACTAAGACTAGATTTACCTAAATTTTTTTATCACTTAGGGTTAAGCTTCTAAGTTTTCTTTCCTCCCCTAGCTAGGTTAAGTATTTAGGCATTAACGCTCGCTCCTCGGTGTTTTTCTCACCAGGCTGGCCGCTGGGCATTGATCGATTGATAGTCTAAGCTCATGACACCTCGGACAAACATGTCAAGCTGACACGCGGAAATGACCTGATGGACTGGTTTTCTACAAGGAGATAATTAAACAATTTTACAAATATGCCGTAGGCAGAGCCACTAGAGATGGTTCACTTGACTGCTAATACTGATGCTGCCATTAGCGACATTTACAGCTTTCCCAAGTATATTGATAATTCGGTTTCCCTAAAATGATTATCAGAATCGAGATACAGCAACCTACAAAAGGCTTACCTGTGATTGGGATGCCCCTGGTGGTATCATGGCTTTTCGAATTGCCGCCACAACAGTAGCATAGCCTTCAGCCTCCTTCGTCTCGAACTTGCAGATATCAATGTGATCAGCGCGAATAGGTGCAGCATCGCCACATCCATGAAGTTGAGCTGATTCAGGTTCGACGATCTAAATGCGCCAATCTCAGTATCTGTTCCATGGCTAGGATGAGGCTTGAATGGGAGGTACCATACCTGAACTAATCCTAGACCCCAGCTTGTCTTCAGAGTCTCGTAGAAGAAAGAGGCTTCAATTCGGTGATCGATGTCTTTAGAGGATCTGCGCTTATTGAGAACCTGCGAGAATGCTCTCGTGAGCTCACCTAGGCGCTCAGAATCAACACCAAGAAGCTTCAGAGTTTGCCGCTGGGTGTCGACCTTGAAAAGTTGAAGAACTCTGCGAACAGCTTCAGCGGGCTTGGCCGCTGATGATCCTCTAAATGGCGTTCCCAAGAATACCATCCCACGGGTATTCCAGGCGATCGACCCTTCTACCGAGTTTTCGGGTTTATGCTCCCCGTCAACCAGAATCTGAGCAGCGACAAGACCGCCGAGACTATGAGCAACAAAGATAATTGGTCGGTCGACCTATCACACGTCCCAGTATTAGCATTTCGGTACTCGATAACAAAAATCGTGATTCGGCTGATCACTAACGGTTTGCGTGCTTAATCGCTCTGCTGCCAGTTTCGCGCACACGTCCTCGGCATCACCATGTATCTCCGTCTTGGAAGGACCTGAGCGGCCGGTACTGGTAATATTGGTGTCATAACCAAAGAGAAAGATGCGAGATGCCGGAATGTCGTCGGGCAATAGATCTTTAGGCCAGACGACTCCATTCTTTGTCCACGCCTTTTCTCGGTCTCCCCGCAATCCATGTAAAAAGACAATGCTACGACTTTGTGTGAGCTGAGTGACGTGGTAACAACAAGTAAACTTACTCAGCTTGGGCATTCTCTCCATTATATACTTCTAGCAGACCGTATTGAGCCATCATGAGGATAGCTGCAACCTGGCCTTTGGTTAAGTTCAGTTCAATCTTGTTGGTAGGTTTCAGGGCCTTCTTCAATGAATTATCCAAGAAAGATATACAACGGTGGCTCAAGCGCATAGCCCAACTTCTGTGGATGGCTACTGACAGACTCCCTCAGTTTCGAAGTCACTACTTCAAAGATATCTACCTTAGGCATCAAAGGCCCATGTGAGAGCCTGATGCAGGACACCGGGTGAAAAACTACTCAGGTGACGGACGCTTACTGCAGGTGGCTTATAGCAAAACCCCACTTGTGCAACCACAGTTTGTATCAAAATGATTGTTGATTTGATAAGCCACATTCAATTCTCCCCGCTCGGTGAGGTAGATCTAGGCATTGTTCAGGTAGCCAAGGTGCCTGATTGAAACCGCGAAACGCCTGCACTTTTAGCCGCTTACTAGATACAAGCAGTAAGACGCCACTTCGTCCTGTTGGCGCAGGCTTGATTGCGAGAACCGAAGGTGTCTATGATCAGCTGCACTAACCGGAGTCTCAAAGTACTCCTATATCACAAGTTTCTATTGTACTCTTCCTTCTGAAGAAAGATTATGCTAGGCTGGAAGGATACCCCCAATCACTGCCTCTCAAGGATGTATGCCAGGCGGGCTGATCTTTGCTAAATGGATTCAACATTGTCAGATTGGCTTTTCAAATCCCCACAATAGACGGACGCTAGCAGGGGGAGGGAGGAAAACTTGAGAGCTTTATCCTAAGGGATGAAAAGGCTTAGGGAATTTAATCTAAGTTTAGGTAAGTCTTTGTTAAATTTATTTAGGTACCCTCTTCTAAAGTCTCATGTTCTCTTAGTCCCTGGGGGCTAGATAAAAAGTGCATTCAGCCGCACTTCCCCGCCCCCAGTATTAACTCTGATGCCTACTGTTCTCCCCCCAGGCCTCACTACCCCGCCACGACGAGCACTCAGTCAAGGATGTCATTTGTCGACATTAGATGGGATTATGCCATTGTTTACCCTTTTAGATGACGCTACACATTTGTGCAATGAATGATTGCACTTGCACAGCACACAGTCGATATCGTGGTTACGATTAAAAAGATACGAGATAATAGTATTCCTAGGCCTGAGAAAAGCATGTTTATATAAAGTCTTGCTTCTCTAAGCCTTGCTTAGTATTCATCCCAGGACAAGAGAAACTCTCTCAAGATCTAGTCTTTCCCACTCTAATGCTATCACTTCGCCACTTGCAACTCGATATGCAACACCATCCTTCCACTCAACCCAGAGCACAAGATATAAATCCTCCTTGAAAATGGGTAGTCGTGTCTCCCAATGTTCTCGATACCACGTCATAGAACATCTTCTCAATCTGCAAACCGCCACTATATCAACCTGTAGCCCCTTCTCACCTCCAGTCACCTTCTCTGGGAAGCGATCCCTTGTTTCCTTGTTATGCAGGTGAAGTTTTCCGATATACTTTCCAAGTCGATCGCAAAGTTTTGCTTCATTGTCCCACAGGAAGTATAGCTTATCGGAGTCCTGCTGATATCCTGACAGTCTGGCTTGGAGTGTCTTGCAGAATAGATATGGGGTTTGCTCAGGCATGAAGGGAGGTGTTGACTCCTGAATCTCGTTCACGGGGAAAGGATAATACCAGTACAAAGGCCTCCCATAGTAGTCAAGCATAGATCCATGCTGGAAGAGGTATTTGCCGCAGCCATCGGGGTAAATCTGAGGCTCATTCCCTGGTGCTAGCACACGCTTCCACCCTGGTGGCAGAGGTTTGGTGAAATCCTTATATCCCTCACGTTTCTCGAACCAAGTCGGCCGAATTCTTCGCCTTCGGTCCTGAGGATCCGCTGGTGACCTACTTGTGTACCACTCAGTGATAGGAAATGCTTCTTCAACATGTTCCTCTTCACATGAGTAGTTACTGCCAACTCGAATTCCTGTCTGGCCACGGTCGTGGACAGAGCCTTTCCAGCCTAGCCAAGACCATGAAGGAAGATCAGAGTACTCAAAACGACTTTCTATAGGTCTTCTTGATGCGATACGACGCTGTAGGCCCTCCGTACCCCATGCTCGCCAACAGAGACTATGCTCGAAGAACATCTCCGGAATCCCATACAGGAATCCACCTTCAAAGGAGCGACTGAAAACTGATAGTAGACCAGACAGAGCCGGAAGACTATCTTCCTCAAAGGTCAAAGACCTCTGGTTATATTCGAGAAAATAACGGGAAAGAGATGAGTCATCCGGGAATCCAGCCATGACAATATTGGACTGAGGATGCAACTCATCATCAATTTCAGTAAACAAGGTGAGCTCCTCATGCCAAAGGCTACATGAGCATACCCAGTGGGCTTCGTGGTCATAGAAGATAATCTTTCTCTTGGCCATCGCATATTCCTGACAGGTCCAGCCTCTCTGATAATAGGTCCCAAGCCGAGTTGGAAAGAATGTCATCGAGTCCAGGGAAAAAGTGTTCCGAAGAATGAGCTTCTCCTCCCCAAAAGGAATTACAGTCTGATTTAGCCCTCGGGGGTCGGATATGCCATTGAGACCAGATATCCCAGACGCAGAGTCACCGTCTGCGGCGACGATGGTGACAATTGCATTGGCGTAGATGGCCCCCATCGACTTCAACTGCTCGGAAGCAGCCTTGGGATCGTGATGAGTGACACAGAGCGCATCAGCCCACAGGTACTGTTCGTCAATGGCTGAGGTTAGGTACATGGCATGACGAATGATGGGGGACGCAAAGTCTGAGAACTCGCAAGTGGCCAAAGCGAAAGGCTTTTGTAACTCGTTGAAGGCGGTCGAAGTAATTACAGGTGGACTATTGCTCCCATAGGTGTAGCTTATTGCGACGTAGTCAACGGGTTCGTGACCTGGGACAATGCACTGCTGCTGCACATCGACTAGCCAAGCAGGGCGGGTTGGCCATACTTTGAGAGGGTTTTCGCATTTGGCACCATGGGATGAGATGCACCTGTTTTTCCATCTCTTAATAGTCTCAACATCAACCCAGTCTGCATCGATGATACGCCCATTGCCCGGATGTCCGGGCACATCATCCTTCTTCGCCAACAACAAACTCCAAAGATAGCCAACTTTATTCAACAACTGGCTGATTTCTACACTGGAGCCTTTCCGTGGTTTTTGAAATTCAACGATGCTATTATCATTAAAGCTTTCGCCGTGAGGTCCTTGAGAGACGACATAGTCATTGAACTTCTCGAGTAGGACTTTGTGGTTTGGACACGTGGTTGAAAGCGCTTCGTCGGAACGTCCAAGATTTATGTGAGACGCATGTTCGACGTCTGAGAACTGGACCCAAATAGCCTTGCAGGTTGGGCAACTGGATGCCCATTGCGGAGTGCTACCTGAAGATGCTGTAGCCATGGTCTAGCTATCTGAGATAAAGAGAAATAACATTGAAATAAAAACAACTGGTCTCATTGCATACCCTACCGTGCTGAGTGGCTGTGCCGCTCTCGAAGGTCAAATGTCATATGATTTGATGAGGGGTAACTGTGTATGCATGGTAAGCGCAGATAAGCTGCTACCGCTTTCCTATCAGGTCTCCACCCGACACAATATTATAAATAACAGTAGGATCTTCACTTTACATGAGTTCCGACCTAAATGTCTTGACAACTTAACTACTCATAATAAAAGGCCTATAGAGTAGAATTTATTTCAGGCTTTGTGACGCTTTGGACTTTACTTTTCTTTTCCGGGCATGGTATGTAGAGTTTTGCTATAGATATTAAGGGCTGATCTTCAGTCAATCACGGCATTGCCGCGTTTTGCCGGGACAAATTATGGCCTCTGCGAACCCTAGGTAGTCTCTGTTACTACCGGTAGATTCAAGTAGACATCAGACTTAAACTTCTTATTTATACAAGACCGTGCCCACTAGGAAACATTTAGTCAGCGGCACGGCCGGTATTTCTAACAGCAGCAGAGTATTGTATTCTCTTCTACCGGAATGTAACCTACATATTAGAGTCTATAAACGTGTTACAGTAGCATTCAACTCAAATCCCGATGCTTCCGACACACTGGTGGCGTCAGTTGAATACTCAGGCATAGCATATCACCACAAGTTTAGTACATACTTACTGCGCCATTATCGAGATAGATTCTTGGTAATTAAAGCGCAGCTACCCTTCCGTTAGGTCTGATTGAATTTCTCCGAAATACAAGGAACACCGACGTCAAAAGAATAATCAGATCGTTAACATGGATCTCACGAAGAAGCCAATCCCCAAAAGCATCTTGATCTTTGGCGCTGCTGGCCACATTGGCCAACCGCTAGCTAAATTCCTCACACGAGAAGCCCCTGGTATCCAACTCTCCCTCGTCGCAAGAAACCCCGAAAAGCAGAAAGGGCTAGAGAGCAAATTCCCCAACGCCCGGGTTCTGGCAGCTGACTACGAGGATCCATCTTCACTCACCGCTGCTGTAAAGGGTATGGAAGGCGTTTTCGTCATATCATCCAGCGGCATGTTGGAGACTAGTGCCATGACGAACCTCACTAGTGCCCTCAAGGGAGATGGCTCTGCGGTTCATGTCATCCGCTTTCTCGGGATATTCCCCGAGTTCAACCCCCACCGCGTTCCTGCGAATTTAGGGCCCGGCAGTCTGCCTGTTGAACATCCGATTGCGAAGCGTATCTTGGATGAAAGCGGCCTTCCAGTTACTTACATCAACTCCGGGGCTTCTTTCATCGATAATTTGTGGCTGCAAATGCAGCCCGTCCACTTGCACAAGAAGTTTATATGGCCGGAGCATCGTGTGCCATTCATTGACCCACGCGACGTTGCAGAGGTTGCCGGGCGTTTGTTCGTCTCAGACAATGCTAAGCATATAGGTGCATTTCACACCATGAATAACGGCCATGACTGGCTGACCTTCGAAGAAGTGGCGGGAATTCTCAGCGAAGAGCTGGGTGAGCCAATCACCTTTGACGGGAGCTACGAGGGCTTCATGGAGTTCTGGGGTCCTAGGATGGGAAAGAAGGCGGAGCGACTGTGGAATTTTTTCAAGTTTGAAGAGGCTAACGAGGAACAATGGGCTTTAAATAATTTCGTTGAGAGGATTCTGGGGAGGAAGCCGACCACAGTTAGAGGCTGGATAGTGGAGCACAAGGACAGCCTTTTAAATGCTGACCATAACGTCTCGTGGGCAAAGTAGAATGAACGCTCAATAGAGTGTAGTAAATTCTGCTCTGGGCGCGGTTCGAATGATAATGAATAAAGATATTTATAAAATTAACTTACCCACCTGCGCATCCGATATAGGGCTAATATAAGTAGGTTCCGTTCTTGGTGAAGGCAAAAGACCAAGTCTACTGTCTGAACAAATATAGAGATAAGCCTCAGCAATACATATTTATCTCTGAAATAGTAGCATGCTTTCGGATTCTATGGTGCAATGAATCTTTCCGGGTTTGGTTCTGCCGAGCCCCCTCTGTCTGAGAAGTATTCATCTGGATACCAACGGGGAATCTGCAAAAGAAAGGAAGAGTTGATATCGATCCAGATGATGATTCGTCGCAACAATCCATTCAGACCAAGTGAATCCAGACCCTTCCTTTGCTCAATCATATCATACAGCCCCTGCATGTGTATTTGATATGATTCGACACCTCCATGCATCGCCTCAAAGCTAGCCATCTTTGCAACGGCACCAATAAGTGCGTCGCTTGTGTCATCATGTGTTGCCATCAGTGCATTGATTGAAGAGATGGCCTTTAGCCTTAGTTGGAGGATATGGCTCGGTGAAATCGGTGTACCGGAGACCGATGACCTGTTGGCAGCGGAGAGTAAGAGGATGGTGTGAAAGGGGGCCTCGTCGGAGAGTACCAGGGGGAACCAGCTTGTACGGAGAAGACCTTTGTTTCCGGGTTGGTCCAACTCAGGTATATCCACTGCCATATGCACGAGATCTGTGGCAAGTTAGTCGGTTCTGAATGTGTACGACGTGAAGACACTCACAGTGGTCCACAAGACCAGGGACCTGCGGATTCCAAGGACCAGGATACGTTCTGAAAGGATCGACCCGGCCACCACCGAGCTGCCTTTCAACAGGTGGTAGCTGCAGACATAGTTGATTGGGATCTTGGCTGACACATTCGAATATGATTTTCTGTTCCTTGTCCCGTCTACGTCGTACCTTCGCGTATCCCGGTTTGGTATAAGCTTTCCAGCCCCGCCTTGAAACATGTGACCGGACACTCGAATCCGCTTTCAGCAAATGAGGCTGATCGGCGATGACGAATTTAAAGTCTGCGTGCCGTTGAGGGGTGCATTGGAATACTGTGAAGCGAGACATGTGTGTTATGATCAAATGGTGAGGTGCGATAAAGGGCAACGATGGATGAGAGAAAGTGGTGAAAGCTGACGTCAGGGGGAACCTATACCTAAATAGGGAAATGCATCACGGCTCAATAGTGCGTGTTAAGGTTTGGAACTCAGCTGCCAAGTGGCGTGACAGGGGCTGATCAATACGCCATATGTTTTAGTGTCAAAGCGGCATGGCCTGCGCTATCGACAGGTACCTCAATCTACCACTGGTACACTTGCATTGGAGAGTATCTTTGATACCAATAATGCGCTTGGGTCTCGTTTTTACAGAAACTTTTGTACTGAGCTTCCGGATCTACAACGGGATTCCAAGGGAGCGCTATACTCAATTCCGTAAATGCATATGCTCAGCAAGTGCTGATGTCGACTTACGCCGACGGAGAGCGGCACTCGAGCCTGATTGTCTATATATACATGAAGACCTTTGCTCGAAACGGCCAGTACAGAAAACCCTCTCTCACCTACAATTCACATCCTACAAACGCCCTCATCCTTATCAAAATGTCTCTCGAAGGAAAAGTCGTCCTCATCACTGGCGGAGCCAAGAACCTCGGCGCTGAAATCGCCCTATCCCTCGCCAGCACGGGCGCCAAGCTAGCTCTGCACTACAACTCACCGTCTACAAAGGACAATGCCGACACTTTAGCAAAGACAATCAGCCAGTCATTTCCCAAAGTGAAATATGCATTTTATCAAGGTGATCTCACCACCAAAACCGCAGTTGACAAACTCTTCGAATCGGTGCTCAAGGACTTTGGCAAAGTTGATATTGTGATCAACACAATTGGAAAAGTGCTTAAGAAACCTATCGCTGAGATATCAGAGGCAGAGTACGACAGCATGTTTGAGTGAGTCTCCTCTCTCCTAGCTCAATATTTACTCTTGCTAACCATGACTACAGTGTCAACTCTAAGTCGGCTTTCCTGATTCTCCAAGCTGGCGCAAAGCACGTCGAAGACGGCGGAAAGATCATCACCATCGTCACAGCTCTTCTCGCTGCGTTCACCGGTTTCTACACCTCATACGCCGGATCCAAAGCTCCCGTTGAGCACTTCACCCGCGGCGTTGCCAAAGAGCTCATGGGCCGCCGAATCAGCGTCAATGCTGTCGCGCCTGGACCCATGGATACACGTAAGTGGCCCTTGTAGTTGCTACGACATGTGCTGATAATGATGTGTGATCTAGCTTTCTTCTATCCTCAGGAGGCTGATGATGCTGTCGCCTTTCACAAGAGTCAAGCGCTGGAGGGCCGATTGACGGATGTTAAGGATATTGCTCCTCTTGTTAAATTCCTTGTTACCGAGGGGGGATGGATCACGGGCCAGACCATCTTTGCTAATGGCGGTTATACTACTCGCTGAGTACTTTATGTCTATTGATAGTGTATCTCAACTGAAACAAAATTATCGAGTGTTCATTATACCATGGTCAGGCTGGCAGTCGACATTCCTGTTCGGGAAATTTTGTTTACAACCATGCTCAATCCACTCCGCTCTACTTCCTTGTAGCCAAGACCGGCTGAAACTCTAATCGTCTTCCATCTGCCCAATCAAACAGAAGGTGAAACGCTTCTTTACTAAACTTCAAGGTTTGCGGTAAGCTTGTTCTTCCCTTTGGATATCTTCTCGTCTGTTGTTTCTTAAATTCCCCTGGTCACATCTCACACACCTGCCCACTAGTAAACCCCAGGGAACCGGAATCTACCCATATATTCGGCTCCAAGCTTATATATAGAGCAGTTCACCCACATATCTATGTAAGAAGCATCTTCTTCTCAGCATTCATTCTTCTCTTGGCTGGTCCATCCATTTCCAAACATCTCACTTCCCTTCATTTGTTTTAACCCCAAAGCACCAAGAAACACATACTTCAACATGCTCGCCAACAGCATCTGCCTCATTGGTTTCGCCGCCGTCGCCATGGCTGCGCCCCAGTTTAACAGAGATCCCAATAACAACTGCGACCGAACGGCACAGATGGCGCGCGTCGAGGATCTCCGCAACAAGGGCCTCACGTGTAATGAGGCTGCTCAGGAAACTTTTGTATGCTCTGATGGCCTTGGCGGCGACTGGTCAGTATATCTACGCGCGTGCTGTACTGTATACTTGAGGACGACAACTAATCCCGTTTCGCACAGTTCTATTAATATCTTCGGTGAAGGAAACTGCTTGATTTAGATAATCTATCTGTAGCAAAAGTAGTCCAATTTTGATAATCAAGATGTCTTCAGGAATAGACAGTTCAGTCTCGATCCACCATTTGCAGCATGCCTTTTGGTGATTTCTTCAATATGACTTTCCATTGCTGCCTTTGGTGGGTCCTTGTACGATTCTTGTATCGCATGACCTTGAAAAAGCCACGGATTCGATCTAGCCACCTCAAGGGTACTAATAAAAGTCTTTCACGAAACGAGGCCTGTTCTTTGACTCAAGAAATAATTTGTGCACCGCCTTTTATCTCATCTGAGTTGACATATTTTCTATCTTTACTTGACCTTTATCCTAGTTGACCTGTATCAATTTTTATCCAGGAGTCAATGTGGTCACATTACTAACAAAGACTTCATTCATGGAAGCAAAAAAACTCTTCAGTGCTTCTGCAGCAGTCATTCCGCGTCAAGTATTTTAAAAAGTCTTTAACATCTGCCGCGGACCTTCTTAGGGTTAGCGTAGCACTTCCCCTCTCCATCAGCACAGTCGTAACCCTCCTCGGCGATCTTCCTGCAGGCATCCTCCCACTGATCACCAGCGATTTTGTCTTCAGTAGTAGCTTGAGCACACTACTCACAAGTCAGTATAGATCCTATTCATTAGATAGATGTCTACTTACACGACCAGACGTCTCATTGTAGGCTGCACCTCCCCACTGCACAATCCGTTAGCACATATGATATTAAGTGAGCGCTAGCTTCGATTGCTTACCTCGTATCCTTGATCGTTGTACTCTGTGCATGCAGCGGCTGTCAATCGCCAGTTATAGCTATCGCCATTGTGGCAGGCACAGTTATCGTGGAGTTTAGCTGTCCTTTGGTCTTGTCAGACACCGTATTTCGACGATCGGATTGGTATACTTACACGGCAGTGACGAGCAGGAAAGCGCTGAAGATCTTGGCAAACATGATGAAATATGCTACTAATTGAAGAGGTGAATATTATTGATTAATCGCAGTCGCAAATAATTGGATGTATAAAATGAGTGGCTGGTGGCAAAAGAGTGTCGAAGGTCCAAAATTGGTAAAGACTGTTGGTGATGGATGGCAACCCATCGACTATCAACGGACGTGCAAACACTTATATCACCCTATCTCAGGGATCGTACGTCTATCCCCTCAGCTGAACAAGTTTGTCCGAGCTTTTCCCATCAATGCAACGTCACTAATATCCAGTACCGGCACTTTTACGAATATTATGCTAACCTGAAACAATACCAAGAGCCCCCCAAAAGATCAGCGCCATCACCCACGAAGTAACGAACCATAACGATATTCCCGCGGGCAAATATTCCAGAAGCTTGCTTGTCATCGTCGGCAATTCCGATGAAGATAGGGATGAAACCAGTCATAAACTCTATTTCCCACTGTCGGTGCGAGAAATAGGAGAAGTTCATGACGCAGCCGAGCACTTGAAACCTCGGGATACGATTTTCCGTGTGGAGAACTCGCCTTACTGGGCCAGAGTTGCATTTCTCGCGTGCATTGACTATAGGGTCCTTGTGTCATATCTGAATTTACACATTGCCTTTTTGAGTCATGAATGGCCCATGGGGAGTCGAGACGAACTGGGTCTGTGATAGAGGAGATGGATGGGTTAAAAGATCAATGCGCCCCGGCTTGATGAGATTAGCTTTAGCAGCATCGAGCTTCGTTATCATTCGTTTGTGCATTCACTCGCTCTTTACGGTCTTTACCAAATCATTCATTCATCGTGTCGTTCTGATTTAGCTTTGTTGCCTAATACTCGCACTTAATCACAAGTTCCCCATCATGATCCCCTCCACGCTTCTTGCGCTTATTAGCCTTGTCTCCGTCACCCAAGCCGCAGCTGCCCCCAAGATTCTATCTTCCGACGATGTCATCGTTCTCAAGACCGATGGCACTTCCCAAATCATGAAAGCCGCTGACCTCGAACGTCTCGAGACTGCCCCCGCAATCACCACCAATACCCCCACCAAGCGCAACATCAACCGTCGTGGCTGCGAAAGCACTGAAGTCCAAGTCCTATCCGAAAAAGAATTCCTCAACTGGGATGTCGCCATGTCCCCCGTCATAAGCAGCCTCGACGGCTCCAAGGCTACCGTCAGCGTGACTTCCGGCTTCACCATCGCCAATTCTCTCAAAGTCGGCGCTAGCTTCAGCATTCCCCTCATGGATATTCTCACTACTGCGCTGAGCATTGACTACACTGAGACCTGGACTTCGAGCCAGCAGCAGTCACTGTCATTTCAAGTTCCGGAGAATCATCACGGTCTTATTGTTAGCCAGCCTTATGTCCGACGTGTTCAGGGAAATGTTCTTGATGGATGCGGTGATGATATTGAGAAGACCGAGTTTACGTCGGATTCGTATGAGAGTCAGACTTATGGGGATCTGGAGTGGGTCAAGGGTATTATTCGTCTCTGCAGCAGCGAAACCTATCCTATTCCCTTCTGCAACGGTGAGGGTGAACACAAATAAGACTCTCAAGTCTTGGTCTTTGGTCTGGTGCGGCGCAGGGTGGTAGAGCGCCTATCGCAGGATCAAGCTCAAACGCATAATAATTCACATAATTGATTCGGTTTAGAGACTCCTGTGAACTCAAATCTTTCTGTTAAAAATGAAATCATTATATGTTTTGCATCTAATCCTCTCTGTTGAAAAGACTGAGATCCAATGGAAGTCTTTCGCCCATCCAGATCGCCCTCTCCAAATGATCCCTCTTCATCGAGGCCCAGCGATTCACGCCCTTTTCGGGAATAACGTTTGGATGCACGAGCGCCGACAGTGGTCCTCTCCAGATAGCTAGCCACGCCACGAATGCCCCAAACTGAGCGGGCGTGAAGACGTTGGCTTCAAACATGGCAATCGGATGAGGGCCAATCGGCCCCTCCCAGAATTTATAGATTCGGAGTTCTGGGACTAAAGTCACTCGCATTAGCTACGGGCCGAAGTAGTTGATTCAATTAGCTCACATTCTCTTCGGATGCGTTCCCACAGTTCTTTGGCGTACTTGGTCTGCGTTTCGTTGGTTTGGAGGTAGTAGATATGAATGTCACTGATACCTGTCAGCTTGTCACGTGCCCTCCAAGGATTGATCTGACTTACAAGCCACCTCGTCGGCCATTGTCCAAAGGATCGATGAACTTCTCATATGCTTCGCTGAGCTTCCCTGACTGAGGATTTACATAGCTCTTCCCATCTTCTGCCTTCTCGTCTGGCAATGGTGGGGCATTCTCGTACCCGGTCAAGGGAGAGGGATATTTGAAGACTGAAGCGTCGCCCATGACTGTAACTAATCAAGATAAGATAGCAAGGTTTTAAATTGATAAACAGCTAGTAGTTGACAAGGTTTCACGATGTTACTGTGAAGCGAAAGTCTCTTTGTTCTTGGGGGCCAGATGCGGGGGATCTATTTAAAGTAGGTTGTTAGTTGCGTGACTGTCGCTATTAATAAGCTGCGTGAGTCAGCAGCTGGAGCACAAGCGGGATCGCCCGACGCGCGCGCTAATTACCCTACACTTTTGTGTTTTCAGGAGAACCATTTGGAACGAACGACGAATCACTCAAAAAGTATAGATGAGGGATGTTCTAGAAATAACTTTGAACCGTTACTTATGTTTTGTGACCTGAGGCCATCTTGGGATACGCAGCTTGGCAACATTTTACCGAATGCCTGGCTATAGCATCTTTGAAAATTTCGTACTTGGAATATTTCGCTCGACTCACTACTTGATCCAATTTTACGCAAAACTCGCCGAACAAATCTAACCTCAACGGATTAACCAAGAGACCCGTGTCCTGCTCTGAACTTAAAGTTTCAACAGTATCTAATTACTGTCCTCCTGATTTCGACATGACATCATAGCAAGATAAGTGATTCAGAGCTTTGTGAACAGTGAGGTGAAATGGGCAAGCATTCAGTAACTATGCCGAGCTATTAGTAACAATACAACATTAAACGAGGTCGTGATAATAGTCAGAGAAACTAGAATCAAGTTGAATTACTGGTATATTAACGGTGCCCTTGATAAGAGTCTTCTTCATTCAAGTATGTCCACTCTGTTGATGATAAAAAACTATATACAGGAAATTTAGATAACACGCTTACGGGCAACATGGCAATCATTGCACTTTCTTCACATTTACACCAAAGCTCAAGGTGTCGGAGCAGCAACCTCCGCCTGGTCAACAATCAGATCAACAGGCGTCTGGTTGACACCCGTAAACCCATCACCAACAATATACACCATCCCAACATCACCCGCCATACTAAAATGACTCAAAGTATCCGTCGTCGCAGCGCAAGTCTGCTCACCACCACCTTGCTGGATACAGCTCAGCACCGGAACACTGCACTGCAGGGCAGATCCTTCAGTAGGGACCTGACAGTCCAGGAACACGACGCCCTTGTTGGGATTCTCATTGGCGCTGGTACACGGGGAGAGGTAGGCCTTGGTGGTGTCGCTGTTCTGGAACGTTGCACAGAGGGACACGGAGCCGGATTTGATTTGGCCTGTGGTGGCATCAAAATTGTAGTGCTGCGCGGGGAGGGTGATGCCTGAGCCGAGGTAGAGGAGGCCGCCGATGAGGTTGTCGGATTTGAGGTTGCGGTTGGCTGCGGGGCCAGAGCCGGCGATGATAGCGAAGGTGGTGATAACAGGTGGGGCGTCGGATGTAGTGGTTGTTGCTTCGGCGGTGGTTGTATCGGCTGTGGTCTCGGTGGAGGAGAAATCGGTTGTAGCAGCGGAAGTCTCTGTTGTGAAGAGTGTTGTTGAGTCGGCGGACGTGGTGGTCAAAGCGAGAGTGGTTGACAGATCAATGGTAATTGAATCCGCAGCAGTTGAAGTCGCGGTGTCAGTTACCAAAGACTCGGCTGAAGTTGAGGTCTCAGTGAAAGTAGATTCAACAGAGGTAGACACAGTGGGCTCAACGACACTCGATGTCAAAGTCGAAGAGGTTACGACCGAAGCTGTACAATTCCAAATTAGCGTATCCTCTTTGCCAGATCCTTTACACAATCGTACCTGACGTAACCGGCTTGCATGGGCTGGCAGCCACGCCAACGAGGCCAATGGCCAGAGACAAAAGGGCGCGTGTATACATAGCTAACGAAAGACTAAAGTTGGAATTGAGACACCGAAGGAGGAAAAATCAGGGACAATACGCAAATGGGCACTGCAATGTCTTTATGGCGTCGGGGCTTGGCGCTTGTCGTCTCTAGCGCACTGTCAATAGTGAACTATCGATCTCAGCTGCACGCTAACACGTTTAGTTCAGGGACTGTTGAGAGGAAATGCAGGGGAAATTTGTCCGTCTTTCAATAGCGTCTTCTGACTTTGCGGTTTACGAGCATCCAATTTCCTCTTGCATGATCAGCATTTGGGATGGGTTAAAATGCATCGAGCCCGACTTCAACAACTTGTGATCTGAAGCGCACCCGTGCCCCCGTCTTCAAGTAAACCCACGACATTAGCTTGAGCCATATTTTTCTGCAAGTAAAAAGGCACAGTGTCGCGCCAACTTCCAAAGAACCAGCTTTTCGGGGCATCGTTGAGTGTACACGCCCAGAAGTAACACTGCAGCCATGCGACGCGCTCGCCGAGTTTGACGCTTGCTATAAAGTCATCGGTTAAGGATGCCGGCCACTAGATTGTATGCCCCCGAGTTCGCGGGTGGCACTGGGTATCCATTATCCATTCTTTTAAAGACGATATACTTTGCTGTTGGTGTGCTCCCAGCTGGTTACCGTAGATACACTGGGCAGTGATTGCTCTATCAAGCTCCCGTATACGCTGTCCCGTTGCAGATTGAGCCCATGGGTTCTCGAGCTCGGATACATCCCGCAGGCGCTCCCCCAATTGCTGTCGCCGTATGAATTATGCTGCTATCGACTCTAAGAGCTTGGCGGTGCTGCGCAGAGTCGTGGGAGCATTTACCAAAGGTTGAGGCGTCTGGTCTATAATGCCTCTGATCTCCAAGATGATAATCGCCATTGTGAACATGACGGTCGGGATCCAGCTTAGATTGCCCACCGTAGCCACATGACGCCGAGAATCATTCGTCGCGGCTATGTGGTGCAGATATCCATCCATGTAATCTTCCCTCCGAACGGATGATGTCATGGCGCGTGAGCGAAGTATAGAAAGTGCACGAAAAGCGTGCTTTACGCTTCCGGACGTGTGCAGCGAGAATAAGGCTGATGTTGAACATATTCGAGTTTGCCTACAGAAGCAAGACTCTGCAAATGTACTTTAGCGTCCCGCCTGGGAGCAATCGAACTATTCAGCATGCCGAAACGAACGCTAAACTTTTTATCAGCACGGAGTTCCGTTGATTGCCGGCACCGATTCTGTCGGTCAACTGGCTGTGGGTGATCAGCTTTGGTTCCCTGGGGCCTCAGCTTGCACTTTGAGTTGCAAAACGTTGCCAGCGTTGTCGCCCCCCGAAGCCATAAATTCTGCAACCAGAGATGCTGCCAAGTGGCATAGGATGGCGGATCGCGGCTCTATCCAGGTGGAGAAGAGAGTTGATCTAGTCGTGTTGAGCAAGGATGCTCTAGCTGATATCGCGAATACACTCAGCATCGACAGGATCTGGGCCTTTGGCGAACCCCTTGCACTCGTTGCGCAAACAATTAACTCAAGCATGACGAATCCTGCATTTACTCCTATTAAAGTAGAGTAGCTCTGTTACAAAGCCACTGTAGCAAGAGATGGAAGGAGTTTTGTTATAGTCTTCAGATAGCATTTCGGTATTGGTGTGTTTTGGCAAGTAAATATATATTGGGAAATAGTACCATCTTTTCCGCCTGTAAACTCAATCTCACGATCAATGGATCAGATGTCTGTTGTGTTAACCTAATATGCTGTAGGAAGGGTCAAAAACAAGAGACAAATTACGAAGATCAAAAGACAGCCTGCAGCGGGCCATGATTGGCACGAATCGAAACAAGGGCCAACGGCAGCTTGACAAAGCCTTAAACTCTAGCAAACATAACCAAACACAAGCCGAGCTGTATAAAGTCCCGAATTTTGTATGCCCTGCCGCAACAGAGGATCGACTTGTGCCCAGGCAAAAAGTAGAAAGAGGAATGCTGTACTCTGGATTGTAACAGATGATATATTAGAAAATATGTGTGTATGCCCGAAGCATCCTAGGCACCGGGGTCTATAAATATGTACTGTAAATGTCTGAGACATGATGTGATCAGTTGTCACCGTCAACATCATAGGGAAACAACCATCCGTTCTCGTCGTTATACTCATCCTTATGAGTAGTTCCATGCAGAAACTCATACCTCTCCATATCAAATTCATCGTCGCCGGCCTCTCCATTAATGATCCTTCCAATTCTATGACCAATTTCACGACCCTCGGTATAGCCACCATGGACAAAGCCAAAGAACTCAGTTGAACAAGCCTCGCCTGAAAACCAGAGGCGTTCCACATTTGCACGTATATTTTGGTGCTTCTCGAGAGTCATGCCTACAGGCCAGTTGCTATATGATCCGTACGCCCAGCTAGACAGGTTATGTTAGTTACAGACGCGTCAGGGGTTATTGATCAACTTACGGTTCGGTGCTCCAGCGAGGGTAAGTGAATGCTGTAGGTTTGTGGACCTTCTTGTCAGGGTACATGGACTGCAAAACCTCCACGACTTGCGCCTCAGTTTCCTCATCTGTTTGTCTCTCGACTTGGTAGGCCTGTTCGCCCGTGACCGTCGCGAAGATGATGTTAGATCCCTCGAGGAAACCTTTGCCATTGAGCGGTTGAAATAGTGGATAACGTCCACGCTCAATAGGATCGGCATAGAGCTGATACTGGGCATCGGTATCCCAGAATGACTCGTTGAATTGCATGAAGATCTTGGTGTATGTACCCATTGCAAATTGATCGATAGCGCTCTGTTTCCAATGCGGCAACTTGGGTTTGAACTCGACGACATCCTTCTGCAATACGCCAAGTGAAAATGTACAGATAGCATAGCTAGCTTCGATGCAGCCGCCATCATTGGTCGTAACCTTGACACCCTTCTTGTTATACTCAATACTCTCAACGGTAGTCTTGAGGAGGAGTCGTGGGTCGTTCTCCTTGAGGAAAGTTTTAGCTTCCTGCTTCAGAAAATAGTTATAACCGCGCTGGTCGATAACTAAGTTACTGACATCGCTGAAATAACCAAAGGTAGCGTTATCTCCAGCGACGCCAAAAACAAGACCGCTCTCGTCAGGCGTCCAGGCAGCCTCAAAGTCCCATCCCCACCAATCTGCTGCCTGTGCGTACATATCGTTCTTATCCGGTCTCCAGCCTCCAGTACGAAGACCAGCTCGAGCAGACAAGTCCTGCAGGTTGTCCAGCAAAATCTCACCAGACTCGCCCGACGCATTCTCAAAAGCTTCATCTAGCTCGGCAATTTTGTCGGTCCAATTCTTGGCGCCCTCGTGGTCGAACGTCAAGAGGGCATCGTAATCGGCATAAGTCGTCTTCAGACCGTGCTTCTGCGCCAATTTCCAGATGGGATTCTCGTGTGTCTCGAGCGACCCGATGCCTTCGACCCAATTGGCACCTAGCTCGATGGTGTACGGCTTGCCGGTTTTGGCATTTCGGCCGAATTGCTGGCTTCGTAGACGACCTCCGATGTAGTCATTATGCTCGACGATAAGGAAGTCGGTGATTTTGGCTTGGGTCAGGTTCTGGGCTGCGGCGATACCAGCAACGCCAGCTCCGAGAATTGCAACCTTGGTCTTTTTGCAGGTTCCTTTATCTCGAGGGGCTGCGTCGGCCGCGGTGAATAAAGCTGTAAGGACAGTCAGAAGCTGTGCTGGTGATTGCTTCATGTTAGCGGCTTTTGGTAACGAGAGTATCCAGGATCAGCATTTGTGAGAGCTAGAAGAAGGGTGTTTGTTTTTATACGAAGTCACCATGAGAGTAATTAAACTATCGCTCGCTCAACCGCGGCGAGCATACGTAGTCTGCAATGATTGACTAGCCTCGTTCGCCCAACTTCTGCCAGTGGAGCCGCGGAACTCCCCGCCCGAATGTTGGCCCGGGGAGACCATTGTCGATCAGATGGAGCAAAACATCCGCATCTCTAGCCGTAGTCTGGCGGGCTCTTCTCCCCTGGAATTATTGACCTTCAAATATCGTAAGCTGTTGGTTCTGTAGAGTCCGTTAGTTCGTCGGTGCTATTGCCTAGCTAAGTAGGTCCCTGACGCTGCTAACTAAAGATAAGATGGCATGACTCGCGCTAATTAGCCTTTCAGGTTGATCTCGCACCGGGGCCACCGGAATCTACGTGGAACAATTGCGATTAGCGAAGTGCGCGTACTCTATACTCGTTAAGGATTAATCCATATCTGAACTACCTTGGTCTCGACTCAGGTACAGTTTTTCGTGGCTATCGAGTGCGCTTTGTTGTTCATTACGGAGTCCGGATGCTGTTCAACTTTTAACCCACCAATCCCACGCCGCTATCTTGACAAGAAAATACACTATTATCATGGACGCCGGAGTGTTTCATGTTAAGTCTACATACTCGGTGGGTTTCAAAGCCGGTTCCCCGTTCTTAGAGGTGGGAGCGAATGCATTTCTCAAGACTCAGCCCGCCAGCTAAAATTCCGAATTGTCCAGAGCAGTGGTTATCATCAGCGCCTAAGATTATGAAACTGGACTTTTAATCCTTCTTATCGCTGTTCGCCACATTTATGCAAGTGCTCAAGCCCCTTCTCCTCCTGGGAGTAGCGCTCTACTAGCTTAGCCCGCTCCATTATTGATTGGTAACTTTTATCTTGAGTTAAACCTTAATGGTTAAATATAGTGCATGTCCCCCAATCCATTTTTATCCAACCTTTGCTGCCAAACCATGTCCTTCGTGTCTTTGTTTGCTTCTCAGTCTTCCTGGTCGGGCCGCTGTACCTAGCGAGCGTCTCAATGGATACCAACACTTCTATTGTAATTTCTGCCTTTTCCTCTCTTTTCTGATTTATGTAGCTAATTTCTTCAGGGTATTCAAGCAGTGCTGCTTATCTTAGCATTAGTAGTACTGATCCTACGATGCTGGGCGAACCTTTTAATGAAGCAGGCTTTATTTAGCATGCCGGACATCTTTGCTTGGCTAGGTTGGGTTTTCAGCCTAGGATGGTTCATCTGCTCGACTCTTGCACTTCGGATCCTTATCGATAATCCTGCAGTTGGCACTGAACTTGTAGTTAATTCAGTGGAATACTTAAAGGTATGATATTGCATGGCCACGTCAAAGAGAGTTGGAAAGCTAACTAAGTGCAGATAGTATTAGTTGCAGAGTACTTCTTCGATACTGGGATTTATTTCCCCAAGATATCTATTATCTTGTTTTATTGGAAACTAATCCCGGGCATCTCAGGATCGCTAAGACGCGTATTGCTTGCGATCACGATTTATCTTGGCTGTGCTCTACTTGTATCGGTGCTTGTAAACACTCTTATCTGTTTACCGTTTTCTGACAATTGGTAACGTCAAAGGGCATAACTTGTCTCATCATCCGACTAACAGATATCAGGTCTATCAAAAACCAGCTCAAGTCAGCATGGAACTCATATGCCTCTTTTTGCGTTCAATGGGGTCTCAACTTCTCAACGGATTTATTAAGTATGTTCGATGCCTGCTACTCAGTGGGAACAACTTAGCTGACGTGACTGTCCATAGTCTTTTTCTACCCCTTCTTTCTACTCAAACATCTAAAACTCCACCGAAAACAAAAGATCGCCCTTATTGGCATTTTCTCTCTAGGTGCTATCACGTTGATAGTCAGCCTATCTCGATTTATTGCCTACAATGCCACTGATTTTGAGCTTGATGACCAGTCTGGCAGTATGTCTTTCCAATCGCAACCCCGCTGTATGATGTTCTTCGGCTAACCTTTTATACAGATACCTTGTCTCTCGCCGAGATGAGTACCGCTGTTATAGTCGTGTGCCTCCCTGGTCTTCGAAGATTTATCATGCGATCGAAATCATCTACAAATCGCTCTTCGTCGAACCAACCCAGCGGCTATGGCGTTCACACAAAGATCACCGGAAGAGGCCAGAATGCCGAGACCCCTGCATCGCAGTACGCGAAATGGGGCGTACGAGATGATGAGATCGAGCTGGTAACTCACATTCGCGTTTCTCATGAGCGACTGAGTCCAGATGATACTCGCAGCGCGAGCGGACAAAGTGCAGTCAGTAAGACATTCAAAGTATAGGGTTTTGGATGTTAAATTCAGGCGTTGGATGAAATGTGACGTGTATGACAAGCAAGGAGCGAAAAGCCTTTGTAATGTATATAATTAGACTTTATTTGGCGGGGCACAGCTCCTAAATTATCTTCAGAATTGCTACTCAGATAGTCTTCCGGAGTCTGTGCATCAGACGTCTGTAAGTCAATGCCGGTGGGCAAGATTGTCGCCGAATTCAAAGTCATACACTGCATCCAGAGCGGCTTGAAAGATATCCTGTTCAGCAGAGAACGGCTTTCCAGCCGCGATATGCGCTTTCATGTTCCAAAGATCAATGAGGTTTAACGCTCTCTCGTAGATGTTTGTTGTTGCAACATTGTGAAAGAACTTGGGTGTCATAAGATCTTGAAGCAGTCGATGGTTTGCTCTCCATTCCGGCCCAGTCTTGAGGTAGATTTAGAACTTCAGGGCCTCGGCACTAAGAAAAGCAATAGAGAAATCAGAGCGCTCACATTATTTGCAGCGCATGATGATATTTGAGACTCGCGGAAGTCCGAGACGAGAACACATCGCTTGCCACGTGGGAGGAGAAAAGACTGGAATACGGGGCTCGATTGAAGACGTGCGTTTTTGATCATCCATCCAAGCGGGTTGTTCGGCGATTCTCTCTGAATTGTAGCGATGTCGCCAAGCAATGATAGCGTAGCCTCGGCATTGTGTGGTATCCCCTTCAATGGCTTGAGAGGAGGAATTGATAAACAGCATATATAGCAATGGCAACTGCAGTAACCAAAGCAGCAGCAGCACCTGTCAGCAGCTCAAGTTCGGAGGGCAATGGGAGTTTGGACAGCGTCATTATGGATGGTCTTGTGTGAAAGTATTGGATGGATAAGGGTTTGTCGTCAAGACCAGATATAAAAAGGACGGCTGACGTCTGACAGGGATTGAATTGCTGGGATTTAACGACAATTCTATTGCAGCGAGTTCGCGGACCCGACTTCACCAGCCACGTCATGATATCATCTGTGGCTGCGAGCGCATCGTCAGTCCAAAGTAACAGCTGGTGTCGGGCTTTCAACATGCCTGATGTTGAGGCAATGGCTCTTTCGGGCGCGACCTCAATGGCTGCTACCTCCGAAGATATAGAGACGACAGTCGCCATGAATGACGGCGCTCACAGACTACGAGTGCGCAGCAAATTCTAAATGTCTGACTGCTGGGCTCCGGATGATAACCTGCAGAGATCAAGTCCGGCGGTTTATATACAGGTTTCGGTGATTAGTTTGTCTCAACGCCGTCAAGACGAACTATATCTTTTGCCGGCATAATTGTAATGGTTTCATTACGCGTCCCGGGTTCTTGTTGTCTCTAATTATTATTGACGTAATATCTCATCATTCCCTTCTAATAAACTAAGTTGGTACCAGAAAATAAAACAAAGATAATGTATTTATTTATTACTCGCCAACCTCTCTATCAATATCCCAGTGCGCATACTTCATAATGCCCCAACTAAGTGTAGCAACTCTCATCTTATGACCCCAGAAGAAGAGAGGGACCCACAAGATCAAGACACCACCGCAGATAGAAGCCATAATTCCATAGGCAGTTTGGTAGCCGGCCTCATTGACCCAGGGGTTGGTGTAGAAACCAAGTAAGAAACCAAAAGCGGATTTAAAGGCGAGCTGAGTGACAACGATTTCACCCGCAATTGGTCGATAGCAATCAATAGTGTATACCAGGGAGATATTGGTTGCTTGGGTGATACAGAAGTTAACTAGATTATCATCAGCAAGCCTAGTTAAACAACGGTTGAGATTAGAGCAAAACTCACTTAGGCCAATGCCAAGAGTGGGTACAATCCAGTGCATTTTGTGCTCGATACCAACACCATAAAGGACAAGTGCCAATGGTCCGCAGACTACACTGAGCATAATAGCCGGTAGACGGAATTCGGGCTCGCGAATGCCGCCGTTACGACGGGTGAAGATGTCAGCGACCCAGTCAGAGAACGAGCCGCCCAGGAACATGCCAATAAATGCACCAATAACAGCGGCAAAGAATGCCAGACCAGACTGCCAAGCGGCAAACCCGTAAGCAGTGGCAAAAGCGGGAGCTACATTTGATGTGATGGCGGTGATGAAGCCAATTGTGACTGACATAACAAGCGTAGCCCAGAGAACATTGGGCAAAGCCAGGAGCATCACTGGACGAAATATCATCCTCAAAAGTGACTCTTCCGTGAAGGTGCCATTGTAAAGCTTGAGCCCGCTCCAGAGGAACTCAGAGACCTTGGGGTTAGGCCTGACCAAATTACGGACTTCTGCGTGCTCTGCTCCAGCCTTCGTACTGGACCGACTACCGTCAGCATCATCAGCATCTTCACGGGTAAGAGGCTCTGGCTTCCTGATGTAGGCAGTTTCTGGGAAGGTCAGGTAGACCAGAAGAGTGACGAAGCCAATGATAGCGATAGCAACATAGTAGATGTATCTCCAAGGGTGATACCGAACAATAAAGCCATCAATGATGGCCCCCGAAGCAACACCGAGGTTGAGTGAGGCGGTGTAGGCGCTATAAGAATAAAGAATGTTAGTAAGACCATGCAGAATAAAATGTTAGACATATTGGGACTATCTTACGCAGTCCATGTTCCACGTTCGTGAAGGAAGAACAAGTCAGCAATGGTCACAGGAGCAAGACATTCCCCTGCACCAGCTGCAATACCCATCATGATTCGAGCAACAAGAAAGTTGGCGTATTGCTTAGCTACAGCACACCATATAGCCGTGATGATATATAGAGTGAAAGCACAAACATATACCGGTCGGCGTCCGTACTTGTTTATCAAAGGCATCCAAAAAAGGTTTCCAAGACCCTGGAACAAGGCAGTGCAGTTGAAAAAGTAGGCGGTCTTGGCGATGGGACCGTCGAGACCAGTCTTCTGCCAGTCGGGGAAGAAGTCTTGAGCAGTCTCGACAATAGCAAGGGTCGGTCCGGCAGCAAGGAAGTTGCACATGAGAATAGCTAGACAAACAGCAATTGCTGTGTATATTTTGAACCATCTTGGCCTGTGTTTCATTGTTAGAAGCCGCGTTTATCATCCTCATATAGAAGCCTTCTGGCCAGACTTGGAGGATAAACGTAGAAAAGCTTGCAGACGGACCAGTTCAGGGGATCCTTGGGATCCGAAGACGGAGTTGGCACCAAAATGATTTCTCTAGTATCGACATGGCGGAGACGTACATGGCCCAGAGTGGCGACATTGGTATCAACTTCCTTGATATCATCTGCAGTCACTTGGCAAGCCGAGGCAATCGCGGTGTCCTGAGCCATGGCGACTGTGTTGGCCCGCGGGGAGAAGATAATAAGGTGGGTGTCGTTGCGGCGGATGCCAGAGATAAAGATGAATTCAGGACAGTCAAAGAAGTAAAGAAACTGTTAGGTGCGACGGCTGACTGATTCCAACAAGCAGCAGTAAGCAAGGGCGTCGGCTTTTATGTCGCAGAACCAGTCTGCCGTTGTTGTTACTAGAGTAGATTTCGTACTTGCTCTGGCCGAATCACCCTCGCGTTGTCGGGATGATCTCGGGCCCTCATTTATAGGGAATGTGGAGAAGCCGGCTATGAGTCCTTAGTCTAAATTTGGGCTTGCTGTTGGTAAAGTATATATATAAGACTAGTAATATTTATAAGAATTACTTAAATTATTTTAATTCTATACTTAAAAAAGACTTATAATTTTAAAGTAAATATATTAATTTAAATTATTAATACTTTTATTATAAATCTATTAAATATAGATATTATATAATAAATATATAAGCAATTTAAATATATAAGTAATTTAAATAAATAAGTAAGTTAAAAATCTAATTTTTATATACTTAACTTTATAGCAGCCTTTAGTTAATAAGATTAATTAATTAAAAGTATTTTTTATTATAACCTATTAAAGGCTATTAGCTTGGTAGATAAGATCTAAAAGAAATAACGCTGTTAGCTCCCCCTTCCGATGTGGAGTGTTGCAGACAATAACACCTATGCAGTCTGCATCTTTACCGTTAGTCTGTCCTCATTCATCTTGTTAAATTCCCCCGCATTTTAATAGTTCCCCAGGTTGTGCCCAGTCTGGGGAAACGTTAGCCACACATAGATCCGCCCGCAGTTCCGAAGAGCTTCACAAGGAATCTCGTTCTGGACCCGAGACCAGCTAACAACCCTGTCCGCTTCCAACACTAGGCAATCAGAATACGGATTCGAACCTCTCAATCTAACCTATTCCCGCTAAGCTGGATGATTGATGGCATAAAGAGATGTAATAAGCCAATTAAGCCTGCAGCTCAACAAACACTGGCCACGTACTTGCGCGAATAGAGGAGTCGGCATGTGGAGAAAGTTCCGTCTCCGCAATTTTGGCTTGTCATGCGTAGACCAGGTCATATTCATCTAGAGGAAGGGGAGGAACTAGCAAGTAGTATAAGTCACAGCGAGGTCATCATGAATCGAGAGAGTTTATCATTACTACTAAATCAAGCCGTCCTCAACAGACTTAATACACCTTCGTCACCTGTTCTTACAACTGTGCAATTGACATGTTGCCTCGAGCCACTCTCGTGGCCTTTTTCGCAGTGGCTAGAGCCACTGTTGAGATCCAAGACCCTTCTGATATCATTCCTGCGTCTGACTGGGCCGCTGACAACGCCCTCGTTGCTGATTACAATGCCCCGTTTCCAGCAAACGGACAGCCAACAGACTGTGAGTGCCCTCAGTTGGTCTCAGACAAGTGGTATATACACGGGACTAATATACCCGCGTGACTTATAGTGATCGGTGTGCACGACATCAAGCACAAGTCTGTTTCAGTCGACCATCTGACTTGGCATGCCGACAAGAACGATACCAATGTCGTCCTCGTCTCGAAGAATGCTGACTTCGCTGCGTCTTATTCCACTTTCATCAAGTCTGGGTACTACTCGAACTTGAATTGGGCCAGCTTCTATGGCTTTAATGCCGCCGTCAACGTTGTGAGTTTCCATCCCAGTCCTCCATCCCCCAAAGACGTCATGGGTGCACCGCTGACCTCCTTTTCTACCAAGGCGAATAATTCTGTCGCCGTCCTCGATCATGTCAACATCACTGTTCATAACGGCGCTGCCAATGTGTACTCATACGGGACAGGCACCGTTGTCAACGTGACCAACAGCTGGCTGTATTCCAGCGGACCCGTGAGCCATGGCCTTTATGCATCTGGAAACGGCACCATTCATGCCAAGAACCTGCAGCACTACTCCGGAGGCCATCGGTCCAGCGCTTTCTCTGGAGACAGCCCAGCTGGCTACATCTATATCGAGGATTCTGTCTCGCGCGTTCGTGGAATTGGCTCCGCAACCTACTATGCTCTTGGTGAGATTCATGCAACCAATGTTGCATCTGTCTCCGAACAGGGACCCGTCGTCTTCTCAGATGGCTGGCAGAAGATTTACCTCAAGGATTGCTCGGCTCAGGCCGGTCTACTCGGCGGCACTGTCCTCTTCAGTAGCGCCGAGCGTCGTGCTGGTGCGGTGCTAGATCTCGAGGATACCACTATCACCACCACCGGCAAGACCATGCCCGGCTTGTGGTTTGGCAACGTCATTGCTGATGCCAGACTCAAGAGCGTGCAGCTAAACACTGCTTCTGGAATTCTTGCTGTTGCCAACTTCTCTCAAATCACCCAGGACTTCAACTACTATGGTGGTTATCCCGACAACCCGTCTATGAAGCCCGCAGAGGTCAGCCTGAAGGTTCTGGATTCATCTTTGTCCGGTGATCTTGTTGCATACAACAAGAGCTCTATTTCCCTGTCCCTCCAACAATACAGCAATTGGAGGGGAGCTGCCCGAGTCGGGTACAAGTTGGCTTCTTTTGGTGTGTCCCTCGACGCCAGCAGCAAGTGGACTTTAACTGCTGACACTACTCTTCAAAACTTCACAAACTTGGATGCCTCTAACAGCAATATCCAAAGCCGTGGATATAACATCTACTATAACTCTTCTGCAATTGCCAATAAGTGGCTCAAGGGTCGTACTGTTAATCTCCCTGGTGGCGGAAGGCTTAAGCCAATTAAGAAGTAGATATACTTTTAATTAATTAGAAGAAAGTATTTTAGTAATAACTATTAAATGCTTTTTTTTATAAACTTAAAGTAATTTTTAAAAAATATAATCTATAGATAAAGCTATATATAAGATATTTAAGATTAAAGATAATATTTTAAGTTAAAGCTTTAATTAAATAAAATATAACAT